AACAGTGAACTCTTTGCTCTGCTGAGGCCGTCGTGTCTCCTTAGGGTTTTGTCTTGGAACAGAGTCTCGTGCTGGTGGTCAAGGTCATCTGCGGGCCTCGTTGCTGTCCGGCCGTCTCGTTCCTTGAGCCACCTCTCTCTCCAGGCCTCCTCCATGACTCTGTCCGTGTCGGCAGTCCCTCCCGTCCAAACTGCAATTGTGTTAGCGGCTTCTTCTACCGCTGTGGGCTCCTGCGGCCCAAAGGCTCGTGTTGGCCCCTGTTGTCCGTCCTTGAGTTGAGTATCTGATATAGTTTGCCGTAGGCCGCATGAACAATGCTCCCTATAGTCTTCTTTTCGCCTCGGCCGTCGGCCAGAAAAGGCATTTGAAGCTGGGCCTCAAAGTCAGCCAGTCGTTTGTTGAAGTAAAGGTCCATGTCGGCACCTATGTCTCCCTTTCAAGGTCCCGAGTGGATATGGACTTGAAGGCTCCTGCCACTATCCGTAGACTCTTGTTTTGAGCTTTTCCAAGCGCCTTGGTGATCCCTCTCGTTGCTGGCTCACACCCCTTCTCGGTGGGGGTGTGAAAGGATGATGCGCCGTACGCTAGCGCTTACCGGATGCACTTTGAGTATACCTCTCGTGCTTTGGCCAGTCCTAGGCCCCACGTTTTTGCCGTAATCCTTGACAAAGCGTAGCTCTGTGTTTTCAGCTTCCGCTCTACCTCTCCTAGGTGGGCCTTCCAGTTGAGTTTCCAGTCCAGCCAGACCCCTAGGAATCTGGCCGCTGCCATGGGCTTCACCGGGCTGGTGCCTCCTCCCGGCTGCGCAAGTTCCAGCTGGTCAGTCTATTGTTTGCGCCCTCTGTTGAAGTGAATCAGCTCGCTTTTTTCTGGGGCGAAGGACATTCCCGGGGTTTCTGCCCACTGCAGGCACGTCTCCCACGCTGCCTCCAGCTGTCGAACGTTGGCTTCTGGCTCCCGGCCAAACACTAAGAGGTTGGTATCGTCCGCAAACCCATCTATCGCCAGGTGGGGGTGCTCTTGTTTTAGCTGCCTGTATAGGGAGGCGATGTAGAGGATGAAGAGTACTGGGGAAGGAGGGGAGCCCTGGGGGATTGCCGCTCATACCGCCGTCGATTGCCTGGCCGTCGAAGTGAAGGGTGGCCTCCCCGCCGGTCAACTAATCCTTCGTCCAAAGGACGAGCCACCTCTGGAAGCGCATTTCTCGGAGGGTGGCTAGCAGTTGGACGTGGTTGACCGTATCAAAGACTCCTGAGATGTCCAACTGGAAGAGCGACGCTGTAGCTTTCTGCCTCCACGCTTCCTGAACCTTTGCTCTACCAGCCAGATTGGCAGCTCTGTCGACCGGAGTGCCCTTTTGCCCATTTGCTCGCCTGGAAGTAGGCCGTTGGTTTCCGCAGCTTGAGTCACTTTGCTGGCCACTACTGACTCTATAATCTTCCCCAAGGTCGGCAGTAGAGCAATAGGCCTGTAACTTCCCGGCGTCCGATATGCTAGCGGGGCCTTTCCCGGCTTCGGCAGCACTATTGATTTTGCTTTCTTGCACCAGCTTTTGGAAACCAACCCAGTTCAAGACATTTTGTGGCCAGGATGGCGTTGAGTAACCTTGTGAAGCATTTCCGAAACGTTTCCCATGCAAATTCTATATCAATTTAGCCTTTGACGACAGCGAAGATAGCAAGCATGTCATACTTAAGCTTGCTTCCTTTTTCGAAAATCATCCATAACCCGACGAACGATATCAGCTACATGCCCGCCATATCACATCCCCTCTACGCCTCGCCCCACGAACAAAGCAAAACAAACTTATACACGGGATTGTCTAAGTCATGACACGTCTTGATACCCCCAAAGATAGGATCATTCTCGACCTGCGTCACCTGGCATTTCTCCCACCGGTTGGACTTCGTCCCGTCACACTCGACCCGGCCGACGGCGCCGTGCCCGGCGCTCTTGTACTAACACGTACGACCATGGGCTTTCACGAACCGAGGTCCGATGGCGGAAAACTCGGGGTTCTGCAGGGTAGCGCCCGAGTCCGTCATCTCGAAGACGCTGCGGTCACCGCAATAGTCGGTACCCGCGTGCCCTTGTACACGGACCAGTAGCGCGACCAGTACGGCGTGCTCCAGCCGTTTTACAAGATCATCTTGCTAAAGTAGATGGCTACCCACCGCCGCGATGATGGGTCGCTGGGAGTTGGCGTGGGGGGTGCCGGCGTCGAGGTTGCCGCGCAGAAGGAGCTCGTTGCGCACACAATGTGCTCGTCGCCGGGCGCCATGCAGCGAGTGAAGGTGCGCGTGGACGCACAGTTGCTCGGCCAGGGGTCGTCCGGGAGCGACCGGGGCATATCTTTTGCGCCCTGTCCCGTTTCCTGGGTCCAATCGTGGAAGTATTGTCACACGTAAGGCACCTATACTTCTTTATAAATCTGTAGCGTCCAAAATGGGTTTATAGCAATACTATATTTCTTTGACGGACGGCAATAACAAGAAGAGAAACTAGCATGACATTATAACGCCGGGGGTTGGAGGGATCGTCCAAGTACCCGACTCCGGTTATTTTCCGAAACCGACTGCAACTCCGTTCTTGAAACCGGGTGTCTCTACCTGTTAGTTGTTAAACCACCACTCGATCGTCTGGCGGCCGTTGGTGAGAGACCCAAAGAGTTCATTGAATATCTTTTCAGAGCCGTCAATGTCACCAACGGCGCAGCTCATACACCTATCGCGGACTATAGCGTGGATGGTGTTGCCGTTGGCCTTGATGGTGATGCTCTTGTTGCAAATTGGGTTGCCGTTGGACTGGGCGCCCATTAGCGCCGCCGAGACGGCGACAATGTTGTCCGTCAGGTCCTTGCCGCTATCGTCGAAGCCGCAGGCGCCCACGCCCAGCTGGAAGTATGTGAGATCACCACTGTAAACCGTCGATTGGCCGGGGTGGTCGGGGAGGTCGGGAGGAGGGCTGGTGGCACTGGCTCCCAGGTCTGGGACCGTGTTCGAGATTGGCGGTGGTTGCACGCCGGATGCGGACAAGGGCGGTGGTTGCACGATCGAGGAGGCTGCGGGAGGGCGAAAGGTGGTGTTGGGAGGCAGCGGCGTCGCCTCGGTGAAAAGCGGCGGCTGGTCTGTCTGGTCGGGCCGGCACCAGAAGTCGGTGCAGTACGTGCCACAATTCGTTGTGCACGTGGGCGACGGCGTGCCGCTCAAGTAGGTGGCTGTCTTGGACGGCTCACCGGGTAGGAGTACCCACGGCCAGTCTGTGGCCGGTGGCGGTATCAAAGTGGTCTGGACTCCTTCCGTTTGGTTCTGTGCAGGTCCGGATACTACTCCGCCACCTAGAGGAGGGAGCAAGACAGTCCGGATCGTGGTCCGACCCTCTTCTCCTGTCACGAGTACCGTGGCCGGCGGGGGCTGGAAGCTCGGTCGAAGAGTCAAGACTGCGCCCGGCTGCTGCTCGCTGGTGATGTATTGGTTGAAGAAGTCGATGACGGTGATGATGGTTGTCACCTTGGTGGGAACCACGACAACGGTCGTCGTCGTGGTGCCTACCTCGAGTGTGGCCGTGTAAGGTGGGATGGTGATGACCTTGGGCTCGCTCAGACTGCTCGGGGGGAAGACCATGACGCACGGTGCTGGGCACTGCACAGTGGGGATCTGGAACACCTCGGAACCGACGTAGACAACGTCTCCGTATGCCTCGTCGTCAAAGTTGCCCGACCCCGTTACCTGGAAGTCGATGCTCCAGACCATGGTGCCTCCGAAGCATCGGGAGTCAGCCCAGGCTTTCTTGGCGGCAAAGGTTTCCTCGTCGTCATAACCGATCCATTGGTCGTCCCAGGTGATTTGCTTCATCATGGAATCGGCGAGGTACTGCGGTGTGAGACCTCTGCGCTTGATCAGCTGCTGTATTTCGAGCAGCGACATGACCCCGTTCGAGTTGGTGCATGGAGCCGGGTCGCTGGCGCCGGAAAACGGACACAGCAACTGATTGCAGCTCGGGTCGGCCAGGGTGTACCCGCGGCCGTACATGGCGAGCCCGAAGTTGATCTTGGCAGGGTCGAGACCATCGAACCATAAAGGCACGGTGTTATCTGCGATCTCGCGAATGTCAGCCTGGCCGCGCACCTTCTTGCCCAGAGTCAGGACGTCCGAGTCCCACGAGCCGTGGAGATCGTAGGCCATGAAGCCAAAGAAGTCGACGTAGGGCTCCATCCCCTTGGGGTCGAACCAGCGCAGATACCAATAGTCAGGGGCCAGAGTCAGACTGATACCGTAGGTGTTGCCATAGGCCGCACGCATCTCCTTCACAAGCAAGACGAGGTTCTTGGTGTCGTCGAGACCGTTGCCGCCCCGGCTGGGGTCTCCCGGGTACTCCCAGTCCAGGTCGACGCCCTGGAAGCCGTACTCGTCCATGTACTCCCTGACCGAGTTGATAAACGCGGCGCGGCGGGCCTTGGTGGCGCAGATATCGCTCCACGTGGTGTGCGTGGGCGTGCCCGGGTCGCTGAAGTCGAAGCCGCCGATGGCAATCCAGGTCTGCAGGCCGTCCTTGGCCAGGCTCGTGAACTCGCGCATCATGGCCTGGTCGTCGGCATGGGCCGGGGCAATCCGGTAAGTGGCCGGATCGATGGACGCGAACGAGTAGAAGAGGTGGGTGTAGCCCGTTGTGTTGAGGTCGCGTGGCGCGACCTTGTTGCAGACCCGGTTGCGCACATTCCACGACTGGTAATAGCCCACCATGCGCCCATTGGTGCTACCGCCACCGTACGGACACGAAGGCGTGCCAGAGATGTAGCACGAGCCGTACCCGGCCTGGCAGGGCAGCGTGCCGCGGAGAGGATCGGCATTGTGGCAGAACTCGGTCGTAATCTGCTCCATCATCAGCCGTCGTCCCCCAGGTCAAGTCCAGAAGGGGGCCATTGTACTCACACCGCACCAGCCCATGGCCGAGCAACACAGCTTCAAGCCGCACGGTATTTCCCCGTTCTCGCTGTGCTCGCCGCACATGGCCTTGGCGTTACACTGAGACAGACAACCGGCGCCGCAGAAGTCTGGGCCGAAGCCGCAAATATGGTCCTTGCTGCAGCAGCTGCCATCGATACAGGGGCCGTCGTTACAACGCAGGGGGCCGTCACGCTTTGCCAAGCTGATATTGTGGTGGGCGTGTCTCGCGGCCAGAAACGATGACCGGCTCGACAGGTCGCTCAGCTCGACAGGCGAGGACGGGCCAAGGGTCGGGGATGGGAGGGATCGGGGTGGTGCCCTGGCTGGGTTGTGGTGAGCTGGGCCCTGGTTAGCAACGGGGACGACGTGGATGGTAGCATCACGTCGCTGCTCCCGAGGAAAAGGCCATCGCCGTGGATGCTGGCGGAAGGTGCCGCGCTGGTGTTCTGAAGTGGTGGTATACAGAACGGAGAGGAGGCAGAGAACAAGAAGCGAAAGTGTCGCGAGATCCCAAAAGCCAGGCCGTGGAATCCCTACTCGTGCCATCTTTGATGGCTTGGCACCTCGCTCACGGGTTGCCTTGTCGTTGCCGACCTGGCGAAAGGATGGCCGCGAGACAGTCGTGTCTTATAGAAGACATGGCGGTGGCGGCAGAGCCGATGAAAGTAGCACCCCAGGTGCCATGCCGGTGTGATTTGATAATAACATGTCCGTCTGATAACGATGCGGTTGATCTCGCCTATGTTGCAGCCCTCGCGACTCCATCCCATGCCGAATTGTGCTGTGTAAGGTGCTCAAGCTTCAGCTTTAGCTCCCGTCTCCTCTAGTGCCCTACATGTAGGCACCACCGTACCACTGTTACCAGGTAGTTAGTGCTGAGGTGAGAAAGCGGCTGAATCAGAGTTCTCGCGATGCTACGTTCTGGATCCTGATGAAGAAGGGTGTGGACTGATCAATCGTCTAAAACGGTTACCTTGGTGGTGCTTGGTTGCTAGTAGAATCGTGGACAAGACTGCTGAGTGGAGCTCAGAGCCTGCAGCGAGGCGTTGCAAACTTGAAATAGCGGAGTGGCCATGGCTCCTTCCAATCTCCCACCACACCGGAGTGCCCTTGCTAAGACTCGCTAGGAAGAACAGTCCGTGCCCCGACGAGGAAGCGCGACAAGCGCCTGCTTGTACCATAGTAAGCGCTGTCCCTCTTTCGATCGCTTCGACCGTGCCAAAAAGAAACGGGAAGCAAAGACTCAATTGGGAAGTCGCAGACGTCGAATCAGGACGACCCACGACTGTCAACCACCCATCTACCCTTGCCATCATCACCACATCTCACTCCGCATTGTAGCAGTGCAGGAATTTATTGAATCTCGGCAGCGATAATGTGAAACGAAGCATAATGCAACCCCGGAGGCCGACATAGTCTGTCTGCAGAATAGGCACTGCAAGATGGATCATGTATCCATGCTAGCATCAGGCCGGTCTGCGGCGACTGTCACAAAAGCCAGGTCCGGTTGAGCTGGGTTGGTTATTATGGCTGCTCTCCGCTCTTGTGCGGTCGGCCTCCTGGAGCGACGTCCATCCGTCAATCTCGGCCAACCCAGCGCACCGCCATCTCATGATGTTATCTCGACGTGTAGCCTTCAGCTTCATTGGCCTACTGCTCTCGGGCCGTGCCGTCGTGTTTGCCCAAACCGCCAGCAGCCCTCCGGCGTGGCAGACTGGTTCCATCACCGAAGACGGCGCATGCGGTCCAAACAGCCCGGGAAAGTGGGTGTGCACACCCACATGGGGCGCGTGCTGCGGCCCTGACGGCCTCTGCGGCCGCAAGGAAGCCTGCGGAACTGGATGGTATGCTTCACCGTCTCCCTTCTAGTCACATGTACTGACTCTCGTATCACTGCAGCCAACCCGGATACGGCAACTGCAACGCACCGCCGTGGACGGGCACTCCCTCGCCCGACGGCTCCTGTGGCGGCACGTCTCTGTACAACTGCACGGGCTCCTCATTCGGCGCGTGCTGCTCAGCAGGCGGGCAGTGCGGAGACACGGTGAGCCACTGCGGCACGGGTTGCCAGTCGCTCTTTGGCAAGTGCCCACCGAGCAACGTGACTACTGACGGCTCGTGCGGCAGCGCCAACGGCGGCAAGGTTTGCACGGGCGCGGCATTCGGCGACTGCTGCTCGGCCAGTGGCTACTGCGGCAACACGACCGCCCACTGCGGCTCCAGCTGCCAGTCGACTTTCGGCACCTGCTCCGCCCCGTCCAATGTCTCCAGCGACGGCACCTGCGGCGCCAACGGCAAAATCTGCTCGGGGTCGGGCTTCGGCGATTGCTGCTCGGCCCAGGGCTACTGCGGGGGCACGACCGGTCATTGCGGCGCCGGCTGTCAGTCCGGCTTTGGAACCTGCTCCGCCCCTTCCAACGTCTCCAGCGATGGTCGCTGTGGCGCCAATGGAAAGACTTGCACCGGCTCTGGATTTGGCACATGTTGTTCGTCCAACGGTTACTGTGGCAGCACGACGGGTCATTGCGCTGCTGGGTGCCAATCTGGCTTTGGCACTTGCGATAATGGGAGCGGGAGTATCTCGACTGATGGACAATGCGGAACCAAGAACGGAAAGACCTGTACCGGGTCTGCCTTTGGGACCTGTTGCTCGTCCGGCGGCTACTGCGGGAGCACAACAGAACACTGCGGTGCGGGATGCCAAGCAGGCTTTGGGACCTGCAGCGCCGGAAGCGGGACCATCTCAACGGACGGCCAATGCGGCAGCAAGAACGGAAAAACCTGCACCGGGTCCGGCTTCGGGAATTGCTGCTCGCCTGGTGGCTACTGCGGCAGCACCGCCGACCATTGCGGTGCCGGATGCGAGTCAGGCTTCGGTACGTGTAGCAGCGGAAGCAACAATATCTCGACCGACGGTAAGTGCGGGTCAAATGGCAAGACATGCGTCGGCTCCGCGTTTGGCACCTGCTGCTCGAGCGGGGGCAACTGCGGTAGCACAGCGAACCACTGCGGCCAGGGATGGTTAGTACTAATCTCTTCCCCCTTGACCTTAGGAGTATTGGCGCCGGACAAGGTGGCTGACGATTTATGCTTGTGGACAGCCAGAGGACCTTCTCGAGCTCGTGCATCACAACCAACATCCCCTCGGTTGACGGGAGCTGCGGCCCCAGCAAGGGCGGCTGGACATGCAACGGGGGCAACTTCAACACCCAGTGTTGTAGCGCCGGCGGCTTTTGCGGGACGACGGGTGTCCATTGCGGTACCGGGTGGTATGTGTTCCCTTTCTTCTGCGCACAATTTGCAGACACTGATCTATCCGGAACAGTCAAAACGGGTACGGGCGTTGTAGTTAAGGGTGCTGTGTACAATGTCGAAGGGCAAACGGTGGCTTCGTGCTGAGATATCCACTTGTTACACTTAAACAACTAGCAAATATTTTGTATGCATACCCTTAGCTGCAATCACCGATCTGCCATCGAGGCCAACAGTTCCTTCAAGTCGTCGTTCGGTAGTGCCTCCCAAGCCTCCTTGGCATACTGGCGTAGCTTCTCGTACGAGGGCTTTTCTTCAAGGCCATACCAGTTCTCGATCCTATCCTTCATCCAATTCCAACAACACTCAATAGGGTTCGAGTCTGGTGAAAAGGGTGGCCATTCCATGATGGAGATCCAGAGACAACAGAAGATGGTGATCATCAATGGTGGTGTTTTCCATACAGTGGATGGATGGATGGATGGAATTTATTTCGCCCGGAGGCGCGAAGCCTAAAGGGCCTTGGCACGCTAACTACATCCAATTCCTTGACGTTCAACCATCAACTCGTACAAGCCCTCTAGTCTCTCCCCTTTTTTCACGCCACCTGTTGCCTTTTGACTTAGTTTAGCAGATCGACTTGGAGGCTGCGTTCTCCAAGTGTTCAGCGTCCTATCTTCAGCAGCTAAAGCGGGATCTGCTGGCTGAGGCTGTGTAGTGTTAGTGGAGTTCCGCTACTGTGATTGTCCCAATCTTTGTCGTTCCTCGTCAAGATCCAATCTCCCTGTCGCCATTGCGTACTTGATCGTTGCCCGGACTGCTTTCGTGTCTGGCGACCACATCTTTGGATCCGATGGTGCTTTCCCTCCCAGGTTGAATGAGAGGCTCCCTCGTCTTGCCACTGTGCATTGCAACATGTCCTCCCTCAGAGCTGCCCATCTCACACATCGCAATAGAAAATGTTTTCCATACAGTGGTGATGCTGGATGTGTGATGGCTCTGGTGGGCAGGGCTGAAACCCCTGCACCAGACGTGGGGCAAGCCGGTCTGCCAAGGATATGGGGCACGACCCACAACATTCCATCACGACAATGCCTCGCTCTTTGAGATCTTCCTTCGTCTCTGCGGCTGCTCCTTGCACAACTGTACCCAGTGCTGAATTACAGGTACATTAGGTGCGCGGTAGGTCTCGGCGTTGATCTTCCCCCAATCCTTCTCCCAGAAAATCCCAGGGCCTTTTCCTAAGCCAGAGAAACAACCCCAGGACATCCAGTGTGACGAATCTCAAGCCCCAACTTCTGAAAGGGACTCCTGAAGGTTATAATTTGACAACGGGGTGAGGTTCGGTGAAGCCAAAAGGTTCACAACAAGCAATGTCCAAGGGTACTGGCAATGCTGCACTTGAGTTGCTTACTGGTGTTGGAACCTGCAGGGCGACGACCGCTGAGATATGCGCTGGAAGAAGCTATTCCCCGTCAAAGCAGTGGATTGAATTTTTAAGGTGGTAAAAAGTGATTGATTGACCATGCTGTTGATGGGCATGGGAGAGGACTAAGTATGTAAGGAAGAGGGGTTGCGGTGCTGGCACCAATCAACCACCGAGGTCCGTTGAATGCAGCCATCAAGGCGGCTTCGTTCCGACAACTGGAGAACTCCCAGAGTCCTCCAGAACGAGTGACTATATACTGGATATTTTTGGTTGCTCTCTCATGCTCTCTAAAGCCACCTAGAGCAAGTGCTCTTAGGTGCTCTCGAGAGCCTCCTAAAGCGTCCTCTGATTAGCCTTCCACTGGTGCTCTCTCATGCTCTCAAGAGCTCTCTCTAGAGCACCTCCAGGGCCCTTCCGATTGGTCCCAAGTGATTGGCTCGGAACGTCCTTCGTTCCCCACTATGTCCTGCAAGTGGACCGCCATTGTTGGCTCCCGTTGGTTCATTTGTGACACACCGAGATCTCGCCTGGTATAGGTCCGGCGGAGCCGTGTCAGGTCTGTTGTCTACCAGCCCTCGGCGTATAGTGACGGTTTGGCTTTGAGTGTCAGGCTATAGACCGCCTCGGTTGCCGCTGCCATAAGCCTATCCGTCTGCTGTTAGACGCTGCCATCCTAGGGGATATTCTCTAGGTTCGACGCCACCCTGGTCCTAATCTCTACTCACGGTACATTCTTGAAGAGAAATCTCATCTCCATTGGGCGGTCTTCTACTGCGAGGCCGAATGCCGTCTCGATTGCTCTATGATCAGATCATGGTCACAGGGATATATCCTGCACCTAAGTAGCTGGTCTGCGAGTTCTGTAGAAGCCAGTACCAGGTCGATTGTGCTTTCTACGTCCCCTGACTGCCATACCTTCGTGCCTCTTGGGAGGAGGCTGCAGAGGGAGTGTTCGTCTTTGAGGTTGACGATGCGGTCTCCTTCGCCTTGCCTTAGTGGTGAGACATCGTCTCCTCCCCAGAGCTGGTCGTGGCGATTGTCACGGCCCCCACTATGAGCCCTATACCAGGGCTATTGGCAGGCGAGACACTGTGGATTTCATGACGAAGGGACATGACTCGTAACAGAGGGAGAATATATGGAAACCGGGAGACTCAGATTGGAACTTTGGAACTTTTTTCTCTCAAGGATCAGTCAGTTGGTCAGTGGTGCACGCACAATACAGTCGTCTTGCCTGCTTCTCCGTTGTGGATTCGGTGCATCTTCCTTGGTGAACCTGTGTGTGTCACCTTACACACGGTAATCCAGGGAGTCAATGCCCTCGGCTAGGCCATCCCTCCCTTCATCATCTTGGCTGCGCAGTACCACCTCGCGAACTAGTACACCGAGCGCAACCTCCCGGCCGACTGGCGTATCGCAACTACCGACCATGGGCTGGACTACTAATGCGGTAGGGCTGGATTGGATCAAGCACTTCAACTAACATACAGCGCCCCGGACAAAGGGCAAATACCGGTTGTTGATCCTCGACGGCCACGAAAGCCACCACTCTACCGAATTCGAGCGCTACTGCAGGAGAACAACATCATTACGCTCTACATACCTCCGCATTCTTCCCACTACCTCCAGCCACTCGATGTTAGCTGTTTTAGGCCGCTAAAGCAGGCATATAGTCGCCAGATCGAGGACTTGATGCGCATGCATATCAACCACGTAAGCAAGATTGAGTTCCTCTGTGCCTTCCGCGAGGCATTCTTTGCCTCTATGACAGAGAAGAACATACGGGGTGGCTTTGCAGGTGCTGGCCTTGTGTCGTACGACCCAGAGAGGGTGCTTTTTAAAGCTGGATGTATCGCGTCGTACACCAACACCTTTAACTCCCAGGCCGACACCAGTAACCTCGGGTGTTCTAGACACCACAAGATCCCCCAAGAAGCCAACTCACAGTCAACGCTCATCAAGACTTGCATTGCCAACCATCAAAATAGCTCCCCGACTTCAATGTTAGCTACAGTAGACCAGCTTGCTAAGAGCACAACGGCTGTGATTGTGATGGGCTGAGCCCATGATGGCCTCGGCAACCCTCGGCCGTGGTATCATGATAACGTCATCCTGAGGCAGGCAGTGTCTGTGTGTTCCGGAGCATATAAGAGCTGCCCTCTCTTCCTGTCATCTAGTTCTCACTTTTCTTCTTCTCCCTCCATTCGAGACAAACTCGTAGAGTCGTCACCAGCTAGTTGCAATATACTCCTGGGACCGTTACAGTGATACTCGAGGTGGTTTCCTTCGGCTTCGGTCAGAGGTCTTTTTGCTCCCTAAGGCCAACGAGGCACCAAGCAAGCGCCGAAGAGCTAAAAAGAAAAAAAGAAAAAAACGGGCAGCTTGGAAAGTTACTTACTGTGTGCGATGCAAAGGATGTACTGGATCAGAAAGCCGTGGGTGGGGAGTGAGTGGAAGAAACGCAGCCGGATTGTGGTGGCGCACGGGGGGTTCGTACGAAAGTTCGGTGCTGTGGTGTGTGCGGCAAAGCCTGGCTATAATGCACGCACTTGCCAGGAGGCTGCAGAATGATCTGATTCAGCTGTTTCTGATGTAGTTGTAGTTAGTTCCTAATGTTGGTGTGTTACAATTGAGGATAATTGTAGTAGGGTAGTAAAAAGTGGCTCACTCACTTGTAATGTACGTTACCGACAAGACGTTCCAGATCTACGTAACTACGCATATTCCGGACGCTTATAAACACCGTATGGTCTTTGACCTGGGCGGTATGGGCTTACGCTGGAGAGAGCTCGGGTTCTCCGGCGAGCAAATAAGCGGCGCTCTTTGTTGAACTGAGTGGGTTCCTTGGCACTAAGATTCACGGACTGAGCACTGATGTTCAATGCGAGACTCTCAGTCAACACAGATCCATCACAATGACCCAGTTCCTGACATAAACCTCATATCATGGCACACTGTCTCTATATAAGGGGTAATTCCCCTGGGAGGATTAGAGAGGACATTTTTGTTCCAAAAAGAAAGGGACATTCTGAGGCACCCTAACCCACTATCTTGATCCTTCATTTGTGTGGTCACTCTGGAATTGTGACCAATTCAAGCTTCATTTCATGCCTCAATCTGTTCAATACCATTTGGTTGATCTAAGCTTACTCGAGCATGTAACTGTTGGCTGCCCAACACACTTATCATCACGGGTAGCAAGGAGTACGGCTATGTGAACTCGCTGCAGCTTAACAACATTGCCTAGATGTACAGCATATACGATGTTATCAAGGACTGCCAGCTCCGCCATGTCGTCGTGCCGGCCGCGCACGACGCACCATAAGCAAGAGCAACGACTCCGGCTGGTTCAGATCGGGCTCCATTAGCAACACCGAGACGTCGAGCCACGATCACTACAACCAGCTGTGTGTGGGCGTGCCTTACTTTGACATGCGCATCGTGAGCGTCAATGGCGGCGGCTTCTGGGCAGCCCATGTCACTGACGAGGTCGCTAAAGACCCCGCCGGCGCTACGGGTAAGTCGCTCGACGACCTGATCCTCGGTATAAACCGCTTTACAACCGATTACCCCGGCGAGGTTATCGTATCAACAACCGCTACCCTCCGAACCTCTCCGAGAACCCAACCTTCGATAAGCGCCCTATCAAGGAGTTTATAGACGCCAACGACGGTAAGGGCAGCGTCCTTATCTTCACCGACGGCCGACTCCGCGACATCCCCGATCAACGCCCTTAGTCCGGCATCTACTACCTCTCCACCTACTTGTCGCGCGACGACTACTTGGCCAATGAGCTCCCCACCGACATCAACGCCGACAAGCAACTCGCCCGGCTGCACTCCCACACCCCCGACAACAACAGCACGGGCACCTACTTCCTCATGCAGTGGCAGGTGACGCCCAGCGCGTTCGACGTCTCGCTGCTTCCGACTATAATCCAACTCATCGCTAAACAGGAGACCAACCCGGCGCTGTACCACTACGGCGTCAACAAGCTCACGCCCGAGCACTTTTCGACCGTGATCCTGCACGATGCCGTTGGGCTGTTCCACGTTAGCGACCTGGGCTTTGAAAAATACAACCCTATGATGCAGCCGCTGGTCATTAGGCTGAACCTGTATATGGTCAACCAGAACTGCAAGGTCAGCAGCGTCAAGCACCTGCTGCGGCAGGGGCTGCGGCGAGGGGTTGACGCGCTGGCTAGCGTCTTTTCGCTGGCTTCCTTTCCGACGACCAAGACTCTTAGGAGCGGATTCTGGACCTTTAGCGGCGTCATTTTTGTCAATGGCACTGTTCTGGACCTGGCGCCTCTAGGGTTCTGCCGGACGTGCACGTTCTAACAATACCGTGGCGGTTGGCCATCCCGTGGTGAATGGGACGGCTTGGGCGAGGAGGTGGAGACGGGAAGCGCTGTCGGAGCCAGTGGCTGTGTAGTAAGTTTTGTCTTCGGGAACTGAATGCCCCTAGGGTCGGTGGATTAGATTGCAGGTCAGGAGCTGGACACGCGAAGCCGAGAGAGCGGGTTTGGATTCAACAGTAGCACGGTATGGAACATGCCATACGCCTTAAGTTGCCCATCGGCGACGGTTTCATGTCGTCTTGAGCCGGATTGCGGGCCGAATTTGACCCCTAGACCGTAACAACCTAATTATTCCGGATCCTAATACCACGTAAGTGCTCCCTGATCAGGCAATGGTAGGTCCAAACTTGGCACGGCTGGGACTTCCTTAGGCAATGAGCGTGCTGCAGTCAGATGAAAACTCTGTAAGCGTTGAGAAGTCTCAACTTGAGAAGACAGTCACTGCAGTCAGGCATTACCATACGGGCGGGGAGTTGATCTCATCCCTAGAATCTCAATGTAGCGATATGAGGAGAGGATCGGCAACTTAGGTAGTGTGATTGTTTCCAGGTTCCCTTGTTTGGGGAGCGGTGGACGTACAACGAGGGTACCGCACCCGCAAATCAAGGATTGACCATACACGCCGAGTGTCACGGGTCGTGACAGTGTGAGGTTCATGTGCGCAACTCCTGGTTCGACTGGACAGTTCGAAGGGTGTTACGCAGTGGTCAGTTGCGCCCACCCGTGACACCGAGATGTAACGGTTAATGTGCCTGTTCCCGTTGGTTGGCTTCGAGCGTCGTCAACTCAGCCGATGGTCGGACTGAGATGCCCGACTGGTTCTTGCCGAATAGTATGGGGTTGACCTCTCCATTTGACCCTGCTTCAAGTTTTGTGGTCGGCCGCTGCCCTCTATATACACTATAGAAGTAATACTGATGTGCAACCTCGGCATTAAACTGCAACCTATTGTACAACTAGATTCGAAGCTTAGCGCCCCTCCGTTGAAGATTGTAAGCTCCACTAGGCATCTAGCTTGTCCAGTACTTGGGCGCGCACAGCCGAAGCTTAGAAACTCAAACGGCTCAAGGGTATTAAATCGCTATATATCCCGGCATACGAATTGCAACCGCTCCAAGGAGCTTGAGCTGTTGGTTGACGGTTAGTGACATGTCGGCTTACAGCCCTAAGCCGCTAGATATCCAACACTCCTACCTTTTGTGCTGGATACCTATCCACCGCTCCTACCTTTCTGAGCGACTTATTTTGATGAGCCACTCTAGTTTATAAGCCCCTCGTTCCGTAAGCCAGATATTAACGGCTCATCTACGTGAGTAGTATATCTCGGCTCGTCAGGGTCCGGTTTGCACCGCTACGCATTCCTCCAGCATATGCAGTTCTTGAGGTCAAGAGGACGGCGTTTTCTCCAGTTAAACCGTGCCATCGTCTCAGCCTCTCTTGTCGTTCCAGCGGACACGCACCGATACCCGGACCTTTATTTTTTCTGCCTCTGAGATCTTGGCTGCCTCGATGAGCCACCGATCCGGTGATACGGGAAACCTCGTGCGCCGACTTCCACTTCAGTTTGAAAAAGCTACCTTACCATGCAAGGGCCCTGTCCGCGGCGTGGTTTACGAATTGGACCCGAAGGCACCTAGCCTAATGGAGCGCGGCCTTTTGTGGAAGTGCCCAAGAAGATAAGCTATGCGGGAAGTGGTACACCTTCAACGACTCAGTGGCATCGTGGGTACAGGTAACCAGACCGTGTGACGCTGACATACACGGTCGACTAGCACCACGCCGACCTGCCGGATCAGCTTGTCGTCTTGGGCACGCATGCGGTTAGTTTCAGTTCAGTGTGGAGCTGCTGAAGTGGATTTCGCGGCAATGATTTCTTGACGGTTCTTGTCGATGCGTTGGTGCCGTTCCTGGCGGTGAATTGCTTGACGCTGGTGGTATTTATATGTGGAGGACGAGAATCAGGTTGCCCAGGGCGGGGTCCAGTTTTGATTGGCTAGATTCGAGTTCTATACGAAGACGAGCGTGGACGGAAGCGCCATTAAAGGGCTTGAAGGGGCTGCGAAGTGCGCGTCAGTTGTTTGTTTAGTTCTCAGGAGTCACCGGACCGAAGCTGGTCAGGCGGAGCAAGGGGAGGTGCAAAAGAAGTCATTAAATGCATGTATTTGAAGAATTAGCTGGGCCTGCCTCGAGGAAACAAGAGTCCGCAACGAAAAGGCCAACTCCCACGGCCATGACCCATTGGGTCTCAAGCCCCTTTCCAGTGTCCTCTTAAGCCAAAAGTACCACGACCGACCCGATGACGGCGGCCAGAAGCATGCTGGTCGTCGCACCCAGGGCACCTGCCCCGTTGCCTTGTTCCAGTCCATCCTCCACGGTCGTGTTGCAGATCCCGGTGCCATTGAGCACAGAGGCCAGGACGTAAGCCTTGGGCTCGCCTCGCCTCATGTACATGGTGACGTTGCCGGTGGCATCGGCCGTGCTGGTCTTGCAGGTAAGGACCTCGACGACCTTGTCGTTTGCCTGGAAGCCGCCGACGCTGACCTGATAGCTGTCGCCCTTGCTGCTCTTGTTGTTGATGCAAAAGACAACTTGGCTGCCGTAGGGGCCCTTCGAGAGGCAGAGGTGGTTGACGTCGGCCCACAGAGTCTTGGAGGGCGACGAGATGTAATCAGACGACCGCTTGATGGCGTTGTTGCGCACCTTGTTCAAGGTCGAGGTGAGGGTGTAGAGCGGGGCCGACTTGTTGTACTTGGAATCCCACAGGGGTTCACGGTTGAAGGGGGTGCCGTTGCCCTTGAAGTGCTGCTCCTGACCTTGGTAGACTGCATCGACGACATTAGCATTTTTATAGCAAGTTGGGTCAGGCGACGCGAGCAAGACTGACCCGTGGGAATACCATCGTTCAGCAAAACGTAGGCCATGGCATTCTTTGCCAGCGCCAGATCGTCATTGAGGCTGGCAAACCGGGGCATGTCGTGGTTCTCAATGAAGCTGCCGAGAGCAAGAGTGTCGTTACAGGCCGAGGCACCCTCGTTGCGAATGTCGGTAAGATTGACCATGGACCCACCATTGAAGGCCAAGTTGAGCTTGTAGAAATCCAGGTAGTTGGGCATGCCCGGGAGCAATCCGAGGGTTTGGTAGCGGCACATGTCATCGGGCTTGCCAGTGAGCACCTCGCCAAGCGCGAACACACCCGAGGCCTCGACGAAGGCGGGGAGGAACTCATCGTTGACGTGCTTAGCCGCATCGATACGAAGGCCGTCAATCGAGTAGTTGGCGACGAGTTCTTTGACCCACTTGTTCATCTCGTCGGCAACCTCGGTCTTCTCGGTGGCCAAGTCGGCAAGAGCAATGCCGTAGGGGTAAAGCCAGCAGTCCTGGTAGTTGGTGGCATTTTCCCAATCTGTCACGTTGCAGTACGAATGGAAGTACTTCTCGTCGTTGAATGGGTTGAACTTGGAGTAGTCGACCTTGGGAGGGACAACGTTGTCAAAGGCCTGGGCCATGTGGTTGACCACGACGTCGACCATGAGCAGAATGTCGCGCTTGTGCAGTTCGTCCACAAGATCCTTGAAGTCCTGCTCGGTGCCGAACTTCTCGTTGAGGGCGTAGTTGTCCACGGGCCAGTAGCCATGGTAGGCGGCGCCAGCGGATGTGTCGTCGTCGATGTTCTTGACGATGGGGCTGATCTGGATGGCAGTGAAGCCCATACCTGCATGAACCGGTTGGTCAGCCGCACGCCACTACGAACCGTGCCAGGGGACCTCTCACCCTGGATGTAGTCGAGGTTGTTCAAGAGCCCCTTCCATGTGCCGCCGCAGAACTCATGCATCTCACACGTCGCGTCTGTCGACCCATCTGTGCGGGCATAGCGGTCAATCATGACCTGGTATATGGAGCGCGACTTCCATTCGGTCGCGTTTGCGGCTGAGCCCACGTCGGCGAAGGCCAGGACTGTCGCGACGGCGGCACCGATGATCGAGGTGCGCATGGTTGTTGTAATGGCTGTAGCAACGAGTGACTGGGGTCGGATTATCACAGCAGATGGCGTCCTCCTTGATCTCTCACTGCATCAGGCGGTAACAACACAGCAATAAAACAAACGAGTGTGATGACACGCAGGGCGATGACGTTGAAGGGAATGGATGTCGCCGTTGAGGTACGGGACGTGTGCTCGCTAGCAGTTGAGGTGCAGATAGGGAGGTACCACGGCTGAGAAAGTCTGGGGAAAGATGCAGGCCTCGTGGATGCCCATGTCCCCCTTTTCCCCTTTCTGCCCCGGGCTTCCGGCTCGTATTGGCTCAGCGGGTCACCGCAAGCAACCGAGGCCATTGGTGACACCTGATCATCGCGCTGGGTTGTGGATCGGTCCAGGGGGCGACACTGGGGAAGCACTGGTCAATGCCCTTCCAGGTCCTGGGCAGTGCAATCATAACGTCAATGCCAGCTCTGCAACAACTTGCAAAGTCCGCCAGATCACTGGTGGAAGCGGACGCAGTTTTGACGAGCGAACTGGATGGTTGGTCCTCAGGGTTTCCGGTCCTTGCTGAAAGTCTTCCATCGAATTGTGTTGCAGCTGTTGCCGATAGTTGGAAATTTCAAAATTGGGTCATTTTGGAACGCACAATCTGGGCAATAAAAGAACGATCTTATTTAAATGGAAGACAACAATTGGGGGCATCGGCACCACTACTGTGGTAATGAATGGCTGCCCTACCGGTAGTTTGGTACTCTGTGCTTCGCCCCTTTTCTGTGCTTGTGTGACGGTGCTTCCAGGTTTCATCAACGAATTTCTCTGCAGACGGGAAGGAGTCGACGAGGGCGGTTGTCAGATCTCAATCGCATTTGCCCAAGAATTTGAGGTGTGGAGCCGCTGAACAGTTTTTCTCAGATGATCCACTCATGCTACGGCTTGGCAGGCGCCATGTGGGACCGAGCGCACAGGAGCCTTGCTTTGTCCCTGCCAAGTGGGGGCCCCGACTCTCCGCCTAACGACACGACAAATGAAGCAAATCGAAGCGAACGAGGAAGAACAAGCAGACACACGACGAGGCGACGAGGAGCCCCTTTTTCGAGAACATCGAAGCCCCTTGAGAAACCCGCCTGGGCACTGTTTGAGGGTGTTTTGGACGGCCAAAACGACGATGATCTCGGACAGTATTAACCCACAGGGCCTGGGCCTGGAACCTTCGGGCGGGTGATTTGCAGAGGATATGCAAGCGACAAGATGTGCAAGCCATTTGTTTCATTTGCCTTATCGGCCCAACCTAACATCGACCTCGCCTGTCCTCGAGCGGCCAGAGCGGTTACTCAGCGCCAGACGAGAGCCTCGTATCGCGCAGAGCGTCCCATCTGGCCGTGGGTCCCCTTGGCACCACCCGAGCCCCCCATATTGGTAAAATGAGAACGCGATGGAACAAAGGAGGCGAAAGAAGGAGGCGTGGCTCCACCGCAACCGCAGGTTTTGCAATCCACGATCCGAACTTGGGCCGGCCAACGTTTACCTCAAACCGCCCTCGCTGGAGCCCCGTCTGGGATCTGTTTGCGGAGGCGCATTGCTCTGGTTCGAGTCGCTAGGGACAGACGAGCATGGCCACAGAGCCAAACGCTTCGAGATATCCCGCACGTTATGTACACCGCGGCATCCCCGTCTCGGCGACCGTGGAAAAGAGGCAGCAAGGCTGAGCTGTCTCCCCGTCGTTTGTCAGACGGGCAGACGACCGCCCGTATTGCAGGCCATCACACTCCTTGCCAGCCGACAACATCCCGGCCCTGAGGCGTGAATGGGCTGACGGGCCCCGCCTGAACGTTCCCCGTCCGCGTTCCGAGCGGGTCGATACCGCATCCGCTCTGGAAGCAATCCCAGTTGGGAAGTGTACCCAACCACAAGTGGCTTCTCTCCTGAAAAGTGCCGCCTCCTGGCTTCAGCTGGCTGGCCGAGTGGCGCCGCTCTGCTGTGGGTTTGTGAGACCAGGGGCTTGTCATGAACCAAGCTCCTTTCCGCCCTGGGGTGTGTCTCTTCTCCTCCACACTCATGTCATCGTCTCTCGCTCTTGTGTGTTACGGTTCGGCCTTGTAGTGGTACGGATATCGTTGGCGTTTGTCGTTTCTTTGCTTGCCTGTCTCTCGTTTGCCTTGCCGTGTCGCTCCCCATGAGAGGGGGCCGAGAGTGACGATGACTCGTCCGTCCTTCTTTTCTCGCACGTTTCTACACACACTTGCTACGGCTGCTTCCCTCGTTTCCGGCCTCAAGTTCGACGCAAGTTTGGCCGACTGGAATATCAACACCAACCGATCGGCCCAAAGCCCCCTCCAGTACTCGGGTCCAGTACGGGAGAGCTACTACCCGTCTCCAAAAAATTGGAGGGTACCCATCTACACACTCTTTTTGGATCGTTTCGTCAATGGCGATCCCAGTAACGATGATATCAATGGCACGGCTTACGAGACCGACATGATGAGTACCCAGCTCCGGTTTGGCGGGGACCTGGAGGGCTTGAGGGACTCCTTGGATTACATCGCCGGCATGGGGTGCAAGGTAATGTGCCCTTTTTCGTGCCGACACCGAACATGGCAGCATCTGACAACGCCCAGGGCATCTATATCGCAGGGTCTCCGTTCATAAACCTCCCATGGGGCGCCGATTCGTACTCGGTACGTCGCTCAACGTTATCCTCGCCGTTTCTCGGGGTGCTAACTTCCATGCGTAGCCGGTCGACTTGACCCTCCTCGACAAGCACTTCGGCACCCTCAAGGTTTGGCAAGATGTTATCGACGAGATCCATAAACGCGACATGGCTGTGGTGCTGGATAATACCATGGCGACGTAGGCACTCCCCGCCCTCTCACCAGAGATCTTTTTTGGTTCTGACAAGGGTACAGGATGAGCGACTTGATCGGCTTTGAAGGCTACCTCAACGACAGCACGCCGTTTCGCGAGGAGGAACACAGGGTGTTATGGAAGGGTCCAAGGCGCTACCTCGACTTCGATATCGGCAACGAGTACAACGCGACATGCGACTATCCCCAGTTCTGGTACGAAGACGGCACCCGCATCAACCCGCCGGGCCTCAAGGGCTGCTACAACAGCGATTTCGACCAGTATGGTGATATTGAGGCTTTTGGCGTCTGGCCTGACTGGAAGCGGCAACTGGCCAAGTTCGCATCGGTCCAAGACCGTCTCCGCGATTGGCATCGTCCCGTTGCCGATCGCCTTGAGCATTTCTCCTGCATGGCCATCAAAGCTTTGGACATCGACGGGTTTCGTATCGACAAGGCCGTCCAGGTCACGGTTGATGCACAAGCATCCTTCAGTTCCGCGATGCGCAAATGCGCCGGCGAAATCGGTAAAGACAACTTCGCTGTGTTTGGCGAAATCACGGCCGGAAACACCCTGGGATCGATTTACTTGGGTCGTGGTCGAGAACCTGTGAAGGATGACTTTGGTTGGCAGGACGCAATCGCATTGGTTAACAAGTCCGACTCCGAAACATCCGGCTTGTTCATCCGCGAGCATGGCAACAGCGCTCTTGATGCCGGTGCGTTCCACTACTCAATTTATCGCTTCATGACGCGCTTTCTCGGCCTGAGCGGCAATCTCGAAGCTGGCTACGACCTCCCGCTTGACTGGGTCGAGGCCTGGCAGTACATGGTGCGCACCAACGACTTCATCAACGCCAACACCGGGGAGTTCGACCCTCGCCATCTGTATGGTGCCACCAACCAGGATGTTTTCCGCTGGCCCGCCATCGAGAAGGGCACTGAGCGCATGCTCCTCGCTTACTTCATTACCACCCTCCTGTTGCCCGGCGCCCCTCTGGTGTACTACGGCGAAGAGCAAGAACTATATGCGCTGGACGGTACGGCCTCCAACTACGTCTATGGTCGTCAGGCCTTCGCCCCTTCCCCGGCATGGAAAGCACACGGCTGTTTTGGACTCACTGTTGGACAATACGTCGGTTGGCCTATCGATGCCGGAAAGGGACGCAGGGGATGTGAGGATCCGGGCGTTGCCCGGGACCACCGCGACCCTTCTGCACCGGTCCGCAACATCTTTCGGCACATGTTTGCTCTTCGCGAACGCCTCCCGGTGCTTGAGAAAGGCTGGCAGCTCGAAACTCTTGCCAAGCAAACTGAGTCCAAACTGCTCAATGGCAGCACTCAGGAGACAGAATTCGGCATTTGGAGCGTCGCTCGTGGCTTCTACACTGCGGTGCAGCCCGAAGGCTTGACAGATCCGCCAGTGTGGCTCGTCTACCACAATCAACCGAACGAGACGACTTATCGTTTCGACTGCAACAATAAGGAATCCGCCTTCATTTCACCCTTTGACGAGGGAACCAAGGTCAGAAATCTTTTCAGCAGTGACGAAGAACCCATCACTCTCGAGGCCTCTGTGCGGCCCAACAACTACACTGGGACAAAGAAAAGTGCTGGCTGTCGAAGCAGCATCACACTCGCGCCGTACGAGTTTCGCGCCTATGTAAGGGACGAGTTCTGGGTGCAGCCGGCGCCAATGATCACCTTCTTCAGCGCCGGCGAGTTCGCGAGAAATGGAACCCCTGGTCATGATGTGTCCCTGGACTCGACAAACGCTGGCGGTGTCATCGACCCTATCTACATCGACTTCAACGTCAATATGGACTGCGATTCCGTCAAGGACGCACTGTCTGCCGTGGCTGTAATGGATGGCGTGAGCAGTCGGAATCTCACGTTTGACACACCCTCGTGCTCGGAAATCCCGCGGAAGAACACAATTCCGTATACGGGAGCCCTCCAGTCAGCGTGGAGGTTGGAAACCAGGTTGCGCGAAGTCCCGGATGGCATTGTCAAAATCACCGTGGGCAAGGACGCCGCCACCGCAGGCGGAACCACCACGAACATAACCGACCATTTCCTCCTCCGCTTTGGCAAGCCCGACAACCCTGTGGTCTTCCCCACGGCAAACTATTCCCGCAGTCTTCTCTCGGTAGAAGGCGGGACAATGTATGTCCAGCATAACGCCGCTGGTGCCACTCACTGGCGGTACAGCACGGACTGGGGCTCGCATTGGAGTTCTTGGACGGAGTACAATTCCGCAAACGGCAAAGCCCAGGTCACCGACAGCGTCGCAATCGGCGACTGGAAAGGGACGGAGTTGCAAAAATGGCCTGGCAAGCATCTCACGGTGCAATATTACAGCAAGCCGCTGGGTTCCTCGGCCTTCGTCCAGCACTCGGACAGCAGTGATGTGCCGTTCCAACGCGTGTTCCCTCACATCAGGATCCATGGCCCATACAACAAGTGGGGATACGATGCTGGCCTGCCCGGATCCATGGATTTGGTGGCTGACCATAAGTGGACTTTGCATTTCATGTACGAATGGCCCGCCATTTTCCAGCTCAACATCTGGGGCATCAATCCGGACAACCAACCGGATGTCACGGCCATCTACGGGGACATTGACAACGACGGCATTGTCGACCGCCTTCCTCCTAGCAGTCTGGCAAAGAACGTCATCAACATCACCCAACCGCCTCCGATGCCAGCGCTGGCCTACAAGCTTGTCTACAATGATGCGGCTTGGCGGTTTGACTACATCCCTTCCGGGCATGTCGGCACCCAGATCATCATCTTCATTCTGCTCGCCGTCTTGCCCGTCCTGTCCGCCGTGCTCGCTGGCTGGGTTTACATGCGCAGCTTCTATCAAGTGAAGGTCAACAAGTCGGGCTTCACCAGCAAGGGATGGATGCCGCTGGGGCTGAGCAACCTTTCCAAGCTTGACCTCAAGTCTCTTGGTAAGGGCGGGGTCGAGATGAGCGCCATCACGCCGACGCCACCCCCCAGTGCCGCCATGGCTCCCCTCGGCGCCTCCGGCGGTCGGCGGACCGTGCTCATTGCCTCCATGGAGTACAACATCGACGACTTCAAAATCAAGATCAAGATTGGTGGTCTCGGTGTCATGGCCCAGTTGATGGGTTCCGCGCTTACCCACGTGGACCTGATTTGGGTCGTTCCCGTTGTTGGCGATGTCGACTATCCTTTCGATCGCATGACGCAGGCAGAATCCATGTTTGTCCAAGTCATGGGCCAGCCGTACGAGATTGAGGTCTACTACTACACCGCAAAGAATATCACCTACGTGATCCTCGACGCCCCTATCTTCCGCAAGCAGACCAAGGCAGACCCGTACATTGCGCGCATGGACGACATCGAGAGCGCCATCTTATATGCCGCGTGGAACTACTGTATCGCCGAGACCATCCGCCGGTTCCCGGTCGACATCTATCACATCAACGACTACCACGGCGCCGCTGCTCCGCTCTACCTCCTCCCGCAGACCATTCCCTGCTGTCTCTCCCTCCACAATGCCGAGTTCCAGGGCATGTGGCCGATGCGGACACCGGAGGAACAGAAAGAGGTCTGTGAGGTCTTTAACCTGCCGCCAGAAGTGGTCAAGGACTACGTGCAGTACGGTTCCGTCTTCAACCTGCTCCACGCTGGTGCGAGCTACCTCCGGATCCACCAGCGTGGATTCGGCGCCGTTGGCGTATCCAGGAAGTACGGCGATCGCTCCCTCGCGCGGTACCCGATCTTCTGGAGCTTGAAGAACATCGGACAGCTCCCGAATCCCGACCCATCTGATACGGCTGAGTGGGACCCCACCAAGGACGTTTCGAAGCAGTCCGGAAAGGTCGAGATAGATCAGAGCTTCGAAGAGAAGCGGGCGGACCTCAGACGCCAAGCGCAGGAGTGGGCTGGGCTAGAAGTCGACCCTACAGCCGAGCTGTTTGTGTTCGTCGGGCGGTGGAGTTTGCAAAAGGGTGTGGACCTCATCGCCGATATCTTCCCCAGCATTTTGGAGAAGTATCCCAAGACCCAGCTCATCTGCATCGGACCAGTCATCGACCTCTACGGCCGGTTCGCAGCGCTGAAGCTGCAGAAGCTCATGCAGAAGTACCCTAAGAGGGTGTTCAGCAAACCCGAGTTCACTCAACTCCCGCCCTACATCTTCAGCGGCGCGGAATTTGCGCTCATTCCCTCGCGTGACGAGCCCTTCGGCCTGGTCGCCGTCGAATTCGGCAGGAAGGGCGCCCTGGGTGTGGGAGCACGCGTCGGTGGCTTGGGCCAGATGCCGGGTTTCTGGTACACGGTCGAGTCGATGACCCCATCCCATCTCTTGCAGCAGTTTAAGCAGGCCATCATCTCCGCGCTCGAGTGCAAGCCTTCTAAGCGAGCTCTCATGCGAGCGTGGAGTGCCAAGCAGCGCTTCCCTGTCGCGCAGTGGATCAAGCAGCTGGACGAGCTTTACAGCGAGTCCATCCGGATCCACCACAAGGAGGCGAGGAAAAAGAAGCTCGACGCACTCAGCCCTCCCAGTCCGAATCCCAGCCGGCCAGGCTCACGGCCGACCTCCCCAAGGCCGACCTCCCCCAGCAGCACGGTGACTTATGTGGACAACCAAGGGTCCGCGGTGTTTAGCCCCGGTCCGGAGACGAACTTGGTGCCGCCGTCGCCTTCCGCGAACCCGACAACAAGGTCCCTTATGAGCCCTGGACCCGATCTGCCTACGCCAACAGCCCCGTGGATGGGAGGGAGATCCAATTCGCCCCGTGACTCCACAACGAGCTCTATCGGAGGCCCCGGGAGCTTCTACGCTAACCCTAGCGCGCGCGACAGCACCGTCAGTGTCGACAGCTTTGCCATTCGGGCACAAAGGGACGGAATGCCCTCACCGGGTCTGACTCCTGACCACGGCCTGGCTCCGCCTCGCCCCACGCTCGGACAATCCCACCGCAACAGCAGCCTGCTGAGCCTCCCAGACGTCGTGGGCGACAGACACGACCTGAAGCTGCAGCAGGTCGACCAGTTCTTCAACGACTCTAACGGCGAGTACTATGCCATGTTCGACGAGATGCTCGACAGCCTGACGGCCCAGAACTCGGCCAAAGACCTCTGTATCGAGGAGTTCCTCAAAAAGAGCGAGAAAGAGTGGTTCGCCAGGTACCGCGACGCCAAGCTGGGCCGACACCGAGAGTCGCGAATGAACAGCCCGGCGAGCAGCCGGCCCGCGTCGAGGAACGGCGACAGGCGGAACGAGTCTGTCGTCAGCCGAGGACGGCAACGGCATCGCAGCATGACGCCGAGTAGCTTGGCCCGATCCGTGTTTGAGCATTCGCCGCCTACCAACGTGGATGATGAGTTCTTGCTGGGCGAAGGGTACCAGGCGCCCACGGGACTGAAGAAGTTCCTTTCTTTCCGCATCGGAGACTGGCCCATCTACTCGTTCCTCCTTGCCCTCGGCCAGATCATTTCGGTCAGTTCATACCAGATCGTCCTCCTCACGGGCGAGACCACCCAGACGCCAGAGAAGCTGTACATGGTAGCAGCAACGTACATTGCGACCTCGATCATCTACTGGGCAATGGAGCGGAACCTCCCATCTCTTTACGCGCTTTCGGTCCCGTGGTTCTTCTTTGGCCTTGCTTTCTTGTTTATCGGCATCGCACCCTTCCTCCCAGACTGGCGTGACGCCAACAGGCTTGAGGCTGCCGCGACATGCTTTTACGCAGCCGGCGCCAGCAGCGGTGCGTTGTCGTTTGCGCTCAATTTTGGCGATGAAGGTGAGTTTGCCTATCTCCCCCGTCCTCCGCGCCGCTCCCCGAGATGTACATTCAGAACTGACATGATTTCGTAAAACAGGCGGCGCCCCAACAAAGCAATGGATCACTCGCGCCCTGACCGTGTCCGGGTTCGCCCAAGTCTACAGCATCGGGCTCTGGTACTGGGGCTCCATCGTGGCCAACATGGACCCGACAGCGACCGTCTTCGTCGGGACGTCCAACGTGCCGCAGGCCGTCGTCGTCGCCGTGCCCATGGCCGTCGTCTTCTGGGCCATCGGCGTCGTCCTGTACCTCGGCCTGCCCGACTTCTACCGTCAGTCCCCCGCCAAAATTCCGGGCTTCTACATCTCGCTGTATCGCCGTAAGGTCGTCCCCTGGTTCTTTGTCATGATCATCGTGCAGAACTACTGGTTGTCGGCCCCCTACGGCCGCAGCTGGCAGTTCTTGTTCAATACGCAGCACGTGCCCGGATGGGGCATCTTCCTGCTCGCGCTGGGCTTCTATGTCGGGCTCTGGGCGCTTGTCCTCTACGTCTTCTCGTACTTTTCCGACGAGCACACGTGGCTGTTGCCCATCTTTGCTATTGGCCTGTGCGCGCCGCGCTGGGCGCAGGAGTTTTGGGGCACGAGCGGCATCGGCTGGTATCTGCCGTGGGCGGGCGGGCCCGTGGGGTCGGCGATTGTATCGAGGTGTCTGTGGCTCTGGTTGGGGCTTTTGGACAACATCCAGGGCGTCGGGTTGGGCATGATGCTGCTCGCGACGTTGACGCGGCAGCATGTGTTGACGGTGCTGATCGGCGCGCAGATTGTCGGCAGCGCCTTTACCATGCTGGCGCGGGGGACTAGTCCCAACGCGCTCTCACCGCACACGACGTTCCCCGATTTCTCGCAGGGCGTCATGCCCGGGGCGGCGAGCCCGTACTTCTGGGTGTGTCTTGGGTTCCAGTTGATTATTCCCATCGGGTTCTTCAAGTTTTTCCGGAAGGAGCAGGTCGCGAAGCCGTAAATGTCCCAAGTCGTGGGGCTGGCGGATGGCACATGTGTGTGGAACTTGGAGTCAGGCGGGCGGCGGATACTTTTGTGTTTTGGTTTCGTTACGGTTTGGATACCACCTACCTTCTTTTGATCGTTGATGCGAAATTTTTTTTTTTTGGGTGTAATGTGACGATATGATCACGTACGGATATAGACAAATGTAATAGAATGGACCGAATACAGTATGATTTGGCTCTCAGGCCGTCCCGGGCCATCCAACTTGCTCACCGGGGTTTCGGGGTCACTCTTTCGTGTTCACTGCTGGTGCCAGACAACGCGGACGTCGAGTTGCCCTGTTTCACTGGCGCCCTAGAGACACACAACATTGAACACACACTCACGGTCTGTGGAGGAGTTTTTGTGGCGTGTCTCTTTTATCTTCCAGGAGAGTTCGTCTCGCCGCGCGACCTCGCTGCTTACCGCTACCTCCTCAGTCCACCGCATCCAGGAATCGGTCGATTGTTCGTCGAGTCCTAGTTCTAGACATGGGCACACATGGTCGACATGGAACTGCTTCTTCCGCGATGCCGCGTGGGCAACTCATTCCAGCCGAGCAAGTGCATGTCGTCTTGGTTGTGGCCATGAGGTCGCTGACCTATTTCCCGCCGACGGTATCCCAACCATTGAATGTCGGCAATCTTCCAGAAGTCTGGCCAGGGAGAATACTGGAAACCGGATCACTACGACAACGACCGCAGTGGGAGGGTTATACTGTGCTACCAATATGAACGCACTCCCGCAGTCTTTGGGACTTCGGTTGCCAATGACCATGGGGTCAGGGGTGCACGACAATGTCTGCCACGTGCATATTATATTGCTCTCACCACCGACACTGTCAGGAACCGTTCAATCTGTTACCCGGAACTCGCCACTGTGATGCTCTGCGTCCGTTTATTGGTGCAACCCAGCAACCACAGCGAAAGCTGGACGGGAGAGCCGCGGATGGTACGAAGTCAAATGCGGGGAGGAGCCTCATTACCACCCTATACGGGCCTCGGAACACGTCGTCCTCGCCGTTTTCGGCTCGGGGGCAGTTCGGGCTGCAGCGTCGCCTCGGCGCTGGGTTCTGGACCGGGTGCCGTAATAAAGGTAGTATTTTATCCGGGACGCAAGTGCCTGTATAATATCAAGTTACCAAGCCGAGACCGACTAGCACTGATCCTTTCATATCCCTGCCACGCTGGTTACTGCTTAGTGGAAGAGACCAAAATAGAATCAGCGGGTCTCGTCGTTGCTTGGTTCGCCACCGTGGTCTGGACGGTCCAGTTGTGTAAGTGTTCCTACCTCGGGTTCCTCAAAATGGCGTCTCTCCTGCGCGCCAAAACGTCAACCATCCTTTATTTCTCTCGTCGCTGGGACTGTTTGGCAGGTGGTTGTGGACATTCAAAATGCACATCCGGCGTGCTCTATTGGGAATCTCGACATTGCTCGGCCCCGTCCTGCCGGCTTCAGGTGGGCGGGTCGGTGCCCGGGACAGAATGTCAGGGGCAATACCGTCCTCACACGTCGTCCATGAAAGACAAGAGCACCATCACGTACAAGGATGGGTGAAGCGTGAGCTCGTGGATGCTGAGTTGACGATCCCAGTGCGGATTGGGCTACAGCAGTCCAACGTGGCCGCCGGGCACGAGCTGCTGGTGGATATGTAAGTTAACCCTACGTATTGTCCAAATCGAACTGTCGAACTGGGAATTGCCTACATGGTATGCAGATCCAACCCGCGGTCTCCCAACTACGGCAAACACCTGTCTCGGAGCCAGGTGGTGGACTTGTTCGCGCCACGTAGCCATTCGGTTGACCAGGTCAAACGATGGCTCGTGTCAGCAGGAATCGATGAGGGGAGGCTCTCGATGTCGCCGAACAAACAGGTAAGCTTCTGTCGATTTCCGGGGCCATAGCCTTGACGAGTAACGGGGAGCAAAGAAAACTGAAACTGCTAACACGGACTTCTCATGGGCTTTCGAGATAGTGGATTCAGTTTGACGCCCCTGCAAACGAACTCGAGGAGCTGTTCCTTACTAGTTATCACGTCTTTGAGCATGTCGGGACGGGTATCCAAAACATTGCTTGTTCTCAGTCAGTTTCCCCCCTTCAAACGAAGTGTGCAGTAATCAATCAGGTCGTCTCCGCTGACAGTCCAGGTACCATGTCCCGCGCAATGTGTCGCACCACATCGACTACATCACCCCTGGAATCAAACTCATGTCAGGCGGCTATGGGGAGAAAATTGTGAAGAAGACGGTTGGCCGGCGCAGCATGACGGGGGATCTCGGCGGCCAAAGCAGGAAAGGAGGAAAGATGAACAACTTGCACCAAGTGAAAGGCAAAGGGAAGAGCAGGAGGAAATGCCACCCGAGCCATCCGGTTGACCCAGACGATGACAATAGCATGTTCCGGGTGAGGGGGCCATGCAGCGATGAAATCACGCCGCACTGCATCAGGGGTAGGCTCTGACTTGTTTCAAAACTTCAGCAATGACCATATTAACAGACTTCCACAGCCCAGTACCAAATTCCGAATGGCACCAAGGCCACGAAAGGCAACGAGCTGGGCATTTTCCAGAGCCTGAACCAGCACTACAGCCAGGAGGATCTCGACACGTACTGGCGGTACATCGCCCCGTACGTTCCCTGTCCTTCCTCATAGATATCTGTCAGGAGCAAGGACTGACAATAGCAGCTGGGTTCCTCGCGGCACGCACCCCAAGTTGCGGTCTATCAACGGCGCCTACGGGCCAACCAACGACACGTCCAAGGCCGGCGAGGAGGCCGACCTCGACTTCGAGGTGGCCATCCCCCTGATCTGGCCGCAGAAGACGGTCCTCTTCCAGACCGACGACGAGTGGTACCAGCAAGACCAGCTGCGCGCCGACAGCAAGTACCCAGGCTTTTTCAACAGTGCAGTCTCCCTTTTTCCTCTTCAGCCCCCTCTAACCACCCTTTCACCTCTGTTTCTCACACTAACTCTCCATGTCTGATCTTCCTGTCCAGCCTTCTACGACGCCCTCGACGAATCCTACTGCCACCTGACAGCCTTCAACCAGACGGGCAATTGCGCCACCCCCCAATGCCGCGACCCGGAGTACCCCAACCCCAACGCCTTGCCCTCCCAAGGCGGCTACCACGGCCCGCTCATGTGTGGCGCGCACCGCCCAACCCCCGTCGTCTCCATCAGCTACAGCGGCACCGAGCACTCTTGGCCCGCCAACTACATGCGCCGGCAGTGCCTCGAGGTCATGAAGCTGGCGCTTCAGGGCGTCACCGTAGTCGAGTCCTCCGGAGACTATGGTGTTGGTGGTGGGCGGTGGGATTCCCGCGCGGGGTGTCTGGGCGAGAACAGGGACGTGTACGCGCCACGGGTCATGGGGAATTGTCCGTATGTGCTCAGCGTGGGCGCTACGGCGCTGCAGGAGCCCGAGGCGGTGCCTCATCCTAGCAGCAACCAGGGACCAACAACAACATCAACAACAACAGCAACGAGCAGGAAGTTGATCGAGGTAGCGGCGGATGGGTTCGCCTCGGGGGGCGGGTTCTCCAACGTGTTCGGGCGGCCTGCGTGGCAGGACAGGCATGTCAGGACGTACCTGGAGCGGGCCAACCTTTCGGAGGCCGGGTACGTGAATGCGGAGGGCGTGCCGTTTGCGAGTCTGAGGCCGCCGCCGGGGCCGGGCAAGCTGTTCAATCTGGTCGGCAGGGGGTATCCCGATGTGGCGGCGGTGGGGGAGAACTTCCGGGTCGTGCTGAGGGGGTATCCGAACCGCATGCACGGCACGTCGGTGTCGACACCGATTTGGGCGTCCATCTTGACGTTGATCAACGAGGAGAGGCTGGCCGTGGGCAAGAGCACTGTCGGGTTTGTCCACCAGGTCTTGGTGAGTCCCCCTCTTTTGCCTTGCTCTTTTGTCTACAGTTTGGGTGCTGACGATGGGATTGTCGAATAAATAGTACGAGCATCCGGAGGTGTTTACCGACATCACCACAGGGTCCAACCCGGGCTGCGGAGGAGACGGCTTTCCAGTCAAGGAGGGGTGGGATCCTGTGACAGGCCTGGGGTAGGTCTTGTTTTCTCCTATTTTGCGATCACGGCTGACATCCGCAGGTCCCCGATATACCCTAAGCTGCTCGATTTGTTCATGAGCTTGCCCTGAGCGGCATTCGAGTGAATTGCGTATCTTCTATGTATTTTGACGTAGCTACAAGAAGAAATGAGCAAGAAAAAAATGTAAAAGAAAACATCTTACTCGGATACCGGGAGTCGAACCCGGGGCTGTTGAGGAAGCAGTCACTCCTGAGAAGTGAGAGTCAACGATGTTACCGCTACACCATACCCGATGAAATCGTTATGGTTTCCGATTCGTTGTCTCTGGGGGTAGGTTGTAGCATACACATGCTTTACCGCATACGACGCCCCTTTTTCCCCTTTTGCCCCTGAACAAGCATTGCATGTTCCTATCCAGACCACATACAGAACAAACATGTTACACCTGCGGGATAAAGACAAGTGCTCAAAGCCAACGCTCATATTTTATTACCACTGATCGATATTCAATGCCGTCAACATGATACTACCGCCTCCTCTCCCGAGAAAAACATCTCGGGTTTCGAGTAACTCCCCTGCAACCCATGACCTTCGTTGCTAATACCATCACCGCTGTACCAGTCCAAGTATTAGTCCTCCTCGTCGGGCTCATCTGAAATTTCCAGCGGGTTAGACTTGTCGTCCTCTTAAGGGGGTGATCCTCATTTCATTCCTTTGACACTCCTCTATGTGTTCCTCTTTGTACGATATTGTCATTCGGTCAGCCTCCATCACCAGAGGAAGGAAGAACGGGCACAAAGGAAGTAATAAAAAAACACAAAAAGAGAAGAGAAAAAAAGAAGGAAGTAAAAAAGAACAAACGAGGGGCGTCGAGAACATTGGCCATACCTCGGACGACTTCCTTTTTGCCTTGCTGTATTCCTTCCCGCAACACGGTTTGGCGCAACGTGATTAGTGAGGAGGCTTCTGTATCACCTATCTATAGCCACAACGCTTGAGATGACTCTGTCGCAAAAGTGATTTCATCTCAGTCAGCACTCACCAACCTGTCTGACTCATGGGAAGGGATCGAGACCTTCGCCATACCTCCCAAATGCCCACTTTGTCGTAGGCCCGGTTGCACTTTAGACAGACAAGTGGTGTAGTAAACAGTGGGCTTGAGCGATCAATGTTGTGCATTGTTTTTTGATGGTACCCGACGTCTAAGAACGTAAAATTGCAGGACTCGCATTTCACGTACTGGCCATCTGGTGGTCCGACGACGTGGAAGCGCCCTGGAACCGGCGAGGCGGCTGCCCTTGGCGACCCTGGCAGGCTAGCAGTGGTCGAGCGATCGGCCGTTGGCGGGGCGGAGGATCCCTCAGGCTGTGAAGCAAAGGGCATCATCGGGTGTTTCAAACCGCCCTGAGGGAGTGCCGGTTCGGGTGAAGGCGGCTGGGCCATGAATGTTTCCGTTGCTGCATACCCCAAATCTGCTTGTTGTGCCGTCATCAAGGGATCCGAGGGCTCGACAGACCCCACGAGTGTCGAGTCTGACATGAAGGGGGTTCCGTGAACTGGGTCATGGCTTTGTGGTTGGTATGCTTCAGGGACAGCAGGCATAAGGGCTGTTCGTCGGGGCATCGGCGCTGACTGAGGTCCTGGCGGAAGGGTGTTGTTTGGCGCGTTCTGCCCCTCTGTCTCCTCTTCTCCGTTCAGCCAGGCGTCCAACTTGTCCTCCTAGTCATCAATCGCATCTGAATCGAACCCTAAGCTTTTCCACTTCTTCCTCGGGTCCGCTGACCCGCGATCCGGAGGTTCCGTGTCACGAGGTTCCTTGTCCATAGCCTCGGCACACAGCTGAACGCACCGGTCGAGGGCGGGGCCTCTGGCGTTCCGTGGTGCTGGGAAATGCAAATTGGTGATGAACAAGTGAAGGAAGCACGAGGCACGCGGAAACTCTGACGAGTCCAGGAGTAGTTAGGCACAGCTTGGAGAACATTGGCCCTGGCCGCTTTCTCTGCTACGTCTCTGGCAGCTGAATTCCAGTCCCTCCACTTCCCCGGGAAATCTCATGTGCCGGTGGTACCTTCCCATCGCCTACCCGTGGTGTCATTGATGGTAGAACTCGGAAGGTGCCAGGAGGCTGGAGGCAGGAGTCTCGGGACGGTGCTCTGGTTCTTCAAGAGTTCCAGCATCAACAGTTGGGTACCTTGGGCATGCACGTGCCCAGGACATTGAGCCCCTCTCTACTCGGGCAGCCTCCGTCCGCAGAGGCATAAAAATGTTTTCCGTTTCCCACGAAGAAATACCCTGGGTGGTCATCGGCCTACCCACGACGTTGAACAAGGTGTAATATACTGGCAACATACACGTTTCAGTGCAAAGGTACCTGACAAGTACGCGAGTTGTAATCCGGGATCCCCGTTCGTGTAGACAACTTAACATCACCAGGAACATGCAGCCAACTTGGAAGCCGAGGGCTGTCCAGCGACAAGGGCAAACAACTGAGACTGCTCGACATGTATTTCAGAGATTCAGAGTTCGATATCTCACCAAAAAGGGGGGAGAAATGATCACGATGCCTGGACAAGCAGAGCATCATGTGAATCCCCCACATCAATACAAAGTCCTTAGAGGGAAAAGCGTGTATTGACCAGCTCTTTTTATAAGAGCTCAGCTCAGCGCTTGTTCCTTCGTTACTGCATTCTCTAGGTTTGTTGCATCCAGGGCCGGGCTTTTCCAGACAACCGAACGAAAACCCACAATTCGATCAGGTACCTTGGTCAATCCACAGCGAAAACTCAAAAACAAACCCAGTCACAATATGAACCTCGCATCCCCCCTATACCATCACCCAACCAACCCCATCCCAGACCCCTCAAGAAGGATTAACCCACGGCCTGCAGCGGTTCGCAGCACAAAAACCAGAGCAGCACGGCCCGACATACTGGCCGTTGCGGAAGCACTCGCCGTACGTGTGCACGCACATGCCCTGGCAGCTGACGCCCGTGACGGGCGAGGGCGGCCCAACGAGGATCTGGTTGACTCCACCGGGCGAGATGCTGCTGGCGAGCGCGACCTGGTTCAGTGTCTGGAACTTGCACTGGGAGAAGGCGTTGTAGTCGGGCGCCTCGATGAGGTTGATTGAGAGGTCGTTGTCTGCACGTGGTCCGTCGTGGTCAGTACACTGTTTAGGAGAGACCGGCAGGGTTCGAATTATCGTCATTAAGGGGAAGGAGGGGAACTGGGGTTTTACTGGTTGGGTAGACGGTGCCGTCGGCTGGGATGGCCATGGTGTATTGGGCTGGGCCGCCGTGGAAGGTGAGGTGGACGGTTTGGACGTCGTCACGCTCCTCGATGGGCACGGCGGAGACGCTGGCCATGAGGCCGAGAGCAGATGCGAGGGTGGTAAGATACTTCATTGTCGTGGTGGTCTTGCGTGCCAGTGTTCACTGGTACAGTTGGATGACGCAGGAGGGGATGGCAACAATGGTATCAGCAAGCTGCTCACTTTGCCGGCATCGACTGGTGCCTTTATATCCATCCACCAAAATACCAAGTAAGTAGCATGACTGTGCCGCCATACCGAGAATTGGCATCTGAAGGACTCAACCGAGAATCGTGGTCAGCCTGGCTTAAGGTAGGTAGGTACCTAATCAGGCAACATACCAATACACCGCTAGCTCTTGATCAGACTACACCAGGCAAATACGAACTTTGAGCTTGGCGTGCCAGAGTGGCGTTGGATAGAGACGGGTAACAACTCAGCAGCTGACCCGGATCGGCGGCAGAGCTTGTGGGATGAGTGATATGATTTGGCAGCGGGAAGCAACCCAGCCTCGAACCTGCTGCTGTATCGGGCTGCATAGCAGGGAACCCGGCTCTCCTGTAATGTACCAGTATACAGCATTTCGAAGTGAAGGGTGCCCGACTTTCCGGTAACGAGCAATGTACCTGTACATGCACAGACGGGACTTGGGAGTCGGCGGCTAAGTATTGTTGGACCCGCCAATCGTTGGACATTTTAAGATGTAATGGAGTATACGAGATGTGTACTACATTGAGCAGATGAGAGTAAGACGGAACAATCAGTGCGCACTTTCAGCTCACTCAGATCCTCTTTCACCGCCACCCTCAGCGAACCGATGACGGGATGAAGGGATGAATGAGAAGGAAAACAAAAGCTCAGGCACATGCCTGTATGAGAGTTTGCCGGAGGTTTCCCTTGCCGATCGAATGGCCTTGGGGAGCCTGGTCCTGTTCCGACCTTACATCCAATACTTCTGGGTGTTGAGGAGCGGGAGCGTTATAGTGCAATCTTGGAACGAGCGAACTGGACCCGGCCTTCTTGCTCGTTGCGGTGCAGCCTTCTCATGAGCCAGGCCGTTCCGTTCCATACTTTGTTTCTCAACCGAAGGAGTCAGAGTCTCAATCCCGCGCTTGTTGACGACTCACACAAAATCAAGCACCCTTCGCCTTGACATACTCCCTCACAATCTCCCTTAGCCCCTTCGCCTGCAACCCCAATTCCCCATTCGCAATATCCTCCTCCCTAACCGCCTGCCTAGCCCCATCCGCAAAGGTACCGATACACAGCACCAGAAAGAAAGCGCTCGCGTCCCCCCCCGCCAGCTTCTCGTCCCTGACTTTGGCAAGGTCCTTGGTGCTCACACGCGTCACGTCAAATTTGGCGCCGGTCTCCTCCTCAAACAGCCGCAGCAGCTGGTTCTGCGTGACAGTCTGCTCGACGACCTCGTAGTACCGGTTCGCCGTCTGCTCCGGGGGACGCTGCAGCACGGCGACGACCGACTGCGCGATGAAAGGGAGCGTGGACGCCGGGACGGGCTCGTCGCCCGAGTCGTAGATGGTGGCGGTTTTGGAGGCTAGGTTGATGCCGTAGACACCGTGGTCGAAGCCCTGTTTTCGTCTCGGTGTTAGTCCCCAACAGTTATAACATGAATCAAAGCCGGGGGACACCTTTGAAGATCAAGGCAACACTCACCCAGTCAAGAAACGTCCCATTTGCAATCCCCGTCCAGGTCAGGCTCGGGTGCAACTTGATCTGTTGCAGCAGGTAGTCGACCGTCTTGGTCTTGCCGCCGAGCACGACGGCTAGGTCGGCGCTGAGCTTGCCCGGCCGCGTGTTGAACCCCCACTCGGCGGGGATCAAGCGTTTTACGCCGGCGGCCACGGCGGCGTCGATGTACTGGTTTTGGTTGCCCGACTCCTGGGCGGGCACCGTGATGACGACAACGTCTTGTCCGGCGAATGCTTTGGTCAGGGACGCGACGGAGCTGAGGTCCGCCCTTCGGACCTCGACGCCGTCTGGGAAGGTCGAGTTGGAAGTTTCCCGGGAGATGGCCGTCACTTGGAAGCCGGCTGCAAGGAGGGCTTGGACGATGGGCCTGCCCAAGGTGCCCGAGGCCTACAGAATGTCAGCTCGGGTCGGGAGGGGAGTGGTGGGAGTGGAATCTTGCCCCGACTACGGCAACCGTCTTGAAAGCCATGGTGATGATGGGTTAGAAGGCCGAGTTAAGTGACTGCCGATTCTCTCTATCACAAAGGGGGAGGGGGAGGCCGAAGAGTGGTAGCTTAAGGGCGACGTGGAAGTGATCGAACGATGAACTGGCAACACCGGTACTAATTCGCGGCTACAATCATTTATAGCTTCATCAACGTCGACCTTGCAGCCTTGACAGCTGAGAATATCCGAATCATACGCCGAGAAGGATCAATACACCTCCGCTCACTCAAAAGTGGGGTGTACAGCCCACGTTGCTGCGCTCGCTGTCGTGGCATGTGGGGTCCAGCATTTGTAAGCCTGGGACTGCTCGAGGCCTGGCTGAGACACCGTTTCCCTGAGCTGTACTGTACAGGATCATGACGGCTCGTTGTGCACTGTGGGGCGCGGCATGTATGACGTGCCGGAACGAAGCCGCCTTGATGGCTGCATTCAACGGACCTCGGTGGTTGATTGGTGCCAGCACTGCAACCCCTCTTCCTTACATACTTAGTCCTCTCCCATGCCCATCAACAGCATGGTCAATCAATCACTTTTTACCACCTTAAAAATTCAATCCACTGCTTTGACTGGGAATAGCTTCTTCCAGCGCATATCTCAGCGGTCGTCGCCTTGCAGGTTCCAACATGACGCAGTGTCTTCTGCCCCCAGCCGTCTTTCTTCAGAGGCGTGACCTAGGTGACAACATTGATGACGAATCGAGAACAGGGATTTCATTCCTCCATGGGATCCTTATTACGGTCAATAGCCGCCTGTAATGGATGAATCAGCATCTCGTACATACGAGACTGAACCGAAATTCGGGGCCGGACCAGGCGCGTTTGATTCAGTTCTGTGGCCCTGTGTGGCACAACGCGGCAACGCCGTACACACCAAGATATACTTCCTCCTGGATGTTCTTTATTGAGAGCCCAAAGTCGGCAATTCAAGTTCCCTGACATCGCGCCCAAAGCTGTCCTTGCTCCAGCTGTTCATGAACCAGATTACTCCCGTTGTAAGCCAGTCCATAACCACGGTCTTGAACCAGCTTTTGTCGCCAACCTTCTCCCACCGGAAAAGAGTCTCTTGGTACGTCTTCTGGATGACCGGCCTGCGCAGGACCTCGTAGTCGGCAAACATCTGCGGTATGGACCGCCGGTCGCGGCGGCTAAAGACGTGTGCAAGAAGCACAGCGTCCTCAATTGCGACTCCGGTGCTTTCGCCCTGCGGCGGCATCTAAGGTAATTATTACCCTCCTGTCAGCGCTTGCAATATGCTGTGGAAAAAGGCCCCCTTCCGTCACCACGATGATCATCAACATACCGCATGCGCGGCGTCGCCGAGCAACAACGCACGCCCCTTGGACCACACCCCCCCCGGAGGAAGCATGTAGACCGGAAACGACACCCACTCCTCGCACCTTTCCAGCGCCTCCTCGAGACCGGCTAGCTTCCCGCCTCGAAACCGCCTCGAAAATTCACTTCGAAGCGCATCCCTCTCCGCCCCCGTCGCCCTCTTCCCTTCCCTCCCGTCAGTCTTTTGATTTTCCGGCTGCGCTATCACAGCAGCCAAGTACAGTCTCGAGAGCGAGGGCTCAAAGAAGGTGACGAGCAGCGATCCCAGCTGGGCCGTGATGACGGTGGAGATGCCCACGACGGGGGAGCCGTCGGCGGCGGCTGTGATGCCGGCGTTTCCCGGCTCCGAGACCGGGATGAAGCCGTAGGCGGTAGCCCGCCCGGAGTAGGTCTTTTCGCGGGTCGGGTCGACGAGGGAGCCGCGCACGAACGAGTGGATGCCGTCGCAGCCGAGGACAAGGTCGCCTTGGATCATGGTCTCGTCGTCGTCGTGGCCACCACCCGTTGTCGTGGTGGTGGTGTCGGTGAAGCGGACATGGATGCTGCCCTGCGGGGAAGAGGCGTCGCCGAGCTCTTGGATGCTGGTGACCTTGGCTCCGTACCGGAGCTCAATGTGGTTGTTTGGCACTGCGCGAACCGTGTCCACCATGGCCTCGACCAGATGCTGCCGCAGCACGCGAATGGCGTCGACATTGGGCCATAGTCTGCCCAGCGACGAACCGGTTCGGTGGGACACCATGTTGATGTGGCTGACCTTCGCTCCTTTGGGCCGCAGACGTGGTGCGACTCCGAGAGCGTCGAGATAGCGCATGGCAAGCGGCGTTAAGTTGACGGCGCCGCCGAGTGTCTGGATGCCCGGCCGTAGCTCGAGAATCGTTACCCGAATGGGCGATGAGTCTGTGGATTGCTGGTGTAGTGCCAGCGCTGCGGCAAGGCCCGCAGGACCTGCACCTACGATGATGGCGTGCATTGGCGTTGGGCTGATGGGCGTAATGCTTTGTGCGAATTATCGGGTTCTGGTGCTAGCAGGCAACGTGTTTGTGGATGCCGCGAGCTTCGGACTCTAGAGTTCCAACGATGCGCCGTGGAAAGGATCGGCAAGATGTCAAGAGACCGCCAGATTATAGGCGCATTTCTGAGGTCCAAAGGCAAAGAAACCATGCCCCTTGAAAACAGGCGAAAGCCTTCAGGATATAAGTAAGTAGCTACTGTACTTATCGTGCCGGCGTCTGCGCTAGCGTGTCGCATGCATCGGATTCAATCCGAGCTCAACGCCACATCTGAAGTTGACTCAAGTCCTGATTGGCTGCCATTCAGGCGCAATCTTCCACGGCAGTTTCTGAGAAGGGTTCGACCCTTTGACTGATGCTAAAAGCAAAAAGTCCAAGTCAAGAGCTTACACCAGAGAAAAACAAAATCACAAATCCACAATCGAATGTGTTTCGCAATGCAAAAGCAATGGGATAACCAGGAATCGAACCTGGGTCCTCTCGGACGTCGAGGATGGCCACAACGAGAAGTACTAACCACTATACTATTATCCCATTTTGAGTTTTGTGGTGATATATTCTACTCTTATCATCTTGGGCTCTGTAATTAGGACGCAAAGGTATGAATGCCGAGCAACCCAACGCTGGCGATTGAGTCAGAGGCGGTGGCTGCCACTAGCGGGCCTCCAGCTAGAATCTCTCCTGACGACTGGCTAGATTTGTAGACGCCTATCGTGAGAAGTCTCCGTGTTCTTGGGATTTAGAGTCTCGGGTTGATAAAAACCCTGTATGAGGGGCTCTCTGCAGTCACCAATCCACGTGTGTGCTATTGCCTTTGACTGAGGTTCCTATATATGCAAATCTTCCAACCTTCCATGCTGCCCGGAGAATGATGCAGTGTATAGTCCACTCTAGCTGGGCGCGGCCGTCATGCATGATCCCCGCTTTTGTGCGCCTCCCTGGATCCTCATCTTCAGTGCCGCTAGCATGAGGCTATTTCCGATTTAAAGAATGACGCGAAGATTACCTTCACATGTCCCAATTATGCTACAATCTTGCAATGTACAAGACGCAATATGCGGATCCACCGCACTGGCTGTCTGTCATACTCAACGAAAACACGTCGCCTTCCCTGTGTACTTCGAGTTCCCCACGCATATAAGACTGGTCCGACCCGTCCTTTCACGGCTTTGTAGTGAGACATTGTACTGTTATTTTTAAAGGGCTATCTAGTTCTGGTACGATGTGTAGCCCTCAAGAGGACGGCAAGGGACAATTCCCGAACGCCTTTTCCCTCGGCCCAGATCCATATCGTTCAGGTTCCTTCGTACAAAATCAAGTAGCAAATTTGCTGCAACCTCGCTTTCCAGACACCGTTGATGGGGGCGTAGCCCTCCATATCGACAAGAGATTCCTCAGTAAGCCTCCCTGCCCCCCGGCCCTCGGAGTTGGAGCCAGGTGAGCTGGCTTGAGCTGAGTTCTGACGTAATTCAGCCGCCTACACACCACCTTCACCAAGACCAAGATTCTGGCAGCTACCAGGACGTCCGCAGCGCTCATCAGCCCCAAGGAGGTTTCCCCCGTCCACTCATCAGCCGCCAGACACGCCTCCAAGCTGGCCCGAACCCGAACCCGCCCTTTACACCGCCGCGTCCAGCCCTGCGTTCAGCCTGCCAGTCATCTGCCACGACCCTCCCTTTACCGGGATGGATCCGCGAGCGGAATCGGAGGCAATGTCCCCGTGGCAACCCCAGACCGGCACCCTTCGCGGGGGAGACGACGACGACCTCGCCGATCTTGCCGCAACAGCAGCACCCGCCGGGTCGAGGCAAGACACATTTGTAGCGTCGCAGGGAGACGCGATGCTGCTAAATGCCATGGACCATCAGCGGAGCTCGGCGGAGCAGTGGATGGAGATGTTGCAGCGGCCTGCCGGGGATCGTGGGGAGCCAGTGGCTGCGCAAGAAGGGGGCGAAGATTGGGTACTAGTGGACGGGCGCGACGCGTGTTTACATGGACCTGTAGGTGGGACTTGTCCTCATTGTGGGCGGACGCTTACTGCGGAGGACTGTGACGAGCTTGGTATGGATCAGGCGGGTATGGATACGTTGTGGAAATATGTTTACGGGGACGGCCCAGTGTGAACAACACTTAGGACAGTTTCATGGAGATGGGCCTAGTGCGAGTGGTGAGGGAGTGTAGAAGTTCAGGGAAAGGGGAGAACGGGAAGCTTGAATCTACATGTAATTGAGTACCTATAGAGGGGAGACGTTTCTAGGCTGAGTTCCATGGCAGGGAGATGCAACGCCTGCGCAATGGTTCAGGTAGCAGGCAACGGAGCTGAACTGAACATCAGTGAACTTACAGAGACTTCCTATCAATATATAAGCCTTTTCATTAATCCATATCATTTACCCAGATGAACCCAGCTACCTGAGAGCTGACCAACCTATAATCTGCATTTTAAGAGCCATCTCACGAGCAATCGCTGTTATCTAGATCCGTACCTACCGTACTCAAGGTCAATAGGTAAATAACTAGGTAGTTTTCCACCTAATCAACGCCAAAATAAGGGACCTGAGTCTGAAGCGTGTTAGACCTAGAGGCGCACCCGGATTTCCATAACGTATTAATTTTCAAGACAATTCAAACGGTTCAATCGGGCAAGGTAGCCTCTTACCCCTTCACTACCGTAAGTTCACTGCCCCTTAACCCTCACTTCGCACAGCTCCAACGGCGGAAACGCCGGCTTCATCTCAGGCAACTCCATGATACCCTTCAGATAAGCCTCGACACCCGGCACCTGCTCCCGCATCTCCTTATCCAACACCAACCGCGACGCCATCTGCAGCACCCCGGCAACCATGATATCCGCCAGCGTGAGCTGCTCGCCCACAAGAAACTTCCTCCTCCCTCCCTGGACAGCGACCTCGAGCCTCTTGACGGCCCTCTCAAACCCGCCGACATGGTACGCATACCGGGCCTCGTCGTACGGCACGAGCTTGTACAGGCACATGACCAGCAGCGGCGTGATGTTGCTCTCGAGCTCCTGCGCGGCAAAGCACGACCACTGCTCGACGAGCGCGCGTGTGCGCGGGTCGTCGCCGCCCAGCAGCTGGCCCGCCCCGTGCCCGCTCTCGGCCACGTACCGGGCGATGGCCTGGCCCTCAGTCAGGTGGAAGGTGCCATCGCCCGATTCGAAGGCCGGGACCTTGCCGAGCGGGAACTTGGCGAGGAACTCGGGCGTGCGGTTGGTCACACCCATTTGGAAATCGGGCGCATCCTCGAGGGTGAGGCCGTTGATGGCCGCGATGGCGTGGAGCTGCAGGCGGGTTAGCATTCTGTTGACAAGTCGAGGGGGTTGGGCGAGGATAGAAGGAACAAAGGACATACATACCCTTTGGACACGGTAGCTGTTGGGGTAGCTGTACAGTCTGCCGAAGGGGGCCATGTTGAACGTGGTTGAAGCGAGTCTCAATACGTGGGATTGCTCGGACAACAGGCAGATTTTCGTGCTCCAAAGAATATAACAACAGCAAGCTTGGACCGGGAAACCCAGAGACAAAACACACAACCCCTGGACCTGACGGCCTTCTTATCTGTGCTGGCCAACACTGTGGAACGGTTACACCGCCCCGGCAAACCGCATTCCTAACCCCTCTTCTGGCTCCGACGGCCCACGAGATGAGGGAGGTCCTTGATCTCGGGGTCCACCCGTGCTGTGCAGCTCGGCATTGCTGTGCATCCAGTATTCAGTAATACATGTACTATACATGCCAGATACTCTGTGCAACAACTAAGAGAAACGGTTAGCATGAGAGTGACAACATGATTGGAGTTGAGCGATTGCCGTTTCAGGAAAGGCCGTGTTGTGACAATCTGATATCTCACAAGATGGGCAACCAACGCAAAGCGTTTGGCCAAAAAGCCCTTCACCAGCAGTCAACCTTTCTCAAACGCGCTCGAGGTTTCTCGGTCTCGTGCGGACTCCTGCGACAGCTAGGATCAGGGAACACCGCGGGCTGGATTTGTGAGCTGACTCTTGTTGCAAGAGAGTGGGCGCGTTCAACGAAGTGGGTCGCCTAGCCCACGGTTAAGGGAAGTTTATGTCCCTGTTCCCAGGTGGATAAAGTGGAAAGTTCGAGAAAAGCAAAGTTACACCCAATCGGGTCCTAGCTCCCTGAAAAATTCACCGCCTTCGTTTGGCCCCTGACAAGCTCGGTGCACAATCCACAGGCACACAAAAAGAGACTTTGGCAGAAAATACAAGCAAAATAATCAGGAATCCACTTTCTTCAGATTCTGGACGAGCTGGGAATCGAACCCAGGACCTTTCGCATACACGGGTTTGGTAAGTACGCATGCTAAGCGAACGCTCTACCAACTGAGCCACACGCCCTTGGAAATGTTATTGTCGATGGATGTTGTCGGGGCTGTTCTTGTCGCTAGCGTCAGCCTCAGAGACAGCCGATTGGACTCTGCGTTATTCACAATAGATGAACCACCCTAATATCACCCTCCCCAAGCCCACCCTCTACCCATCACCTTCCCTCCTCCCTATTCACACACACCGGACACCCTCCCGCAATTCGATCCCTCAGCAGCCTCGCATGCGTGACCTTGGCCCCGATCAAGTGCGTCGTAGTCGTCGATACCCTCTGCTCTGCCGCATCAACAACCCCGTTCAGCACGACCTCATCCACCTCCTCCTGCCCTGGGTGGTGCAACCTCTCGAACAGGTGCGTCAGGTGAAAGACGTGCCCGCACGCAAACCCCACCAGCGTTTCAACCTCCCACTCGCCAAACGGCTCGAGGCAGTCCGCGCAGTGGCCGGGCGTCCATTTCCTGGCTTTCCGGTGATCCGCCGGGGTGGGTGGCTTCGCGAGCGGTACTTCACCGTTCGCACGTCCCTTGTCCAACTTTGCGGCGTCTCCCGCAGCAGCAGCCGTCCGACGCGTTGGTGTGCTTGGTCGTGATGATGATGGTGGTGGCTGTCCGTCCTTGACGGCAACCTGCTTGCCCCCCCCGGTCGTAATCGTAGATGTCGCCACCTCAAACTTGAGACCCTTCCTCTGGCCCATCCTCAACAGCCCCTGTGCAGCTGCCACCTCGCTCCTCAACACCTTGGCCACGCCCTCGCAGATGCTATACTGAATCTCGTGCTCCTTCATGATGTGCTTCAACCCTTCGCGCAGGCCCTCGATCTCGAGCCCCTCGGGGATCCGGCGCACCAGCGCGATGGGGTTGATGGCGGTGCCGACCTCCTCGAGCAGCGCGCGGATGAAGCGCGGCTTGTCCATGCTGTAGGTGAGAAGGTCCTCCCAGAGATCCGGGTCGTCCTGCTCCTTGGCGAACGCGATGGCACGGCTGATGTCAGCGAGGCGATCGATGATGAGGAAGAGAGCGCGTTTGGTCTGGCCCGTTTTGGAGTAGAGGTAGACGAGCTCGGGAATGTAGTTGTAAGATTCGCACTCTTGGGCTGCCTGGGGGTGAACGTTAGCGAACTGGTTTGCATCAACGATGCCGGTTGCGGGAGACCGATACCTTTTCGAATGCGTAGGCCGTTGAGCTCTTGAGGAAGTCCATCAGGAACGACCGGTCGTGGATGGCGAAAAGGTGCACCGCCAAGTCCGCGAATTGGTCAACTAGGGACTGGCTGTCGGTGACAAGACGGGCGCGAGATTCGCCGGAATGCTCATGGATGCCCTCGCCGCGCCACAGGCCTCGGAGGTAGAAGAAGGTGTACAGATCTAGATGCTTCTCCTGGAGTTGGTTGATGACAACCCCAGGCTTGACCAAGCCATGTTGTGCCTCGTCTACGAGCAAAGTAATGGCTTCCGCCGTAGCTTCTTCCAGCTCGGCAACGCTCATCTTGCTGGCACGGTCATGAGGAACTCGTAGGCCAATGAAGCTGGGTATGTCGTCAGCCACGGCGTCGGCAAGATGACCCTCCTTGATCAGACGCATCGCCGAATCGGCATCCTGGAGTCTGATGTGACATCTGAGGGCTTCCCGGGTCCTGCCGTTCGCCTCATGAAGCTTGGCCAAACCCTCCATGACGATCCGCCAGTCACGACCGACTTCGCCGTCCTCCACGCTGTCCTCCCGGACGTCCCGGTAATTAAGCTGGTCTTCCAATGCCGTAGTGATCGCACTCGCATCATAGAGATCTGGCGACCACCGGTCGAGCAGCTCCCGAAATTGGAGCTTGTTGACCTGGAGGTAGTGGCCCAGCATGACCTCATACAGCGTCCCGGGCATCGGTGGCCGCGTGCGCTCCGTGGGTATGAAGTTCACAATCTCGTCGAACTTGTTCGCGCCCGCAAACGTCCAAACCCACTTCTCCCACCGGTCAGGCGTCCCAAGAACTTTGCCACAAATCTGCCCCGCTCTCGCCCAGTCTCCTGTCTCGATGACATCCTGTATCCATAACTCCCCGATGCGCCGCTTTTCCTTCTCGGCAGACGAGTAAAGGGACCGCAACCCGTCCGCCACCGATGGAGTGTCATCGTAGAAATCATCCGTACTTTGCGTGTGCTGTGGTGAGGTGGGCGTGACGTCGGGAGCGGTCGACATGATCTCGGGTTGCTGATCCACCAGCTCCCATGCTTGCTGGTACTGGTGATGCTCGAGAAGCCACGCCAAGTGATCACCTAGATCGCGTCGTGTCGCCAGTACGCAGTCGTACGGGCTGTGAATGAAGATTTTGACACCCGGTTTGACGAGATGGGGATGCACCGAGGTTCGCGGAGTTCGACCGCTCGGTGCAGCGACGTTGCTACCAGACGCGCCATCACTCCCTTTGCTCATGACGCTCGCGGCGGAACTGAACAGGGACATGGGGTTCAGGGCGGCGTTGAGCACGTCGCTGCCAAGGCCCGCGAGCGTTTCGAGGGCACCACGGGATGACGCCGCCGCAGCCGCGTTTTGAGCTGGCAAGATGCCAAGGTGATAGTCATTCGACGATAACCTCTCATACCGGCTGATACTGAGGCCGTCCTTGTCGATTTCAGCCTGCGACGATAGGTCGATGAGGCGCAGCTCTGGCGGTTGGTTATTCTGTCTGCGCGGAATGCCCCCGGAAGGCCTACTCCCCGTAGACTCTCCGGACAACGTGTGCTTGTGTCCTCGGGGTGGTCGTTCGTCCTCGTTCTCCTCCTCATCATCCGGTAAGCAGAAGGCTAGCACTAACAGCAAGTTCTGGGTATATAACGAAATGCCGGAAATAATGCAATCCATGCGAAGTCTGGAACGTCAGCAAGCGTCGAGACGAGAAATACGGGCAAGTCACCCACATCTTTACAATCTCTGCCCGTCCAGCGGACCTCTCCCCCGCATCCTTCCCGGTGCCGACGCCCCCGGGATGAATGTGGATAATCCAAATGGTGCCTCCCCACCCCACCAGCAGTCTCTCAACCCTTTCTGTGTTTTTGAGTTGTTGCTGCTTCAGGCTCGCGGCCGCGGGTGACAATACGACGTCGCGCTGGTCTGCGGAGGCATCATCAGGCTCGACCGCCTGCTCGTCGACCCACTCAATCCTGCCTTTCCACACGCCGGCCATGGTCTCCCACGCCTCGGTCTGAGGCCGGTCAACATGCCCAATGCGCTTCCAGGCGTCTTCAGCATCCGCGTGTTCGAGATGCAGCTTCGTGCGCATGATCTTGATTCCATGTTCGTTGAGCCAAGCCACGTACTTGCCGGACAGGGACCACTTGATGGCGTTGATTGCACCCTCGCCCGAGTGCAGAACGGTATCTCTACCACTGCCGGCCCCAACCATGCTGCCCAACCAGCCTGCAGCCTGGGCAGTGGCGCCTGCCGTCATGGCCGTGCTCCGGCCAGTGGGCGCACCCACGGTCAGGACAAGTTGACCCGCGAGTCCACCGGACAAGTAAGTCTTATCGTGCTTGAACTCGGGCGACAAGGCGACGGCCTGGACGGGGCGGGCAAAATTTCGCAGTTGCACATCCTTGGGCTCGACCAATGACTGCACACAAATGTTTCCATCCATCGACGAGGTTGCGATGTAGATATTGTTGGACGGCGTATTCGGCACGGCGGGCGGGTCCTTTGGCCTTCTCGAGGCGGCAGCCGGCGAGGCATGGCTCTCGGTGGTTCCCGTGGCCGGCCGCAGAGGGCTATTTGGGACTGACTTCAGAGCGGCGTCTGTTCGGATGCTAGGAAGCGGGGGAGGGAAAGGAGAGATCGATATGGACGTAACTGAGGCGGAGTGGGCATGGTAAACGCGCAGGGATTGGAAGGCGGGAAGCTGGACAACGTGCTGTACAAGAGTAAAATAAGTACGAGGCATGGCAGAGGGGATGCAGTGCTACTTACGATATTGCCATTGTGCGTCCCGATTATCTGCAACCAGAGTTAGCAGCAGCGCCAGCTACAACACACAGGCGGCTGGGGCATCCTGACCATCTTATCCCCCGTCACAAGGAACGCACTTGTGGCGTCGCCATTCCGATAGACGGGCCCGAGGTGTTGCGTGAGACGTGCGTACTTAAGCTTCGGTTCCTCGTCCTCCTCGTCTTCGTCTTCTTCGTCATTGTCGTCCTCCTCCGCCTCCTCCTCCTCCTCCTCCTCATCGATGTCTTCCCCGTTCTCATCGTCCCCTTCCTCCTCGTTGCCTTCCTCCTCTCCTTCTTCGACGCTGTTGTCCTCCGTCACAGTGGACTGCTCTCGGCATGGGTTTGAAGCAAGTGCATGTTTTGCATCAGCACCAGTCGAAGTCTGAGCATAACTAGACGTGTCTGGGGCTGTCGCGCCGATGACTTGGCCGGGTGCGACTCCGGTGTCTGGCGCCGGTTCCGTTGCGTCACCGGGTATTTCATTGTTATGGTCGCCGGCCTGTGGCGAGCTGTCGGTCATGTTGAATCGGACGACAAAGGCAACTTCATGGCGGTTTCGGCGTCGTTTGTTGCGCGGGCAGGAGCTGTCGAGCGGCAATGTGTTTGTTGCGGCTTCGAAGCTCCGGCTGTAGTAGCTTCCATGGGCCAAAGTGCTTCCTACGTCAGAGGCTAGCCGACTTCCGACAGGCTGTTTGGCGCCCAACAGCTTCAGGGGTTTGCTTGGTTTCGGCCAATGAAACCGCGGGGAATCCCACCCTGGATCGGCGGGCAACAACAGCCTTGTCCAAAGCTTCCAGTGCGCGCCTGAACGCGCTTTCCGCCTTTCAAGGTTCAACCACGACTGGAAGGTCAAGACTGCGGCCGAATCAAGCCGAATTAAATCGTTTCAGTACTTAGCAATTGCTCAACTTCCGATCGGCTCTGCAATCTTACGGCAGAGATGGCCGTTCCGGGTTCACTCGCAGCAATTTCTAGCCCATTTTTGGTGTAGTTCGCGGGGGACCTGCACGCCTTGAGCATGGCCTCAATCACGTCGCTTGGGGTGCACCAGCCCGTCGGACTGCGACATGCAATTCAAGAAGGAATTCTGCCCCGAGACCCTCCCGCTTCTTCGTACACCTGGGAAACCATTGCCAGCAGCGAGGACGGCCGCGATTACGAGGACGAGCTCCTGACCACCGAGAACTGCGTTATCTGGTCCCGCGGAGGCATCTTCCGAAAGAGTTTCAAGTTCGACCTCGAGAAGGAGCCCGTTATACAAGCTCTGCTGGCTTATTTTCCGGCATCGGCAGACACTCCCGCATCTGTCCAACATGCCGCCGACCGCCGTTCGAGACCGACCGAGAAGCCCGCCCTTTCAAGAGCCCTCGTCGTCTTCTTCAAGTCCCAGGCGCACATCCACTTTCTCTCCGGGACAAGCCATGTCGTCCACATACCTTTCGAGGTCGAGTCGGCCTGCGCCGGACCGCGCGGTGTCGTCATACAACGAAAGCTACGATTTGACGGCACATCAGTATCGCTGAGAATGCCAAAAGTGCCTCCCGCCTCCTTCGTCTCGTCCCAGCCGCCCCCCGCCCATAGTCGCAGTCATGGCCATAACCTGACCGAGTTCTCAACAGAGGGACTGGGCAATCCCAAGGTTCTGCCCTTGCGGCTTAGCTTCACTCTCGAGAACATGTGGCAGCAGCCGATGGAGCCCGGCGAAAGCCACTGGCCTCGTCTGGTCTGTCTGACCGACCCCTTGCTGGAGATTGGCTTGGTGGTAACGGAGCCGGAGCCGGAGCTACCAAAAGCTGGCAAAAGTCGGAAAGGCTCCTCGGCGCCTTCCTTCCTCAATCGCTCCGAAGAGATACTTCACATCCAGACCGTCAAAATCCCGTGTATTACTGCCGCGGGGTCTGCCGAACTCACCGTCGCAGTTACAGTGAACCGCGAGATCAACATGTACACCGTATGGCGCTTGACGTATCCCAAAAACGAGGACCCTTTTCTCGGCCCGCAAAAGAGGAGGAAGCCCAAACCAAGCCGAAGGCGGAGCTCTATGGCACCGGGAGGCGCCACGACGCCCGTTCAGGCATCAGCAAGAGAAAGCTTCGGCGCGCCGCTCCCAATGAAGAAGACGAGGAAGACTGTCAAAGTCGAGAACAATAACAGGATTCTCGAGAAGACTCTGAGCTCTCTTGTGGATCCTGACAAGGGCAACGATGCCACGCGCAGGCATTCGCGGCGAGTGAGCTCTCTGCTCGCCCGAGCTGACTTATCCGCATCGCAAGACAGAGCAACGTTTGGCGAGCAATCCATACATGGCGGCCATGGAGGCAGGAGGGTTGATTCGCATGGCAGCCAGCGACTCCGACTTAGCAGTGGATTTGGGGTGCCAAGTTTTGGCGCGACCTTCAACTACAACCGCATTGCCCATCTGCCCGAGGTCCCGGTCGACAATCTTCTCGAGGAACTGCGCGCCGGCAGTGATTTCGAGGGATTCCATCACATCGGCCTGGACGACCATGACTTTGACGGCCTTGTACACGAGATGCTGTTCACCAAAATCCAGAGCATCAACGTGGATAACGCGAACGTTCGATACTCGCTCTCCGGGAAGCCCGCGAGAACCCAAGCCAAGGTGTTCATTATTGTCGGGCCTCCGACTGCAACCGATGACTGTGGTCGATCACTCCTTTTGGTTGCTATCCAGGACCCGGTCGATAAGAGACTACAGCTGCTCACACTTCACCTCGAGCATCTTGAGGACCGCACTCCGATGAAGAGCAAGACTAAGCACTCCGGGTCCCTGGGCTCTGAGGACTTCATCATCCTTCCCGGCGAACCTAGGCGAGTCCAGAGCGTTGTCGACTCTTGCAAGATCTCTGATGGGCATGAATCCATCATGGTTTTGTCAGAGGACAAGAGCGGCGGACGTGAACTCAGTCTGCAGTCGCCATGGGGAAAAGTGACCACAGTTACCCTGCCGTTGCTGCTCATGAAAAACGTTAGCAGTATCGAGTTTTCAGGTAGCCACGGGACTATCGGGACGATTCGTGAGCAACTTCCGCTTCGCTTTGCCATGGCCGGAACCCACATTGACGCCATATGCCACCCCAACGTCCGTGGTGCCGTCGATCTCCGGGATAAGGAGGGGAGACACCATCGTATCCGACTGCACCTGCAGCCCTCGTCCCTCCAGGTGGGCAGGGTTCTCGACGTATGCCGGAGTGTCCTCCACGCATCATATGCGGACAGGATAGTGGCGGGGTGGTGGCATGCCATGCAGTGGCTTCAGGATACAAAATCCCGAGGACTTGCACACCCCATTGCCGACATGGAGTGGTCGGCCGCCGTGATCCTACTCTTGTCGAGCATCCTGGCCCTCGGGCACAACAGCGAAACGTCGCTTCGGACGCTCGACAGTGAGACCTCGAGGCCCGCTGCAAAGAATAAATGGGAAGCCATGCAGTTCCATGAAGCACCCAACTCGGCCGCTTATCCATCTTGGATGCGAAGTAAAACCTGGCAATGGCTACTAGACGGTGGTGTCTTCCACCCTCCAAAACCCCAAATCGAGGAATCTTGGCCTTCTGGCGACTTTATCTCTGTTCACGTAACCCTTGCGAAGCAGTGGATGGCTTCGCCGGGCGGTTTGTCCGCATTCGGCTTTGATGGCTATCTCCCCACCGCACTCAACAGGCCGGGCGAGTCCCGTAACGCGGCGGCCTGGAGCATTCTGCTTGCTCTTCACCTCCTGGCCGAAGAGCAGAAGCTAAACGTTCTATTTCCCGAGGATTCATCTCCCGGCCCAAGTGACCTGAAGACAGTCCTACATCAACTCTCTAGGTGGCTGGGATGGAAGAAGTACGAGGCCGTTTACGACCTGGGCATGCAGGCGCAGTCAATTTCTGCCTATGAATTAGGTATGGTAGTCTTGAATCGTGCTTTGTGATTGAAGTGCTGACTGCTTGATAGCCCCTCTCCCTATGGCCGGCCCGGCTGAGCCTCCCTACTACTGCGTCCTGACTTGGATTCAGGGACACCTCGCAACCGGTCACGGCACTGAGTACCCTACGTTATCGGACCTCTACGCCAATGCCACCGGCGATACTGCCGGTGGAGCGCTACGTACGCAGCTGTGGACAGGCCTCACGCCTCGCACGATCATGTTCGAGAGACTCTTCGCTCGCCTCGGCTCAGCGACGCACCGTTTCAAAGCGGTGATGGCCATGCACGAGTGCGGCTTTACCCCCCAGATCCTCGAGACCTTACCGGAAGCAATTCTCACGGCTTTGCAAGACGTCATCTCCATTTCCCAGTCCAACCCTCCTCCGTCGTGGCCCGAGGACTTGCTTGCATTCGTGGGTCGCACAGACATGAGCCGTGTGCTCAAACCGACCAAAACATGGCGGCCTCGTGTTTCTGACGCTAGTGTAAGTAGTAGCAATGTCGCTGTGCCCAAGGTTGTTACTGATGGTCTGTAGGCTCCCTCCCACGACGCGAAGTGGGATGTACGTATGCTATGCCAGCATCTTGATGGGCTTAACGACCATGTCGAGGATGCAGGTGCCGCAGAGAGGCAGGCCGTTGTCCACTCCTTGTTTAGGGAGGATAGGAGATTGAACGAGGCGCAAGGCTTGCTCTCGACTGTCAAGCATCGCATTGTACGCCTGAATCCGCGCCCCGAGTGGACAGAGGCAGAATACCTAGAGAAGCAGAAGGAACTGGTCACAACCGTTGCGACGAGTACCCTCGCCATACCGGCTGGACGAGGCCTCTTGCACTTTGCTCTTCGGTACCCGCTGCTCACGCAGAAATACCAGATTCCCGGGTTCAACCTGACGTGCATCGTGAAGCCTGCCAACAACACCGTGAGCGTCGACAAAAGCATGTTCCCGGAGGAGAAGATCAACTGGGCGTTCTTCCACCAGGGCGTCGCCGGTGGGCTCGCGATATCTCCGCATGCCAAAGGTATCGACACGGCCTGGATCTTGTACAACAAGCCGGGGCAGGACCTTAGTAACCGTCATGCCGGCTTCTTATTGGCACTCGGTCTGAACGGGCATCTGAAGTCGGTTGCAAAATGGGTGGCGTTTAAGTACCTGACCCCCAAGCACACCATGACCACCATCGGCCTTCTTCTCGGCCTGGCAGCGTCCTACATTGGCACCATGGACGCGCTTATGACGCGCCTCCTTTCTGTCCACGTTACGCGCATGCTGCCTCGCGGCGCTGCTGACCTCAACCTTTCGACAACCACCCAGACCACCGGCGTCATGGGTATCGGGCTGGTCTACTGCAACAGCCAACACCGGCGCATGAGCGAGATCATGCTCTCGGAGATTGACCATGTCGGAGTCGAGGAAGAGGAGGAAGGGTCTGTCCGCGACGAGAGCTATCGTCTCGCAGCCGGCTTCGCGTTGGGTTTTATCAACCTCGGCAAGGGGGGCGACCTCAGGGGCCTGCGAGATATGCAGCTCACAGAGAAGCTGCTAACCATGGCGACTACGACGAAGAGGGTAGAATTGGTCCATATCCTCGACTGGTCAGCGGCCGGGGCCGTGGTCGCCATTGCTCTCATCTACATGAAGTCGGAGGATCAGATTGTGGCGCGGAAGATTGACGTGCCGGACACGCTTCTACAGTTCGATTATGTCCGGCCTGATATCCTTCTTCTGAGAACCGTTGCGAAGAACATCATTCTATGGAACGAGGTCGATCCCACGTTTGAGTGGATTAGGGACGGACTGCCGTCCGAGTACAGACAGCGGTACCAGCTCACCAACGTGTCCAAACTGCAAAGCCGAGACCTACCCTTCTTCTCGATCCTCGCCGGTCTCTGCTTCGCGCTCGCCCTGCGCTTCGCCGGCTCGACCAACGTGAGGGTTCGAGACTTACTCGTGCACTACCTCGACCAGTTCATCCGCATTGTCCGGATTCCTGTGAGCCATTACGACAGCGAGTTGGCCCGGAACAATGCGTGTATGTGCATGGATGTGCTTGCACTATCCTGCGCCACCGTGATGGCTGGAACCGGAGACATTGTCGTGCTCCGTCGGCTTCGGGCTCTCCACGGCAGAGACGACGAAACCACATCCTACGGCAGCCACCTCGCCGCCCACCTTGCCATCGGCGCGCTGTTCCTCGGCTCCGGGACAGCCACATTCGGCACAAGCAACCTCGCCGTCGCCTCCCTCCTGGTCGCCTTCTACCCCCTCTTCCCAGCCAACGTCCAAGACAACCGCTCCCATCTTCAAGCCTTCCGCCACTTCTGGGTTCTCGCGACCGAGCCGCGCTGCCTCGTCACAAAGGACCTCGTCACCGGCCAGCCCCTTACCATCCCCATCCTCATCCACCTCCAACCCAACTCCCCCTCGGCAGTGGCAGCCGCCTCCCAGGCAACCGCCGCGGATAACGACGACCTAACCAACCGCGAAACCATCACCCTCCGCCGCCAAACCCCCTGCCTCCTCCCACCTCTAGACGACATCGCCCGCGTCGAAACAGACGCCAAATCCCTCGGCTACTGGGATATCGCTATCCCCTTTGGCCAGGCCCCGCACTTGAAGGAGGACTTCGCCAAGAACCAGACAGTTTACCTCCGCCGTCGGCCCACTGACGAGGGACCCTTTCCCGCGACGCTGCGCGCTTTGGCGGGCGGCGCCGGCAGCGGTGACATCATGTTGAGCGGTGGCAGTGCTGGCATTGGTGGTGGTGGGTTGTTGCTTGCCGGCGAGTCTATTACTAATACTACAGCGGAAAGTGCCGTGCGAGGGGAGCCGCTGGAGTGGGTGTTTGGGCTGTCGTCGCTCGCTGACCTGTCGCGGGCCGAGAGGGATGCGGTGCTGGACCGGTTCGGGACAAGCGGTGGTGGGGTTGGGAATGGGGAGGGGGCGGGTACCGCGGCGGACGCGAGGTTGGTGCTCAGGGCCGGGGTGGATGATGAGGTTGGGTGCTGGTCAAGGGAGAGATTGTTGGGGCTGCAGTTGCTGTTTGAGTGGGCTGAGAGGAGGGGGTTGTTTATCAAGGGCGGTGGGAGTGGTGGTAGTGATGTGGTGGCGGAGAAGCAGGGTGAGTCCGGGAAAGCGAAGCGGGCGAAAGAGAAGGGGAAGAAGAAGACTGCCTCAGGCAGGGGCAAGAAGGTCTCTTTGGGCGTCTCGAAGCATGATAGTAGGGGTGGTGAGCAAGAGACGGAGGGCCACGATGTTAGCGCTGTAGAAGCGTCTTGGTGGTTGAGGGACAGTGCGATTGAGGAGCTGAAGGGGAGGACGTGGCTTGCTGGCCGGAGGGGGTGATCGATGGGTTTGATAACGACAGCATTGTAACGTTATAGACTGGCGTCCTTAGGTATGAGTAGAAAGTGGTATGGAGTAAACCGAGGCCCTCATCTGATCGGTTGTCGAGGCCGTTATTATCAACCATCAGTCATGAGAGCCGGGGAACTGTGAAGGGAAACAAGGCAAACAGGACACATGTTTGTCAACGCCGAGTCTTAAGGATTGAGCCATTAATCATAACCTTTTCATGCGCCGCCTAGGTATAAGTACATCCTCAGTCACCCCGCCCTGCTGCAAGCCGCTGCGCGTCAAAACCTGGATCATATGGCTGCCCGACCTAATGATAACCAGCCTGATACAGCGAATAGTACCCTCCCTCCCTGAGTACTTGCTTGGGTGCCTCAGGTTTTCTCCTCAGCCACCATCGATCGCTCCTCTTATTTCGCAACCGCCGCGCTGAGGACCTGTGTCCTAAAGAAGCCGCCCTTAGTCTTCTCGATGACCTGCTGATACACCGAGCTTGGCGGGTGGTTCATGACGACTGTGCCCTCCTTGTAATCAATCTTGGCATCGAGCCTGGTGTCGCGGATCAGGTTGACGATCCACTTCTCGGCCGCGTCCGCATCCAGGCCGAGTCGGGCGCTCAGGTCCGTGAGCGAGATGCGGGCATGGATCTTGCAGTAGCTCTCGAATATTAGGTGCCGGGCCGAGTCGACAAAGTCGTCGGCGTGGGCGAGCAGGAAAAAGTCGCTCCGGAGGACCTCCTCGGCCAGCACCAACTGTCGCTGGGCCTCCTCGAAGTCGAAGTCGATGCACAGGGCGTGGACAAACCGGGTGACGGGATCCTGGTATTCGTACGCTTCCTGCTTAACGATGCGGACGATGTCCTTCATTTGCTTCTGGTGCACGCCCAGGTTCTTGGCACGGCCGCGGTTCGTGATGACGGCCACGACGAGGTACCTCAGGATCCAAGGGCAGTTGGCCTGGATCGAGTTGATGAAACCAGCGTTGAAAAACAGCTCGAGGATCGGCTCCCGCGCCTTCTCGAAGTTGAAGAGAGGGAACAGGGCCCAGTGAGTGAGGGCGGTCCGGTGTTGCAGCTGGGCCAGCGGATTTTGTGAGAGCTTCGAGTCGATGGTCTCGCGCACCTTCTGCAGCTCCTCCATAGCCGATTCCCAGTTCATAGTTAGGATTTCGCAGGCAAGCCTACCCCATGTTGCATACGCCACCTTGTCGTTGTCGGTCGAAAGAACGCGGAACCGGTACAGCATCTCGGACGCATCGGCGTAGTTGCCGCAGCTGTATTGGAGGTTGCCCAAGTCGAAGAGCGCGTTGACCATGTCCATCGTGACCTATGAGCCCACCGTCAGCATGATTCCAGGGTGAAGCGTACGAACAGCGGAGACCTACCTCGTGCTCCCGCTTCAAGTATTCCAGGTTGGCCACTTTGTCGCTCCTCAGGTTGTTTACGACATCGTCCCGCTCGAGAAGCTCGATGATTTTGCTCGTTTCCTGCTCGTACTTCTGCAGCTGGCTGAACACCTTCTGCTTCTTGTCGGCAAACTCGGCAGGCGGCTCCTGCAAGCCCTCCAGCTCGCAATAGAGGTTGGCCACGTAGTCGGTCATGTTGGTCTTTTTAAGCAGCGAGTACTTGGCCTGCGTAATCTCGCGCGCCTTGGCCTCATCTCTGACCTCACCGCTTTCGTCGTCGACTAGTTGGCCGGCGTTGAACTCGAGCAGGGGAAAAATCATGTGCCGGTCAAGATGCTGAGCGAGTTTGAGCATCAGGTCGTATTCGGACGAAGCGACGCCGTTCGGAGCCGCCGCGGAAGGCATGATTGCGGCTTTGTTGTTGGTACTCAGATGTCGCGACGGTCGGTGGGTCAAAGAAAAGTGCGTTGATAAACCGACAGAGGTGATACTTTGCAGGTTCGGTACAAAACGCAAAGTCGAGTTGTCAAGCTGGGTGTGCGGGTGTACGAAGAGCCCAAGAGCAGCGCAAACCACCAATTTTCCGATTATATCCTTTTGAGGTTTTGGTGGGGTTAAAAGGGAACAACCTGGATGGGGTTCATTTGGCCAGGAAAGCGCGCGGCCCCACAGCATTGAACAAAGTCTAGGCCGAATATGGCAAGATCAGAAGGGAGTCGGCACAATTATTCCGCGATCCGACCATATCCAGTTGTATCGAATGCGGAAAGCGGTGGAGAATTCGATTGAGAGATCGCGAGAGAAAGATCTGAGCCCACGCGTCACCTTGCAGCCAGCGTTGCAGAATCCAGACGAACCCCTTCGATCCAGTCACCGCCATGCTGCGCCCAGCGACCGTCGTACGGCCATTTACAGCGCCAATGAGGCTGCTGACAGCTCAATCGACGCCGGCAACCCTTCTCACCAGACGATATCTCGCAACGACATCAACCCAAACACCATCACCTTCTGAACCCCTAGTCACACCAACACCAACAACACAACCTCCATCTGAAGCCTCCTCCGCCTCTACTAGCCCCCAGTTCCAAAACCAACAACAACCCCAATTACAGCAACACCAAACCTGCCAACCACGAAAACAACCCCTCCCCTACCGCGTCTCGCGCACGCCCTCCAACAACCTCGCCGTCTACGAGCTCGCCAAGCGCGGCGGCAACAAGCTCCTGACAACCATCAAAAAAGTTGAGGGCGACCGCGCCGCCTTCCGGACCGAGCTCGCGCGCGGGCTGGGTCTGGCCGAGGTGGACGACAAGGGCAGGAAGACGGTGGTGGTGAACACGCTGACGGGCCACGTCATTGTTGCGGTGTGTTCTCTCTTTTTTCTCTTTTTTTATGTTACATTTACAGTCCCCGCTCAATCGCTCAATACCAGTATAACATTCTTGGTGAGGTGACGCTGATGGAACTTTTGTTGGGCAATATAGGGCCATCGCAAGAACCAGGTTGTGGAGTGGTTGGAGAAGCAGGGGTTTTGAAGTGACGAAGAGTGATCAGTCTCGTAAAGGAATGGGTGTGAGAATAGAGAGGGCTGGACGAATGAGATGCTGTTGACGGTGATTGCATCACATGTGTCATAGGCCCGATTACCAGAGAAGGGGACAACTTGACCGAGAAGCGTGCGGGAATCTGTATAAATGGCGTGGAAGGGAGCGTGGAACATCGCAAAGGCAAGATGGGGATATGGGCAGGAAGACTCGGATAGAGAGGGTGAGAGCATTATTGCTTTAATCCAGCTCGCGATGGGAAACTTGTACCGGGCCCATTGTACAATAAATACACCGTATACACAGCATCAGACGCATCACCGCCAGACCGGCGGCATTGTGTGCAAACCTGATACTCATGGACAACCGAGACCGACCCATCAATATATCACACATGCTACGAAACAACCGGCTTTACTAAACACCAAGCCCTATGCGCAATCCACGCCTGGATCTACTTCAGCTATGTCACAGCGGGCCCCATTCTATGTCATCCAGCTCGTCATAGTCCAACAAAACACCCACTCATACACCAGCGGCAGCCCCATGGACAGACATCTCGCCCATCCAGAAGAACAGCCCACCGCAATACTCTCTTTTCGTGGAGAAGAAAACCCGCCCAAATCGAGAGACCACAGTCTACGAGCAAATGCATGCCCAAGCTCGCTCGCTACCCTACCCATGCCCCAACGCCAACCAGCCAAGTTCACCCCCTTACTAAGAAAACTCCCGCCCAGCTTTTCAAATCTTCACCCCCGGAGCCGAAGGCTCTTTTCCGCCATGCTCGCATACTCAACCAGGTTAGCCAATATCCCGTCCTTAGCCCACTCCTGCGCCTGCATCTGCAGCGCCTCCAGGACACTCTCCTTGGCAGGGAGCACCTCGGGCGGGATGCTGCTTTCCCCGGCGGGGTCGCTCGGATCCAGCGCCTTCTCAGTGAGCCGCCTGAGCAGGCTGAGCGCGAGGCCAATGATGTAGACGAGGTCCGGATCCCGCTTCGGCTGGCCCACCGGCTGGCCCCTGCTGGTCCTGGCCGGCGGGCCCTCGAACTGGCTGCCGAGGTGGCGGGCGAGGAGGAAGAGGTTCTGGGCAAATCCGTTGCCGGATGTGAGCCAGAGGCGTGTTACGCCGCTTTCGTGCCCGGGCGCCAAGCCCCCCATGATGTCGGCTGAAAGGAGGCTTTGCATGAGGAGCGGCTTGCGTGCCTCGACTAATGATGGGAGGTTCATGGCGCGCTGTTCCCGCATGTGGTCGGGGACCGGGGATATCGCGAGGGCGAAAGTGCGGGTGAGGAGTTCGCAGGGTGGTGAGGTGATGACGGCAGTCTCAGCGGCGAAGATGGCCTTGTAATGCGTCCTGTTCGGTTCGTCCCGCGCGAGAAGCTTGGCGAGCGAGTCTACCGCATGGGGGAGGTATGGGTGCAGAGCAGGCTCGTAAGGCGCGAAGAAGAGCCTACCGCCTGCCAAGGTCGGGCCCGGTGTTGGTGCGAAGGCGAGTAGGAACTGCAGCAGGCAAAAGGCCTGCTCTCGTCCGGGTATCTCGACTGCACTCGAGATGTTGGACAACAGAGTCACCAAATCTTTCATCAGATCTAGCGTGTTAGGATTGGTGCGAAGGAGCATCTCTCGTGTGCCCAGATACCTAATCAGGACGCAGAGAAATTGAATTACGGTCTCGTCGGCCAGAGGTCCATGATTCTCCTCGCGGCAGGAAAGATTCCGCAAAATGGTTGTAATGCAGATCAGCCGGTCGACGGCGCGGTCCAATTCATATTCCTGAGATCCAAAGACGGTAACCTTACTCAAGCGGAGCCTGTCGACCCGACAAGCGCGGACAACCTCCTCGTACGGTGTGATTGTGATCTCGTCTGAAGCTTCCTCGGAATTCTCCACCAAAAGGTCCATCTGCTCTTCGGCGCACTCAATCAAGGCGTCGACAAGGTCGTCGCAATGCCTGAGATCAATCTGCGGAATGGGAATAGGCTGGGTGGGGCTAACAAAATGGTAATCGCTCGAGGTCAAGGACGCCAGTGTGTCGAGTGCCAGTCGGATCTCTCCGTGTATGCCGCTCTGAATGCTTTTGGTAAGGGCGTGGATGTCGACGTTTCCGAAATCGATGGGCAGGGGTACATCGATTTTGGCTCGCTGCAACTCGTCGCCGATTTTCCAGAGTGCGCCCACGTCGAAGCCGCCGTATGTTGTGAGCTCCCGAGAAGAGGGCATGTACTCATCGGGGTTTGTCGCGAACGGGGCAGGAAATTTCAACGAGCTGGCAGCGTCGTCTGGCATGGCCTGATTCTCCGGGTGGGCTGCGCCGGGAAGTGACATAATCCCTGCCTTGCTCTGAGCCGGGGATGCGAGCGGGAACTCATCAGCCGTCGGCGTGGCTTGCACGCTCCTCGACAAGCTGTTGCGAGAATGCCCTTGGCTCGAGAGAATGGGCTGTTGGCCTTGAGGAGGCTGCGCAGAGGCGGAAAGCCCGTTCATACCGGGCTGCTGTGGCATGGGCCCCTTGATGGGGGATTGCATTTGACCCTGTGTTTGCGTCGGTTGACCAGGCTGCATCATCTGTGGTGGGACTTGTCCCGGCGGCATGGCTTTCGGCGTCCCCTGTTGCGGCATGCCGGGGGCATTGGCCATTCCTCCCTGCTGCTGTAGTCGCATCTTTTGTTGAGCAGCCCACAGTTCCTCGAACTTGAGTAGATTGCGCTCGTAGACGCCCTTGAGCTGTGGCGCCGCCGAGGGAATCTGGTGAGGCGCGAAGCCCATGATTTGGGAAACCTGAATCCAGCTGTTTGACTGTGTCGTGTTGCGATATCCCCCAACCTTGTTATACACAATCTGGAAGAGATTGTACAGGGGTATCGGGCGGCCGTCGACCACAGGGTGCAGGTCGAGTGGAAGGCCTTTCGAGTTCATGAAGGCCGAGAGGTGCTTCATGAACTGTTCTGGCGGAGGCATCCGCATCATGGGCTGCTGAGGCCCCGCCTGCTGCGGTCTCATTCCGCCTGGGACCATCTGGCCGTTGGGGGCCCCTTGCCTGGCGGCCATCATGTTCCGAGGCTGCCCCTGTACTTGCGTCTGATTGGGGTTTGTTTGCGCTTGCATCATGTTTTGGCCGCCGCCCAGCTGCTGCATCTGCATACTCGTTCGCTGCGCTTGCTGTTGCAGCTGCATTTGATAGAGGAGCTTCTGCTGCTCGAGAGCGTTCCTGGGCTGCGCCATCTGTCCCATCTGTCCCATCTGCTGCGGAAACATCATGTTTGGCATCTGGCCGGCCATCGGTCCAGTCATCTGCCCGCCCATTTGTCCCTGCGTTTGCCCCGGTAATTGTCCAGTCATCTGTCCGGACATCATCTGCCCTGCCATTTGACCGGGCATCTGCCCAGGCATCTGTCCCGCCAGTGGACCCAACTGCTGCATCTGCTGCGGAAATTGTCCCATCTGCATCTGGCCCATTTGCTGCGGCATCATCTGGCCGGCCATTGGGTTGGGCGAGGGAGAGGGCCTCGCAGGAGACTGTGCGGCTGCTGTGAACTGAGGGTTGAAGCTATGCGGAAAGGTGTTCTGCTGCATGAAGGCCTGTGGCGTACCACCGTGGTCGGACGTGATGGGGGATGCTTGTGGAAACTGTTGCGCGGCCGGCGAGAACGGATGTGGTGAGGAAGACGCGACCCTCTGGGGAATGCTGCCGGGGCGCATCTGGTTCGCCATAATGGGGGACGGCGTCGCGTTCGTCGAACCGTTGGGCTGGAGGTGTGGATACGGCGACGGTTGACCGGTCGATTGTTGCGATATGCCGGGTTGTTGGAAACCGGGGAACGCTGACTGCTGGGGCGTTTCGGCGCGCGACGTCGGCAACATGCCTGGTGCCGGACGCGGTGACTGGCTCATGCCATCCTCCATCGGCCTCGGTCGCTTCGACGGAACAACGGAGTTGGTTTGATACATGGGGTTCGCGAACGAGGGCGACGCATTGCGCATGGGCCCGTTGGGCATGACCATTTGCTGGGGGTTAGCGAACTGGGCGTTGAATTGGGCAGGATTGCCCATGAATCCGGAAGGATCCATCATGGCCCCGGCAACTGCGGAGGGGTCGTTAATGTGAGGGAAGCCGTTGCCATTGTGATTGGGGACAGCGGCCTCGTTGAGCCAGGAACTCATGTCGATCGGAGGGCGAGGGCGGCAACGGCAACAATCGGGCCCATCAGTGTGAATTCCTTGCAGCGCCGTCAGCGACCACGAAATTCAAGCAGAAGAAATGCGATCCAATAAGACAGCGACAAAATGGAGATGGGTAAGGGTGCGGCGGCGGCTCGTCGCGATGGAGCAGTCGCGTCGCGGTTGTGTCGGGGAGAGCAGTGTGCAGTGGTTTAACGGGGCAGGGACGGATTGCTGGCTCTTTGGGGCGCTGGCCTTGCGCCGCTGCTGGGGTAAGGGGATGGTTGGATCCACTCCCCTCCCAGAACGAGCAACAAGAAACCACGGGGGCGGAAGCCAGGAAAGTGAAGGCAAGCGTCGTAAGCACGACGGCCGGCACCCGACACCGACAACCGTCTCGGGGGAACAGCACCAACGGACCAGACACCGGGAACGGAGTGGAGGCGATCGGGTTTGGGGAATCCGTATTATGACATACAAATCAGAGAGGGACGGGGATGCGAGTCCCGTGGAGCGCGCCGCGAGAAAATTTCGCAGGAAGGTTCCCGGTGTCGCCAGCTTCCAGCCAGCAATCAGCGCTCGCACGATCTCGATGCCGTCGACCCGTGCAATGCACTGAGACAATCACGAGACCGATAACTAGTAGGAAAGGACCCGAGCGGCAGGCCAGGGTGGATAGTGTGGGAGCTGGAGAAACGAAGGGCTGGTCTTACCTCTGTGCCGACTTTGCGTACGGGCGCGCGTGTTGCTTGTCGGATTGCACGGGGGCGTTGCGTGCTGCGAGGAGCGCCGAGTGATTTGGCTTCCTTCAGCCGAGCCAAAATCATTTCAGCTTCAATTGGTCTAGCGTAGTGGGTCAAAAAAAGGAGCTTGTCCAATCGGAAGCGAGCTACGGCGGTTGCCGTTGATTGGCCTTGGCGATCCTCTGCTCTGATGTCTTTCTGTCATTGCACCCGCTGAGGGTGGAAGCTGAAGGTCTGGCAAGCAATCAACCTTTGAGACTCTACCAACAACCTCGATAGAATCTGAGACAGTCTTGGCAGCTTCTCAGAGTCAAGCGCGACGGCGCCCAAGGCACTCTTCACAGATTCCGGGCTCTCTGGTCTGGCGACTCAGTCAATCGCAATCTGTCCCTACTGTATGTAAAAGTCGGCCATTAGTTAGGTTGCGTCCTGGCTTTCGGAGCGTTGGCGGGGAAGTCCAATCCAAGGTTCAAACTGGCGGCATCTGAAAATAGACGTCTGTATCGCTTCCAGAGTCAGGAAAAATTCTCGAGGAATTGGCCATCTCGGTCGGTTGTCCATGGGCTCCGGGGGTGATTGCTCGCAGTTCGCCCTGTCTGCATCTGCGAACTGCCCGCCACAGCAGGCACCGCGACGCCAAAGAACGTGCCCGTTGCGAATCGCGTAACTGCCGAAGTCGAAGATGCTGCTTCCGCTCGCTCAATTCGATGGAATGATGCAAGAGAAAATGATGTTGACTTGAGCTCTGGCCGGGCTGCGTCTCATTGTCGGGCACCAGAGTTGCCCACATGGCACCCCGGAATCGGTGGAGATCCAGTCAACACCGGCAAAGGCATGGGCCAGGGTGTGCCAATGCCCAAGATGTCGTCGCTGGCGAGGGAGCGCAGGATCTGTCGCAAGAAGGTTGCCCTTTCCGTCCCGAATCGCTCAGGCTCATCCAGGCAGTCGGCGATGAAGCTCTTCCTGCGAACTGTGTCCTGCTGTCCTCACTGTGTCGTTTGTCCATTCAGTCGCCATCGAGTTCGAACCGCGATGCCGATGATGGCGGGGAGTGACTTCCCCAGCGTTAGCGGCCATGGAGTGGAAGAGCTCGACGGGAGCCACAACAGCATCTTTTCAGAGAAAGGGGCGTTAAACCCATGGGAAGAAGGAATGGAAGAGGGTGAGAGCACAGAAATGGATGGGAAACGAGGGGGTCAGGTGGGCAGTTTGGGCCCTTTTAAATGTCGCCTGGGCTCTGGAGCAAAGTCACTTTTACACCATTATGGCCCTAAAATCTCCGACCAGGCAGCATCCGTTTTTTTGCCAGCCATTTCGTCCGGAACGCCAACCTAGCAAATCTGGATCTGATCTCAAACACTGCGCTGTGTGCCGCCTTTTTTTTTCGCACGCATCCGCAGAAGTCGTAGGGTCATGTCGAGCATCCGAATATTGCATCGAGCACCTGGTCCAAGTTGGATTCCTTAGCCTGCGAATGGCATGGCCTCGAAGGGTGACCCCATCAGGGCCATCCACCACACTGACCATTACATGATGGCACATGCCGCTCTCGTCAATGGAACGGCAAAGCCGCATGTCACAACCATAAAGACAGCTCAAATTTAAGTTGCTCAGATTCACATGGGTCAGTTTTCAGGTGCATTATCCGTATCGTCGCTGATCTTGTCATCGCAGCATCCCTCTTCTTCCCCACACCGCCCCTGTCCTCAGCAAAGCAAAATTGCCGTCGATGACAATCAACCGTCCTTTTTAGCGAATTGGTTGTTAGGATTCAAGCGAGCTTGTCTACCTGCCTTTTGCAAATGAACAGAGGCGCTGGTCTTGATCGGCTTTCCCTCCATCCAGGGTAACAAACCATTTCACCAACCGTGTGACTCGGCATGATCGTTCATCATCACGACGTCGCACAAGTGGGGCACTTTAAGGTCCCGCCTATCCACATGTACCCACTGCAATCCAGGTTCAACTATGTGAACCATCGCCAGTTATCGCTTTTTGGGGAAGGGGGGGGCTTTACCCCCTTTCTTTTCTCTGTGTCCCTGGTCACTGTCTAACTGTGGGCGGTGCGCGTCTCACACAAGCAGATCATGGATGCGTCCAATCTTACACATGCTTTCGTTTATTGGTCCATCTCCTGAGGACAATGGCCAACCCGCCGAACCGGGGACTGGCGACATGGCCCGAGAACTTGTTTGGGGTTCCCGTCCTCCGTTGTCACCATTCACCTACCGTACGACGTTCGCTCATAACATGAAATCGGGAGATCTTAGTCTTCAAGTTCCACACGGAACGGCGGAAAGTTTCAAAATTACATGCTCAGGCAGCCGGTAATGTATTTCTTCGCCATAACCACCTTTGGAACTGCCACACCCGACCCCATTCACAACCTGCCTATACAGTTCCAGACACTTGGTACGGTACCTATGCCGGGCGTGGACCGTACCTTGCGGAGAACATTTTCCCTCATCCACGGATCCAGGCGCCAAGATGTAGGTAGGGTAGATAGGCTAGCCGACCAGACGCACATTAGAAAGCTGAGATAATAAAGATCAGGCAGCCGACTCGATGATGTACGGGAGCTCTCCACCCTAGCATGTTTGACTGCGTATACGGTGTATGTCACAATAGCTGTCGCCAAGTTCGGTCCGTTCTTCGTGGTAAAGAGGATACTACCCTTAGATTCGTAGTCAAGTCACTGATGAGTACGGCCTGTTTCCGTCAAGCTGCCTTCTCCTAGAACCGATAGACACACTTGTCTACTTAATATCATGACTGTCCCAATATTTGACTGTCACCGCTCGTTTAGTCACATGCCGCTACTTAGGGTCCGACTGAGGTCGGTGGGAGACTGGGCCCCTGTTGATGTGACATGGTGACCAGACGGAGACCTCTATGTTGCATGTGCTCTTGAGTCTGTCAAAGATATCTGCCCCCCGCAAGATCCCTAGGCACCGTCAGCCTGAGTTTGTTGAGGAGGCTCAGGATACCTGCCTGTGCACAAGGACTTAAGATGCCGGAGAGATGAAGCCCATTCTACAGGCAGTTACCAAGAACATCTGCCAGACAACCGGGCAGTTTTCAATCGATGACTCACTCATACAAGAGCTGAAATGGAACAAGAAGGATCAAAACGCCTGTAGACATGTTCAAGTTGGAGAACTTTGGGGATGAGATAGAGCACTCTGCGGAGAACAAGAACTCAAAAACATCTAGGTTATTGACGCAAGATACTAGTAGGCACTTGAATTTGTAATTGAAACGCTGTAATTTTTGGTGAAGCCACCAGACTGACTCAGCCTTCTTCAGCCATGTCACAGATCACGGAGAGTCGCCAGTTGTGGCCGAGTCCGGGTCAGTACGCTGCAGACCTATGGCGCCAACGGCATTCCCGGTGGCGTGACAAGCGGGTTCTAATGCCAAGCTCCGTCAGTTCACTCACAGGGATCATTTTCATCAGTTCTTGTCCCCTGTGAGACACTGGAGGCACTCAGTGGAGATTCCATCCCAATTCTTTACCTGTGCCACTCCCTTGGTGAACTACTAGTATTAAACCGTCTCAACCTGATCATCATATCATGGCCGTCGCCCCGCCAGTGGTTGGGATAAGAAAGCACCAACAACTCCTGGAAGCTCGAGATAACGAAGCATCCCTCATGCTGGGGAGAAGTCCTCGAGAATGTCCGAGAATAGGTCCCGCAACAGGTACGACGGGAGGTACATATATTAGGGGAAGGAACCGTGTATGTCAATCATGTCTCGTCTCCGTCACTTCTTCTTAATGGCTTTTGGGAATGATTCTCAGCTTTCTAATCATTAACAAAGATGTACTTGTAGGTGCCAGGTACCTGGTATGTTATAGGACTCTGTGCCGATAGTTGATACCTTAACCGACCAACCCCAATATCCACGTAATTACATATGTCATCTCCTTTCAAGGTCGTTTCCCACGAATCGCAGAATCTATTGATTAAGAATCTAGAGGCGCATCTATGTCGGCAACTTGAAGACCTTCAGCCATGGCGCAATCTTAGGCAACAAGAGCATGCTCCCCGGCATGTTCTCCCCTACATCAAGTCACCAAGCCCTACGGGAAATGCCAGCCTTCCGGCTGGTCCGGAATACGCGCCTTCAACCGCTGTCGCCGGGCCGCGGGCCGCGAGATGCTCCCAGCCAGTCCAAGACAGCGGCTGATAATGCTGGTTGCGTATTACTGAGAAGCAAAGTACCTTGAGGTAGCTTACCTTTCCAAGTCTCTGCCGACTTGAAAAGACTCGCACCGTTGAAAACTTAAAAGATATCGTTCAGCGTACACGTAATCCACTCACTGTTACACTCTGATAAAAATGAACGAGTTCAAGTTGCCGCTAAGGTATGTTGCATCTTATGGTAACGTTAGCTTACTTATACTCTTCACGTTCCTCCTCCCGACCAAGGGGATGTGCCACAGTCTCAAAGAACCGTTGTCGGGTAGACATGATAATCTTTGACCGGGAAGGCGCCGTGTATCACTGGTAGGGGCCGTGTATCACTGGTAGGGACGATTTCAACACCCTTTCGAGTTCTTGGTTGCTAATGATTTTCTAACCCTCTTCCTGTAGCCAACGCCGCAACAGTCTTGTTTAGACAAGGTCGGAGCTGCCAAACCAAGAAACAATGAGGGACATTGGTCGCTATGTCCAATACGCAAACTCATGCCCAGTGTCGTGATCGCCTAACCTCCAGAGCCCAGCATTTCTTGACTCTATTTTTGGCTTGGGCAACTGTGAGGTCAGCAGTCAACGAGAGCATTTCAGCTCAACTTGCTCAGGGCCAAGATGAAGTGATCCGTCGGCTGACTCGACCCCTGTCTAGGGTGTCGTCCTGGACTTTAGCCGAGAACTGGTGCCGTGAAACGATGTTTCATGACCCCACAGCCACCATAGCCTAAATCCCATCTACCGAGATCTGGGACTCGGAGTGAGGCTCCGTTGCCGTGCAGATATCTGGGGAAGGAACTTGCATGAGGTAGCGCAGCCCAAATCCGGGGACTGAGCCCCGAATGGTTTATGAAAACCGGGACACGGGTCTCTATGTTGCACCACGGCGCTTAATAGGTGCACGGTACACGTGCGATGCACAATCGAAACTGGCGGAGTTGGGTGTCCGTAGGGAGCCCAGAGCCTGGTTCATGGCTCTGTCGAGTTTGCCGCGCCAATTGCCGACTCGACTTCTAGAGTTACATGGACAGATACTACATGCTTGCTTGCTACCTTTGTCATGGGATGGTGGCTGAGCCGCCACCAGCATGTCGGTCAGACCGTCCCAGTGCGATCCGCCTCTAGCCGAGATTCCCAGGCCCTCCTCGGAGACCAGTGTACACCCAAGACGGGTGTATGTACCTTTAATTTGCTTCATCGAGACCCTCCTGTTTGGTGTTTCTCCCTACCGTAGGCCGACCAACACAAGTCCCGGTACCGCCAAGGAGGGACTCAAGGACCAGGGCTTGGCCAAAAGCTTCTCGAACAACGATTGTTCCCTCATCCTTGCGCCTAGCTGGCGAGCCACCCTGTTCGCGCCGGGATGCCGATCACCAATACTTACCCAACACCCTGGTTCATTCCGGAGACCTACCTTATAGAGGTGTAGTTGCGAATGACGCCGCACGGAGCACGGAGGGGGTGGAGTCTCGGAACGGTCTTCGCCCATTTGCGGTGTCAGGTGGACGGGGCTCAACCGCCTCAACGCCAAGTAGGACCGTTCTCTTCAACACCAAGACCTCACAGGGTAGCATATGGTGATTTAGCCAGAACCGACTTGCAGCGGAAGGCATTCCGAGGTCATGTCTTGGTATAGACCGCGTCGTGAATCGGGGTGTCGTCAATCATTATAAGAAGCACAACAGTTGCCCTTGAGGATCTACCTATCACCTACCTCAACTCCTCAAATCTCTGGCTCAGATTCTCGGTCTCGCATCCAGCATCGACTCTTGTCGTCACCATGGTCTCGTTCAAGTCTATCCTCCTTGCTGCGGCGGCCGTCACTTCTGCCCTCGCTCGCCCCTTCGACTTCCTCGACGAGGGTAACTCGACCGAGGCGCTCGAGAAGCGCCAGGTGACGCCCAACTCGTCGGGTTACCACAATGGTTACTTCTACTCCTGGTGGTCCGACGGCGGCGGCCAGGTTACCTACACCATGCTGGAGGGTAGCCGGTACACGGTGAACTGGAGGAACACTGGCAACTTTGTCGGTGGCAAGGGCTGGAACCCCGGTACTGGCCGGTAAGGAGAATTAATACTCCATCAGTGATGAAGAAGATGATTCAGGTACTAACTCTCTCTTGAAACCTGCAGCACCATCAACTACGGCGGCTCCTTCAACCCGAGCGGCAACGGCTACCTGGCCGTGTACGGCTGGACGCGCAACCCGCTCGTCGAGTACTACGTGGTGGAGTCATACGGCACCTTCAACCCCGGCAGCGGCGGCCAGTACAAGGGCACCGTGACGACCGACGGCGGCACCTACAACATCTACGTGTCGACGCGCTACAACCAGCCGTCCATCGACGGCACCCGCACCTTCCAGCAGTACTGGTCCGTCCGCCAGTCCAAGCGCGTCGGCGGCTCCGTCACCATGCAGAACCACTTCAACGCCTGGGCCCGCTACGGCATGAACCTCGGCCAGCACTACTACCAGATCGTCGCCACCGAGGGCTACCAGAGCAGCGGCAACTCGGATATCTATGTCCAGACCAGATAGTGAGTCTGAGATTCTCTTCTGGAGGGAAGGTCGCAAGAGAACCTGATAGGTGTTGACCTGTTTATCAGAACCGCTGGACCTTGCGGCTCGGCAAGGGCAGAGCTTGGGATGAGCGCTGGGGATTACGGAGACGCCGGCTTACGCAGCGTGGATGGTTTGACGCCTCAGATCCAGTCGCTTGAAGTGCTAACGTAGTTGGCGAGGGGGCTGTACTAGAGTTTGAGGGGTTTCAGAGTACATATTTTATTTCTCAATCAAACATTTGGGCGCCCAAGTTGTTCAATTCATTCCATTACAGAGTTCACAGCGGCCAGCATAACCACCATGCCCTCCTCAACGTGTGGTGTCCACCGGGCAGTCTTGATTAAGGAGAACCTGTGATCAGAATTCACAACGGCCTGGCCCATCCCAACTTCAAGCTTTCAGCTGCTCTTGGCGACGTCGGTATCCGTACCTAGGGTAAACGAACCCAAGACCGAGGGCACTTCTCATCGCCTCATCATCTTACAGTCTCACCCACTCGATAGTCAACACACTGTCCGTATCCCGTGCCACGGCAGGGTTAAAAGGTTTTATCCGAAAATTATGACCACCCGATATGCCTACTCATACCTCCCAACCGGCTCCATCCGCTTCTTCCACATCCTCTCCGTAACCCCTCAATTTGCATGCGAATCGAGGAATTCCCTTTTGACACGGACATGGACTCTTCCAACAACATACCCGCCTACACGGCGCTCTCGTACCGTGGGGTGACGACCGCCCATTCAGCCGCGTCTTGGTCGAGCCCGAGGGCCAGCACATCGACATCGCGCTGCCCGGGTCCTGCTGTGGCTTGGCCTTTCGGCTGACGAAAGCGACACTGCTGCCAGTGCCATGAAGGGCATCGCCCGCTACGGCAGGGCGGCTGTGGATGCGGGCTTGCTTGGCTTGGAAAAGGAGGTCATCGCGGCGTGGCCTGATGTCGGGGACGATGACCCTGCCCGGTGTGCGCACCAGGGATACGGTGTTGGCGCTCATGACCCAGGCCAGCGAGGCCGAGGGGGATAGTGACCGCGCGGCCGAGCGGTTTCCGCGGGTGGCATTTGCCATGCTGACGTAGCGGGAGTACTTCAACCGCGTCTGGGACAAGCAGGAGATCACGCTTGCACGCGATGCCGTCATCGTTTGCGGGCTTGAGACCTGCGATGCCGGGGCGTTCCATGCGGCGGCGTTGTTTTACGGCATGCTGATCGTGTGGGAGGTCAACGGGTGGCGGGCTGGTCGGCAGACGCGGTTCCCGGGGCCCTTCTCCGAGTTGGAGCTGAGGCGGGCGCCCGGAGGCCCGGGTTCACACGCTGATCAGCAAGACGATCGCTAACCCGGCCGTCAAAACCGTCTTCTCAGGCCGGCAGAATTAACGTACTTGATCGCGCGCGGACATTTCAACGTCCTCAAGTCGTGCCGCTCGCGACGCGTTCAGCCGCCAACCTGGGTCCCCAAGCTCAACGCCAAAATCGCGTATACGTGGTCTGACGAATTAGGTGTCCCTTTGTTCACGGCAACCGGGTCGCGGACTCAGCCGACCGAGCCATTGAACGGCTCAAGGCCCGTATCGATTCGCCTGCGGGGTGCCCGCCTCGACACAATCACAGCGACTGGCACCGTCTTTGTCAGGCACAACGAGGAAAAGCCATACGACCAGGCAGCCGCGCGGCAGATGTTCAGCGAGGTCGAGGGGTTCCTCGGACACTCGTCGATCTATACGGAAACCGAGCGGATCGATGCAATCTGGCGAATCCCCATCTGCGATCGGGAGTACCACCCTACGTCCATGTACTTCCGGCGTGCCACGGCGGAGCTTTCGGGAAAGCAGTTTGTCGCCCTCCGCATACAGCCGCTGGCGGGGGACGTCATCGCCGAGACCATCGTACCAATCGATCATGGAACTTTACACGGCTGTGGCGCGGCCGATTCGCTCGGGAACGGACCATGTTGGTTTGGGACCGCGCGAGACAGCGCCAGGTGACATTATTGTCCTCTTATACGGCGAGACAGCGCCATTCATTCTTAGGGCCACCGGGGGTGTCGATGACTACCATCTGGTTGGGGAGGGGAGGCGTGCGTTTGCGGTGTGATGGATGTCGAGATGATGGATAAAGGGCTTGACGAGGACACATTTGAATTGTGGTTATTCCTGGATGAATTGTAACCCACAAGGTAAGGTACCATGTAGTTGCCCCTTCTCGTACGGCATCTTTCTGTGTCTGCTCGCAAACCGGAAAAAGCTAGTCAACCAATGCCGCTGAAGAAGCTCACCTGGATCCGGCCGAGCCAGCCGATCCGCTAGTTGGCGCGAAGACGCCAAAGCCAAAGATTTAAGACGTCATACTTATTGACCCAGCCGGTCACCACATCGGACGTGGACGGTATCAGGAGGCGGCACTTGAAGGGTTACACAAGGTCACGGCGTGATGAATGGTTTTGGAGCCTTCTACGAATTAACGTTGAGCTGGAGTCGATTTTGGCGCCAAGACTCATCCACGCTATGCCGGTTTGGGACCAAACCGTTGCGACCTCGACCTCCAACACTTCTCGTATGGTCTGGAACGCGACACCGAAATCAGTGCTCACCAAATCGATTATGCCAGAAAAGCGGAAGTCAGTCCCCGAAGGGAAGCCAGCCGGCGAGCCAGCACCGAGGCGCTCTGTGCGACTTCGAGCGTCGGCCGACACAACCACTGGTGCGACAGAAGCGAATGGGGTCTCCCAAGACAAGCCGACTGTGTTAACCAAGAAAGATGCACCAAAAAGGAAAGCTGAAAAGGTATCTGACATATATATTTATCACTACCTGAAAGGCGTGCCGTAACCGGAGCTCTCTAGCTCCCCTTCCGCCTCACACTTAGCCCGAATTACTCACTCTGACAGCGAATACAGCTGACAGGACATACAGGAGCATTCCAAAACTGGGGCGGAGCGTCTGACCAAGAAAGGTCGCATCCAGAGCAAAGAGTCAACTTCAGCCAAAGGTAGGACATCTGCAGGAAAAGCAGAAACCATCAGCGAGAAGCCCGCGAAGGACGGCAATGCTGCAGACACGGCCCCCAACGGAACAGCAGCTGGCGAACGGGAAAGAAACTACTGGCTGTTGAAGGCCGAACCCGAGTCGCGCTTAGAAAATGGCATCGACGTCAAGTTCTCGATCGACGACCTGGCGGCAAAGACGGAGCCGGAGCCGTGGGACGGTAAGCAAAACAAAGTCATCCCATCCACCAGTACGGCAATAGCAGGGCTGACAACGCTTAGGAATCCGCGCATACGCAGCACGCAACAACCTACGGGCCATGAAGAAGGGCGACCTGGCCTTCTTCTACCACTCCAACTGCAAGGAGCCGGGCATCGTCGGGACCATGGAGATTGTGCGAGAACACTCCCCAGATTGTGAGCCATGCCCCTCTGCACCAGTATTGAAAGGACATAAGATACTAAGAGTAGAATAAGTGTCCGCCCACGACCCCAAGGCACCCTACTACGATTCGAGTTCCAAGCCGTCCGACCCAAAGTGGAGCGTCGTGCACGTCAAGTTTCGGAGCAAGTTCGCCGCTCCGATCGGACTCAAGGAGCTCCGCGAGATGGGCGCGCCGGGCAAGCCACTCGAGAATATGCAGATGCTCAAGCAGACGCGGCTGAGCGTCAGCAAGGTCACTGCGGCCGAATGGGAGTATATAACGAGGGTAGCCGAGAACAGGGCGTCACAGACATAGTCAAGACACGACCGGGAGGTGGGGTTGAGGCGTTCTAGACTTTGTAGAAGTGTTGTGAGATTTACGATTCCGGGTATCAACCTGTGGCCTCCTCCAACGACCGCTTTGTATGCTCTAGCACGGTCTTGATGGCGGCATCCAGACCCTCCGTCTCCAGAATCATGTCGATCCAAGCAACCATTTTGCTTGCCAGCGCCTTCTTGTCGTCCGTCCTTTCCATGCCGTCATTCAACCTCGCTAGCGATTCGCGCAGCGCCTTGGGGAAGGCAGCAGTCATCACGTCCACCCCAATGAGTGGCCGCCGGATCTGGCAACTGCATGTGCACGGATGGTTGGGGAACAGCTCCTTCATCGCCTCGAGCACATGCTCCACGATTCTCTCCTGCGACGAGACATTGCTGAACCCAGCAAAAACGTCAAAGAACTTCTCGGCCGCCGCGGGCCCAAAGAACGGCTGCTTCCTGGCGATGTCGAAAATGGCCATGGGTATCGCACCGCTGAGCGCAGGGCTCTGCTCCATCTTCTTGGTTGTCCCATCGTCAAACACCTTCGGCCTCGCCTTCGCCCCCTGCCCCTGCACATCCGGATCAGGCAGCACCAGCTCCCCCTCCTCCCCACTCTCCTCGTCCTCCTCATCAAACATCACAATATCCCCCTCCTGCACCGCCTCAGTCGCCTTGATCGCCTCCAAAGGATCCACTCCCTTCCTGACCCCCTTCCCACTCTTCTTCGCCTCCACCCTCCCCAACCACTCCATCTCGCACCGCGCATACTCCACCCACAACGTACCTCCCTCCCCCCCGACACAGAACCGACACCCCCTTAAAAAGTGTGCCCGTGCCCTCTCCATATCTCCGCTCTGCGCCGCCCGCCGGCCCGCCATGGCCCACAATCCGGGCTCGGTGGGGTGCAGCCTCAGCGCGCGCGTGCAGATGCGCCGCCAGCGCTTGGTCGCCTTCACCTCGGCCGCGAAGTCGAGGTAGGCACGCCACAGCGGGATGCTGCCCGGGTGTTTGGTCACGGCGCGCTCAAAGATGCCAAAGGTGCGGGCCTGGCTGGCGTGTGATGACGACGACGACGAGGAATTGCGGATCTTGAGGCGGCGGCAGCGCTTGGCGCGCAGCCGGTCGAGCGAGCGCTCCCAGGCGACGTAGGAGAGGAAGTCGGATGGCTTGGTGCCTGGGGAGAGGATCAGGTGTTCGTAGTCGGAACGTTTGGTTACGAGGGAGCGGATTTCGTCCTGATTGCAGAGGGGCAGGGTTAGATTAGATGAGATTGGTGAGAGATGGGAAGGGTCTGGGTGGGAGGATGGGGACTGACTTTGGAAAATATTTCTTTCTCTTCAAAGTCGCGTAGCTCGGGAGCTGCGCGCTCGAGGTAGAAGCGAGCTTTGTCTGAGACGCCGGCCATTCTTGCGGTCGACTGGGCTCGGCAGTGACCAATTTGTGTTGGTGAATTTGGAAGCAAAGCTTCGTTGTCACTTGGCGGTTGTCGAGCTTCTGGTCGAGTCGGCGACTGGACTTTTTAGTGGGGCAGACCATAATGCCCTTATTCACCGCTCAAGCTCGGCAGCAAAGGGGGCCGTTTTTGACCCGGTCGCTGACCTCAATCCCTGCCCCAACCCAAATGCGATGGCCAGGGGTTCGGCGAGTTCCAAACTCAAGATCGTGCGCCGAGGCATCCGCGAGTTTCGCGCCGTCTTTGATGTGGAACGACAGCCTTTTCTCGACGCTCGTTCGTTGCCGGTTTATTTTCCCCTTTGTTTGAGGGGCTACTTTGACATGTTAAAGCATTTATAGTCCTCTGTGACACTAACCGTAACTCAGAGAACCCTTGATCCTTCAATAGTTGCTCCGCCACGATGGCCACGTCCCGCTACAAAGACAAGGATGGCGGCGTCGTGCTCTCTTTCGGCGGGCAGTGGGTGAGCTGGTCACACACTGTTGTTGCTTACCGTGAGTTGCCTTAGCGAAATTCAATCTAACCCGGTTCATCGAGATGTTGACGCTGTCTCAGTCGCTTTCCTCAGCGCCCTCATCGTCGGCTCCGCGCTGCACTACCGCAAGATCGTCCAGAATGAGTGGTATGGCTACCCGGACGAGTGGTTCCCGTCCGTCTCGGCTACGATTGGCGACCGCTATCCCGAGCGGTCCATCTTCATGATCTTCATTGCCATCACTTCCGGTATGCTCAACGCTCATCGGGGTCCACGCTGAAACACTGCTGATGATCCCCTTCAGGGCCGCGATTTGCGCTCGTCGGATTGTTCTATCTCCTTACCGCGAAGCCCGGCCACACCTTGCCGAAAGCAGTCGCCATCTCCGGCCTCATCCGGACACTGACATGTGGCGGATGGACATACATCACGTCGACCGACGACCACGACTGGCACGACATTCTGATGATCTCCTACATCGTCTTCACAATCCCTTGGACGACCGGCTGCATCGCGCTGAGCCCGCCGAATGCCAGAGCTATCAAATACAGGAAATATCTGGCCAGCGCCTTCTTCGGCACCCTGGTGCCCTTGGTCTATTTCTTCATCCAGCACAAGGTCCACCGTGTAGCAGGAGGTCAGTGTGATTGTGGCCAAATGCAAGGACTGTGCAAGGCTAACGTCCAGTCCAGCCTACACCATCTATGCGTTTTTCGAATGGGCTCTCATCCTCCTCGACGTCGCCTTTGATGCGGTAACGGCTCTGGACTTTGACACGTTCGAGGTGGTTGTCAGGGACGTCAAGGGAGCGAGCAAGGGGTACGTCCAATGGCTCCCGCTGTAGTCCCTGCCTTGCACGTGCTGCCCTGGGGGCATGTACATACACACACAACGTTTTGGAATGAGATCATGAAGACATGTTCTAAAACCCGCCTCGGTAGTGTCAACACGTCCTCGATGCCCACTGCTGTGCTTGAAAAGGAGTAAGCGACCCCGCCCCCTCGTAAATTATTCGGCCAAGTCGGGTGTGACTGATGAGTTGGACAGGAAGGAGAAGGCTACTGCTGGCGTTTTCTCCGCTGGATTCCGCTTGGGGGAGGCTCTCGACATTGTGGCAGATGTCTACCACGGCGTAAGTGCTTCGGTGGAGCCGGAGGGATTCCGTCTGACACGTTGATAGTTTGTATTCTGGTCCATCCTGACCAGCTTGGGTGTCGTCGTTTGGTGTAAGTCAGCCGGCTACCGCTGGCATTGCTCCAACTGACTTTTCCGCTAGACTTCCCGCTCTGGCACATGGGCATTTCGGGGTATGAGGCGCTTGTCATGTCCACCGTTACCCCGGCCCTTCTCGCCATCAGACCGCTGCGCTTCCTGATCGTCAAGAATCAGCGCGTTACACATCTTCTTTCGCTCGCTGGTTTGCTGGCGTATCTGGTTGAGAACCCGGTCTATCGACTCTTCACCGTCGGCTTTGGTGTTGGCATGTCCTGCCTTGGCTGGGCCGCAACTCTGTACTCTGACTCGGTGCAGCCCGCAAGACTCGAGGCTCGCATTCTGGCCTGGACTATCGGTCTTCTCATGTCATCCGTTGCCAAATTCGCTTGGTACACCAACAACCCAATCTGGCCCATCATGCACGCCGCAAACGGCGGCTGGAACGGCACGGGGTTGGTTCTTGCCATTCTTGCCGCCTTACGATTCACCCGTCGCGCGCCTCTGCAGGGCGGCAACCCTGTTGAGGACAAGAGCGGGTCGGCTCTGCTCTCGGCCCTTGGCATCGGCGGTCTGTTCTTTGCTTTGCATTCGCTGCTTTCGGATACCAGCACAATGATCCTCTGGGTCTGGGATGGCTATCCGATCAGGGGCCCCGTTTCCAACGTTCACGCCTGGTACACCATTGCTGCCATGACGGCCGGCGTCGTGGCTGGCATGTCTCGGCGCGCCCTTGTCACTACGTGGACTGCCTACGGTGTGGGCTGCTTGGGTGCTGCACTGCTCACCCTCTACCATCGATGGGTTGGCTACTACGGAGCCCTGGCTCTTGCCGCATACTTGATGGCCATCTCGATCCCTCTGATCAGCAGCGCTTCCAAGAAAAACCCTGCCGTCACTTTCGGTCTTGGTTTCTTGATCTACAACTTCTTGGTCCTCTTCCATGTTTGGGTGGTGGCCTACGCTTTTGTGCCCGGCGGTCCACTCGTCCGCGAACACACCGACTGGATCATGATCACCATGATGCTGCTGATCGGCGCCGGCGTCTTCGACCTCATCTCACAGCAAGCCAAGTCCGGCCGCAAGATGGCTGACCGCCGCCGTGCCGCCAACAACAACCATCGTAAGTACCACCTCGGCACGCTCGGCGTCCTCAACGTCCTCTTCCTCTGCGCCAACTTCCTCCGCTTCCCTACCAATGACTACAAGCCGTACCACGCCAATGACCGGCTCCTTACGGCGGGCATCTGGACCATCCACTTCTCGCTCGACAACGATATGTGGTCGTCCGAGTACCGCATGCGCGACTTGATCAAGGAGATGGAGCTCGACGTGATCGGCTTGCTCGAGTCGGACCTGCAGCGCATCATCATGGGCAACCGCGACACGACCCAGTTCCTCGCCGAAGACCTGGGCATGTACGTCGACTACGGCCCGGGCCCCAACAAGCACACCTGGGGCGCCGCGCTGCTGTCCAAGTTCCCCATCCTCAACTCAACCCACCACCTGCTGCCCAGCCCCGTCGGCGAGCTCGCCCCGGCCATCCACGCCACTCTCGACGTCTACGGCACCGCCGTCGACGTCTTCGTCTTCCACTCGGGCCAGGAAGAGGACCCGGAAGACCGCCGCCTCCAGTCCGAATACCTCGCCAAGCTGATGGGCTCGTCCCCGCGCCCGAGCATTCTCCTGTCGTACCTCGTCACCAAGCCGCTCGAGGGCAACTACAACACGTACGTGTCCGACGCCAGCGGCATGCACGACGTCGACGAGACTGACTGGGACCGCTGGTGCGAATACATCCTCTTCAAGGGCCTCCGCCGCACCGGGTATGCGCGCGTCAGCCGGAGCACCATTACCGATACCGAGCTGCAGGTCGCCAAGTTTGTGGTGCCGGCGACTGAGGAGGACGCCGTCTCGGTGTGGACCGCGCCGAAGCAGCTGCGGGATCGCCGCGTGCCGGAGCACGAGGTGCCGGAGGGGTGGCGGTTCCCTGGTCTGTTTCGGGGTGAGGGCGTCCGGGGGCATCGGTATCATGTTTTTGATGAGCCGAGGTATTACCAGTTCTAATCGGGGGTGAGTCAGGGAACTGGTGGATGAGGGAGCTGAGGGACGGGCGGTGTTTATGCTGTGGTAATGGTGGATGATGACTCCGATTGTACGTTGTTGACTTGAACAGGGAATGATCAGGAGCGAGTGTGCGGGTAATTCAAACTGCCATAACTATCTGAGACTCCTACCAATAGAGATTTGGTTTAGATTCTCGATACACGTGCTCAGATGTATAAAGCTCCGGAAACCCCTGACTTTATCACCATCATTCAATCCGTCTCGCCCGTCCCCATCTGCCACAATTCTAACCTCCATCCTCGCCGCCACATTCTCCATCTCTGCCAAGCTCATAGCCTGGTCCTTTCTCTGAAGTATCTCTAAACGACCCCTAAACTAACTAGAGTGGAGAGGGGGTTAGTGAGAGGAGAAGGCCAACTGAACCGAGTTCTGCGATTGGCAGACGACAGCAAACTTCCTCTTTTGCTCCATTCGTCAAGCTCCTCCGAAGCCACTTGAGAGGAAGGGTTTCTTGCCTAAAATAGTTCCAACGTTCAGCCCTAATAGCTCAGTGGTAGAGCGCAGCACTCGTAATGGTATAAGATCATCTACTTTGTGATATGCTGAGGCCCACGGTTCAATCCCGTGTTGGGGCAAACCGACTGCCTGGAACAGTGATGTTCCAGGTCACCTTTTGATTTTGACTTTTGTCCCTCCAATTCCAACCAACGCTTCCCCCTCTCCCTACCAATTTGTAGTTTAATGTCATCGCGTCCTTCACTGACATGACCAACACACCCAGCCCTCCTCATAACCTGAGCACCCGGCCATACGTAATGTTGTCCCTCCCCAGCCAGCAACCCATGACCGACCGTGATCGATTCTTTCCTGAATCGCAGTTACCTGGGCCAGCAACGATGAACTCGAATTGGTTCTACTGCATTTCTTTCCAATTTCCACAACTATTTTGATGCCGGCATTCCCCCTTCCGTCATCCGGGGATCACAAATCGTCGATGCTCCCTGCCAGCATTCTCTCACCCGCATCTCCTCCACTCATCCGATTCACCATACTATCACAACTCCCTCCTCCTAAACTCCACCATCGGCCCGTTCTTCAAACTCGTAAACGTATCCATCAACTGAAACTCGCTCACCCTATGCCTCCCCCACTCGGCGCCCGGCTTCCCCTCTCCGGGATCCTGGACCCCGACGGCCCGGCGCACGTCGTACAAGAACAGCACCCTCGCCAGCGTGATGCTCATCTCGACATACGCCAGCCCCTTCCCGATGCACCCGCGCGGCCCAATTGAGAAGGGACAGAAGGCGCTCTGCGCCAGCGCCACGCTCGCCTCGTCCACGCCGCCCGCGCCGCCGTCCTTGTCTCCGCCGCCGACAATCCACCTCTCGGGCCGGTACGCGAACGGATCCGGATAGTACGCCGGGTTATGGTGGATGGCGTAGTGCGGCGTGCCGACGATGGTCCCCGCCGGCACGCGCTCCCCGTCGATGGTCATGCCGCCCGCCAGCACCTCGCGGGGCAGGAGGCCGCCTACGGACGGGGACAGGCGCATGGCCTCGTCGATGCAGGCGCGCAGGTAGGTGCACGAGTTGAGCGCCGGGCCGTTGTGGATGTCCTCGAGCAACGCGAACTTGGCGCGGATCTCGGCCGTTGCCTTGGCCAGGGCCTCCGGGTGCCGGACGAGGTAGAAGAGCGTTGCTGCCATGGCGGTCGACGTTGTATCAGAGCCGGCGATGATGAGCAGATTGGACTCGCCCCAAAGTTCGGGGGTCGAGAAGCCCTGGCCGGTTTCAGGGTCGCGCGCCTTGAGGAGGTGGTAGAAGAAGTCGCGGCGGTCGGTTTCGTCGCCGAGGGCGGTGCGCTCCGTCAGTTGCTGCCGGCTGTACGCCATGTATTTGGCGCGGCCGGCGGAGATTTTGTGAAAGAGGATTTTATCCAGGCTGAGCTTGTTGATGATGGGCATGGTGCCGCACTGACTGGGGTGTTAAGAGCTGGTGGTGGGTAAAGCGTAACTTTTGAAGGTTTGACTTACCAAGAGATGCCGCTGTGCGGCGACCCCCACGAGGTCGACGGCATATCGGTTGTCCGGACGGTCGAGCATATGGAAGGCCTTGCCGAAACAGAGATCGCCCAAGATGTCCATGGCGAGCCAATTGCACCAGTCCGACATGTTCTTGGGCGAGCTCCATCCCTTTTTCTCGCTAATCACGCGTCCGGAGTCGCCGACGGCCTCGCAGAAAGTCCGGATGTTGGCCAGGATGTAGCGCTCGACTCCCTTGATGGCGCCGTCGGAGAAGGCGTGAGAGAGGACGCGGCGCTTGCGAGCGTGCATGTCCTTGTCACGGGTGTTGTGCGTGTTAGGGGCCGGGTGTACAAAGGCGTCGTAGAACTCGGCCTTGCGAACATTGGCGCGGAACCCGTAGATCTCTTTCAGAGCCGTGTTGGAGTTGATCGAGAGCGAGTTGGGCCCAAACCGAACAAATTTGCCATACGTTTCGTGCATGCGCCATAACTCGAGGTGGCGATCCCCCTTCCAGGCGTGGTAGAGCATATATGCATCCGTGAGCTTGGCGAGAAATGGCCCCGGATACTTGGCCAGCGGGTGAAAGAAGAGTCTGTAGATGACGAGACATGCTGTCTGTGATCTTCGTTAGTGTTAAGATTCCAGCCAATCGACGTCAGCACTGACGTAGAGCAAGCCCGCAATCACTAGTAATCCCAGCCAAAGTTGGAGGTGTGTCGGATTGAAGGCCATTGTGAGGTTGGTTGACGACGGGACCTGAAAAACCGCACCTTGAAGGGAGGTGACGAAGGTGTTGAGGAATGGTCCGGTCCTTTATAAGCAGTCAGAATGACGCTCAACCTAACAGCCGAATACCTGGCTCCATTTTAGATGAACGGCTTTGACCTCGGGAACCCTGAGTTCGTAATGTGCCATCACAAGTCGGCTTACTGGGCAATTGCCCTGATCTCGACGCTTCCTACCCGTCCTGTTGTGAGTACACCGAAACAGCTCGGCTTTCCACGGCATTGCCATGAGATCAGGCCTTATCGCAGCTTATCGGATGCACCACATGATGTCGACAGCTCCCACTTTAAGTCTTGCAGCCATGTCTCGGTCTCCGTCCGGCCTTGTTCTCCAATGAGTGACAATAGGAAATGCTCCATAGGAGAGGCATTGTGCGGAACTCGAGCGGAAAAGGGATTCGGCCCAAGGATTAGCGGCTCACAATCGACGAGTGTAGATCCAACTTCCCCAGACCCCATAAAATGGAGAACGATGGAACCCCTGACTTGAAGACGACTGCCAAGCTCCGTACTCCGTATTGACCATGACGTTCGGACTCCTCGAACACTCGGGGATGACCAGGGTATTGGAGCACGAGAAGTAGCAGCAGAGAAAATATGGCATGAGAGACCGCTACTCATCGCCTATAACGCCATCCGCGAGGACTCTTCTACCAGAAAAGAGAGAGAATAGATGACGGCCCGCATGTGCTGACCCCAAGAAAGAAGGAATTGTTCTGACAGCGTGGAGGACTGTCAGGGAGCTCGGCATGCCGCGGCATTTTTCTGGTCAACCCACCAAGAGGAGTCCGAACACGCCACAAGTGCCTGCTTGTTACTGAACCAAGAGTGGCCCGAAAAGTGGAGCACGTATGCAAGGCTGAAAGGCTGAAAACCCATGTTGACCTCTCGCCTTCCGTTGGCCGTAGTCAACAATATGGACAACGCCATGATCCAGCAAACCTCGAAGGCGCCCGAATAACAACGACCCATCAAGCCCAAAATGACGGTCTGCAGGTTCTACCAGCAGGGATACTGCCGCTACGGAAGTACGAAGGTTGCCTTTTTCTTTCCTTGCTCCGCCCTGTTCAGTCCGCTCCTCGACGACAATCGGACGTTCTGGCCGCGTCACTGTTACAGACCTATCATACGCCGCCATGACAGCCGTGACTCGCGTCGCGGCGACAATACCCGTTCCCAACGACATGCCTGGCTGACTGTTGCCTCCCGCTATCTCTAGATGCCTGCAAATTCGAGCACCCTCCCAAGGGAGGGCAGCAGCAAAACCACAACCGCTTTGGCGCCCTCTCCGGGCAATCGAATCAAGCGATGGGTGGCCGAGGCACAGGTGCGTGATGCCTTTTAGACCTCTCGGTGAACCGTGCTAACGGATCAGCAGCTGCGGATACCCCCCAATATCCCGGTTTGACCGTAGAAGCGATCCAGCGCGACCTGACGGCCGAGCTCCCGACATGGCTCTTTTCATGTTACGGCCCTGGGAGGGACGCGCCAGAACAGCTCTGGGGCGGCTATCCTCGCGAACAAAGCTTTGAGGAGATTCGGCTGCATTTCATGTCAGCAGTCACGGCAGGGAACCCTCAGGGTGCCGTGAGTCCTTTCCACACAAGAGAGCCGCTTTGGTAACGGGTTTCTGACTCTTCGCAGCTCAACGCTATCCAAGAACTACAGCAGAATATCCAGCAGCAGATTCAACACACTGTTAACAATATACCGATGGCGATACAATACATTGTGGAGGCCGGAAACAAGCACCCAAACCGGATAGACCGGTGTAAAGAGGCGACAGGAGGCGCTGGTCCCGGGGGCGCATTTGGGAGCCGAGCAAACGCTTTTCAGACCACCGCTCCACCCTCAAATCCATTCGGCTCACCGACTGCCCCCCAAACTACCGCGAGCACCTTCGGTCAGGCTGCCGCATTGAGCCAGAAGCCAAGTCCGTTTGGCGCGGCGGCCTTTGGCCAGGCTGCACAGCCAGCAGCGCCCGCCTTTGGGCAGCCGGCTACGTTGGGCGGGACTACAGCTTTCGGCAACCCAGCACAGACGACCAGTGCTTTTGGACAGACCAGCACACTGGGAGCGAAGCCAAATCCGTTTGCAGCGCCGGCATTAGCACAGCCAGCCCAGCCCGCCGGTTCCGCCTTTGGCCACTCGGCGTTTGCTCAGCGGGCCACCCTCGGGACGAAGCCGAATCCGTTCGGAGCTCCGTCCGGCGGGAGCGCATTTGCGGCTGCCACACAGCCTGCGCCTGCGACGTCGCCATTCGGCCAGCCTGCGCAGCAAGCGCACAACACAAGTCCCTTCGGTCAACCGGCGAGTGACCAACCCGCGAGCAATCCGTTCGGCCAGCCAGCAACCGCGCAAGCAGCGAGCCCATTTAGGCAGCCGGCAACCGCCGCAGGGGCTACTTGGCCCCAACAAAATCCAGCAGTCAACCCCTTTGGCGCGCCGGCCGCAGCCACTGCTCCCGCCAACCCTTTCGGCCAGCCAGCTACTACCACACCGTTCGCCGCCCCAACGGCCGCCACCACGACCACATCGGGCCCAAATCCGTTCGGCCAACCCACCACTGCAGTACCCACGTCAACAGCCGCAGCCGCCGCCGTCTCGCATGGCTCCGGTTCAGGTCCCGGCTCCGGCCCGTACAGCCCGGGCGCCACCCGCCAACACCCCGACATTTCCACCTACAGCTCTCACAACTCAGACCAGACGCTGCGCATGTTCAAGGGCAAGCCCGTCATGTACGTAGCGCCCAAGGACGGCCAGAAGCCGGTGCCCATGATCCGCAATTTCGACGGCAGCATGGTCCGCGTCTGGATGCCCAACGGCCCGCCGCTCTACACGGACCAGACCGAGGCCGAGCCGGCCAAATACGAGGACCCGAGTGTCATGCAGCAGTGGAAGGCTTTTGTCGAGACGGGCCAGTTTGCTGGCGGGGCCATGCCCGAGGTGCCTCCTAAGAGGGAGTTTTGTATGTGGGATTTCTAATGGGGACGGAGAGGAGGGTAATGGAGGGTGGGGAGTGTGTTAAGATGGGAGCATGGATTGGCGTTGGGGAGTGTGCTAGATGGGGTGTGGTTTACACTGCTGTAATAATTCTTTATACGCTTATTCTGGTTAAGCTGGAGACAACTTTTTGTCTCTCGCCAATGATAACGGTTGATGCTGTGAACGCTGCACATCGCTGTGCCCGGGCATCTATGTTAAGCACGTCACCCCGCAAATCCGCCCCTCGTCATCTTCCTGGCCCGCTGATCCCGCCGGTTATGGTTCGCCCGGCTCCCCTTGTTTGCCTCTTTCCTTCGTCTCGCGATCTCCGAGTCGGCAGCCGGCGGCGGCGCTCCTCCCCCTCTCCCGCCCCTTCCGCCTCTGCCTCTCCCCCGTCCCCGCCCTGGTTCATTCCCACGACCCCTGCCAGCGCCGACGCTATCACTACCTTCATCCTCCTCATCATCCACCCCCGCCCGCCACGCCGTACTCCCCAGCTCCACCTGCTCCCCGTTCCACTCCCCGTACCTCGCCATCAGCCTCCGCTTGAGTCCGGCATCCCGGCCCAGCATCACGGCCCACCCCTCAACCGCCTCATCCGTCATGCCAGTCTCCTCTCTCAGCCGGGCCCTCTCCTTCCCCCCGCGCGTCCCGTTGTCGCGGGCAAACACGCCTGGACTGGCCTGCCACGTGCGGAAGAGGATTGCCTCGCTGCCCTCGGGCAGGAGCTCGTCGGGCGCCGGTGTGTCGACCATCCCGCCCACGTCGGCCGCGTCGTACGTGTCGTCGCGCTCGTCGTCGTCGGAGTCGAAGGCGGCGAGGGCCGAGAGGATGGCGGCTTTGGAGGTCGTTGGGCGCGAGAGTAGCGCGTCAGCGTCGCCGGGCCGTTTGCCGATGTGTAGGCGCGAGGTGGCGGTTAGGAGGGTGAGGTCTTCGTCGGAGTCGTTTGCTCCTGGCGTGAGGGGCGGGGTTGGGCGCGGGGCGAGGGAGGATTTGCGGCGCGATTGCTGTTGGGGTGAGCGGGAGGAAAGATCCTCGGAGTGGTCGGCGGTTTGGAGGTGTGGGGGGAGGGAGTTGTCAAGGAGGTGGGAGATGACTTCTTCGGTCGAATTGGAGTACTCGTCCAGGAGCTTGAAGATGAAGCCTGTGCCGAGCTCGGGGAAGAGGTCCTGGACTTGAGACACTTGGCTCATGCGGTGCACCTGGATTTCTTGTTGGGCTTGGGCTTCGTCGAACTCGGCGAGGCCTTTGCCTTTATCAATTTTGCGCTTGACGAGACGCTTGGGTTTGGACATTCCGCCGCCGGGCTTTTTGAAGGTTCCAAGTTCCGCGAGAACTGACTTGGTCCGAGACGAGGCGTTGTCCGATTCTTCGATCTTGCGCTGCAAACGTTGTAGGAGGGGCGTGGATGCTACCAGTTCGGCCACGAGGGAGTCATTGACGTTGAGCGGGCCGGCCTTGTGCGTCTCTGCTGCGGTCTTCAGGGAGTAGAGCTGATCCGTAAGAGCTGACATCTTCTGGCCTTCCGCCAGGCCCACGAGGCAGAGATAGGTAGTTGCAATCAAGGCTTTCCTCAGAGGAGGGTTGGTGATCTTGTAGCAGCTGATAAGGCCATCGACAAAGTCGCTGCCGGAAAGGAAGAACTCGGCGACTGAAGGAGAGACGCGGATCAAGTCGTTGACCCGCTCTAGTCGCTCCTCGATGGCCTTGAGGTCTCCACCACTAAGGCCCGCATCGAGGTTCTTGATCATGAACTTCTTGAGGGCAGAAAGAGATGAGTCCAGGAAGCCTTTCGAGGCTGCCGACATACTCTTCAGCAACGGCTCAACCTTCTTCTTGCTGTAAACCCGGCTGACATCGGCCAGGAATTCCCACTGCGCCAGTCCACTGGGTGGCGATGGGCATTGAAGGAGCTTGCTGACAAGAGCGAAGCAACCTTTCAGAAGCCTCCTGGCCGAGGAAGACGATCCCAGTACGTTGATGCCACCCAATGAGACCTCCCTGGTAAACGAGGCAAGAAAGCCCTGGAGACTGTCATCCTTGCTCGAGATGGCCAAGAAGTCGGAGTCGGAGAGTGAGAGGTGGCTGTCGATGAGAGCCTGCCAAGCGTTGAGACAAGCAACCCACTCATCAGGTAACACCTGGTCTCTCCATGTCGCAATAGGGAAGAGTGCAAAGGTGGGAAGTTTTGAAGAAGCCATGGATGGTCTTGAAGTCGGTGATACGGGCGCTGGGTGCGGCGAATGCTCCAGACAATTCAGAGAATGCTAGCCTCTGCGATCAGCGAGGGGCGAGTCCGAAACTCACCAACAAAGGCTTAAGAAAACAAACAGCGATGGTATAGGGGTAGAGGGTAAGTGAAGAAAACAACGAGCACCTTCACCGCATGGTTTATGCCGACTTATAAGGCAGGATGAGGTGAAGTCCAAGACCCCTGTTTGCCCCTCTGCAAGTTGGAGCTTGCCGGATGTGTCATCGGGCGAGAGCTGCAGAAGTCCCAAGGCCGAGAGGCAAGCCACGGAAGCAAAGAGTGCCGCCACAGCAGGTGGGGCTGAATCCATGCCCTTGCCAAGATTCACCCCACCAGACCGGAAATCGCAAAAATGTCGAAAATGGGACAAGGTTCGCGATCTTGAACTTCCGCCGAGCAACGCAACGCAGCAAACGTCTCTACGCCTTCATCACTTTGCCGAAGCGGTAGGTTTTCCGGTTGTCTCCTGATTGCGAGTTCATGCCGCTCGCAATATCATGCGCTGGCGGGAGCAGCAATGTGTTGTTATGCGACATTACCCGGACTAGCAAGTAACTGACTGTGATCACAGCCGACTATCTCGCGTTCGAGTCGTGAAGGCACTCTCTCAACAGCCAATCCTCCAATAAATAGCTCGACCCTCGAGAGCAATCCGTCAAAATGTCTTATCAGAAGCCTGAGAAGGATTTCGGCGAGGCCCCCAAGGTCCACAAGATCCGTCCGTAACCCCTCAAATTCTTACCCTCTGCGGCCGAATACTCGACTGACGACGACACGTCCACAGGCATCACCCTGACCTCCCGCAAGGTTCAGGCCCTCGAGAAGGTCTGCCAGGAGCTCATTGAGCGCGCCAAGAACAAGGACCTCCGCGCCAAGGGCCCCGTCCGCCTGCCCACCAAGATTCTCAAGATCACGGTGCGTTAACCTTTGTTCCTTAGTTTCGCCGCCTGCGCGTGTGTAGATGGGCATGAAGACTGACGGAGACAATTCGAATAATAGACCCGCAAGACGCCCTGCGGTGAGGGTTCCAAGACTTGGGACTCGTACGAGATGCGCATTCACAAGCGCCTGATCGACCTGACTGCTCCGACTGAGATTGTCAAGCAGATCATCATCAACATCGAGGCTGGTGTCGAGGTTGAGGTTACGATTGCTGCTTGAGCAGATGGGGAGAAGAGAGGTAGTAAACAATAAAAGTGCCGGTTTGCGCCTGAGCGCGAACAAAACCCGGTGACGGCTTTTTGAACGTGACTAATAGCATGTGACGGCAATGCAATGCGACGTCGCGGCCCCCTCGAGTCGGCATCCGAGATGTCAAATGTAATACCGCGCAACATGGGCTTGAAAAGAGAACGCAGGGCGAGGCTCGATTGGATGATTTTCCAAGTTGCATGTTTTTACGATTTTACGTCCGTACCGTTAGCCGAGCGGGTAGGTTCAGACTCATCTCTAAGCGCTACCCCTTCGCCGGCGTGCTTCGAAGCGTCTCTTTTCAATGCTGCCGTCCTAGATGGCAGCGTGTCGGATTCGGGGAAGGGTGTCGAGCATGGAGTTTATGTTTGGCTCCGGGATCTCTGCCGGCTAGGCAACCTGGTCTGACGCCAAGGGAGCCTGTGTCGCTCCGCCTGCAGCTGACTTCCGTGCCTCCAGAGATGCCTTGATAAGTGCCTCCTCCTCTTGCCCTGTGCGCTCCCACGGCATATCCATACCGGCCGACAGCCAAAGTTCCTCGAGTTCAGTGACTTTGGCGAGGTACGTTTGCTGCGTGATGTAGGCCCCCTTGAGCCACCGGCTGCCCTCGGCCGTGGCGAACTGCCGTCGTCCGTGCAAAATCTGGCGGTTGTCAAAGATGACGCACTCGCCCTCTTTGAGCTTCACCTCGACCATGTTGCTCTCGGATTCGACGATTCTCTGGAAAGCGGTCGCGGCGCGCTTCCACCGATCGAGCCGCGGGAACCCAGGTGGAAAGGGTGCCTGGAACGGCGGCGCCCAGTTTGTCTCATTGGGAGTGCCGGCTCGCCCTCTTGTAATGGTATTGCGCAGCGCATGGTAGTGGTGCTCACCTTTCCGGTAGCCAAACCAAACCCCGGCCTTTACCAGGAAACCATAGAAGTGAGGCGACTTTACCTTCAGCTCGTATGCGGCGCGGATACCGTGGCTGAACAGCGACTCGCCACCCTCGCAGCTATTCGAGAGGCAGTGAAGCAACTGGAGGCCTGGGATCGGGTCGTGGTACATGAGGTCCTGGTGCAGGCCCAGGAATTTGCTCGTGTAGGCCACGTTTTCCGCCTGCGGCTTCGACTTGACGTCCCAAGTCCAGCCGTAGAAGGTGTACTGCAGCGGGCCGATGCGGCTTGCGATGCGCTGAACCTCGGTCTCGTCCTGAGGGACGTCGGTGACGAAAATCAGTCCAGTGTGGCGCAGGTCGGTGAGGGCGCTCCAGAAGGCATCGTCATCCTCCATCCAGTCCTTGTAACTGACGCGGCAACGGCCCTCGGCCAGCAGGGCTTCGTACTCGGCCCGATCCCAGCAGACACGGCTGGGGTTGTGGGTTTTGGCGGTTCGTCCCCTCTGCCATGGCCGCTCATTCGACCAGCCCGTCACATCTTCGACAGGGAAAACACTGGTGTGCGGGCTGTCCCCGCTCGGGTGGTCGTTCGCCCAGACTATCTTGAGAGAGCCATCAGGGTTCAGCTCAGCATGATCGATCTGTGGCTCGTCCGCAAGGTCGGTTGTCGAAAAATTCTTTTGGCCAGAGTCGGGGTCGACGCAAAGATGGCAGGGGCACGAGTCGCGCAGCCAGAGGGTGGACACGGGGAAGTCATGGTTGGCGTCACCTTCGCCCGCGAGACGGACGCTGAGCTGACGACTGTTCCAAAACACGATCCCAACATCAGACTCGACAGTTTTCAAGGGCCCATCGAGAGGGGTTCTGGGCTTCGGCCTCCACACTGTGCCCTGATCGTTTCTCGTGGGCTTGGAGTTATTCGCATCCTTCGCGCCGGAAGGTCTCGAGCCGCCTGCCCACTTCTCCGTTTTGCCGTGGGTGTGGTTATAGCGAGCCGCCGTGCCGAAGCCACCAAGTTTGAGCTGATCGACGAAGCCGGTCTGTCGCGCTGCACTTGGAGAACCGGACTGCCAAAGCCCACGCGCCCTGTAAGGTGTTGGTACAACGGGCACACCGCGCGCTGTCAGAAGGCCCCAAGAACGAGCAATACAAATCGCTCCACCCATGGTTGACCGGATACGGGATGGTAGAGCGGTCGCAGTCGAAAAGTTTGGGGGGTCGCTTGGTCGTGGCGGCTCTGAAAGGTTGAAGAACAGTCAGGTGTTTACTGCAAACATCCCGTCGGGATAGAGGGGGAAACCCCACATTACTCGCAGAGCTGTCATGTGTCAAGAAACCCCGGTGCTTGGCGCTACATAACTAAGCTCATAAAGATCGGCGGCACGTACACCAAGTACCTGGAGCTCAACAGTGACCAGTCATCTTTGGGTTGACGTCACTCCGAGTTATGTGGCTTTCGAGTGAGTGTCCCATCACTAAACCGCCGCTTTAATGCTGTTATTTTCAAGCTGACTCAAACCAATCCAAACTACGGATCGACTCACATAGTTGTCTCTGGCACTCTCTGCAATCCACCAAGATGAACTCAAATCCACTCGCAGATCGCGAAAAAGCGTTGGAGAACCAATGGATCCGGGAGAAAGAGTGCGCTCCTCAAGCCAGTCCCTATCAAAACTGAATACTTACACGCCACGATCAGGAAGCGGATGGCCAAAGATCAGGGTGCAAAGAAACAGCACACTGCCAAGGATGCAGAAACTGCGAGCAAGGCGCAACAGCAGGCGAGTCAGGAGAGTAAATGAGGATCATGCTACGATAAATGAGGATCATGCTACGATAAATGAGGATCATGCTACGATAAATGAGGATCATGCTACGATAAATGAGGATCATGCTACGTCGGTAGCGACCAAGTTGAACCACTCACCATACTTAGATCGTGTATATCCGCCTCATGATCAAAAGTTGCTTTCTCCAGACAGAATGAGCTATACTACAAGAAGAGTTTTGTATGACATCAACCGGGCGCGATCACCTACCAATTCAATCATGTTCGATACAACCAGACGTCTCTACCCTCTTGTTCCAATTTATGCCCCTCAGGTACGGAGTTAGGTGTAAGCTTAACGTTAGATACAATAAGATCCTGTTAGCATGGACCTTAGTACACCTTAGGCGAATAAATCCAGCAATATAACATCACTGATTAAATGTCTAGACAAACCTCTTTAATCTTTCTTATATTCTTTCTCCCTTCATTATTTTTAGCATAACGGTATGTAATTACTAATCTTATCATATTGTCTTTCTTTTCGTTTTAATCTTTCTTAACGTTTTTTCTCTCCGCCTTGTTCTACTTTCTTGTTATTTTTTTCCTAAACTCTCTCTTGTTTCCGTTCTACTAAATCCTTTAACTATAACTTGCTTTTATTGTTTTCTTCTCCTTTTTCGTCTAAGTTTTAACTTTGACTTTCTTTCTTTCTTTGAATTCTTCTTTTTCTTGCTGAGTCACTTATGTGGCTTACAGAATGTCGACCGTCTGCATCAGCACGGCTTTTCCCCTCCTGCCTGCAAGAGGTTCGCCATTATGCGGCCAAAGTATAGGCCGTTATGGAAGTCGACAAGCAAGTGGGCGCCTGTGACGGGCACCACCCGAGGTCTGGTCAGCTCGCACATACAAGATCGGTATTGCTACAACAAAAGCAAGAGCTAGATGACAGGAATGGGCGTGCAACCAGACCTTAAGTACTGGAGCAGAGGCCTATGCGTAAGCATGACCATAGACGTATGATCAAACCCCATGACGTATGCATAACCGCAAGCATATGACATGACCATGAGAACAGGGACGGGGAATCCCGTGACAGCGCCTGTGTAATGCTAGTTGAGGCCGATGTCGGCCGACGGCTGGAAGTCATTTCTATACGGTGCTTGAGCTTCAAACTTGTCATTGCTGCCCGGCGGGTCCAACCGCAGATAGCCCTCGCTCAGGGGGCGCAGGATGGACACCTCGATGAGCCCAAAGCCACTGGCTCACAACGACCCGGTGCTCAGGCGATATGCCTGGCGGGCCGCACGGTATCGTATCATCTATGGGGCGGGGCGGTCATGCGGATAGCTGGACTAGGTGACCTAGAGGTACTGGCGCGATGCGGTGTCGATCAAGATGTCTTGTATGATGGTGTGCTGGTGGTAATGCTGATGGTAGTGATGGTCTTGGTGGGCTGGAGACCGGAGAGCAGTTCGAGGGGAACAAGACCCGCCTACATGGAAAGCACAATTGCAAACTAAGACCGGAATTGCAGATGGAAAGAGAACATGTCGCATCGGGTATTGAGTTACATGACATAACTCGCCCCTAGATACCTAGTATAGCCAGCAATGACTTATTGTGGAAATGCCCCGGGGATACGAGGGGCGTCCTGCCATCAATTTGGCGAGACTTGAACCTGGGGTTGTTTCTCCTCCTGGCTTTTTTCCGGCCAGCTGTAACACTTACGTTCCTTGCGCCTGGATTGCCTGGCGTAGCCGCCCCTGCGGTTCGGGGTCCACAACCAGCTCTTTCCTGATACCGATGCCCGCCCGCTCGGGCCGTGTGGGCTGTGGTAATGGCCGCGGGGTTTCGTGGGTTTGGAGCGGCCCCGGGAGGGAGCCGGCTGTGAGGCCCGGCGGTTGGCGCGCCGTGTTTGGGGGGTATTCGATGATGCGTTGGCGAGGCGTTGGCTGCACGTGGCGTATTGCTTGGGGTCCGAGCTGCACCGCTGCTGGAGGGATGGGTACGTCTGGTTAGAGCTCTGCGACTTCGTCCCTGGGGGTTGTCAAACCTTCTCCTTCAACAAATTGACGAGCATCTGAGCGGTGGACGCTCGGCGCGATGGGTCGATGCTTGCCATTGGCTCGAGCTGAGGTTCCCAGCTGGTAAAGGCCTGAACCGCTCGTGCAACATCGGACATGGAATAACCGCGGAAGTCTGGCGGTGGAAATCTGAGCTTTGGATGGATCTCGAGTATCGTATCAAACAGGGGCCAGATACCCACCTTCGGAGTCTGAGACCAGTGGCTTTGAAGCTCTGGAGCCTGGTACAACGGGGTGCCGCAGAAGGTGGTGGCAAGGCGGAAATCATTGGCGAACCCAAAGTCAGCGAGCTGAAACTTGTACTTGTCTTCGCGCAGTGTCTTGTAGAGGATGTTCTGAGGCATAATATTTCGATGGCAGGTTTCTTGAAAGCTAGATAATCCAGGGCACTGAGCATCTGCGCTAACACTTGGGTGCAGAGCTTATCAGAAGCTTCTCTGCTTCGAACAAGGGAGGCGAGACTGCCCGCACGCAAGGGTATAAATATTGACGGGCTGTCTGTGTGGAAGTCTTTGGTTCCTAGGCACTCGATAATATGGTTCTATGTTGTAGTTAGCAAGGAGGAAGAGGGAGAGGAAGAGGAAGAGACTCACATATGAGATTCTTTCCATGATTTTCAACTCTCTGTAGAGGGCGGTCCGGGCGAGTTCAACAAGCCCGGGGCCTCCTTGTGCCTAAAGGTCAACCTTCTTAACGGTGAAGTGCCATCCTTTTTCGATAGCTCGCAGTTTCAGAGTGCCATAACAGCGCGCGCCCTCCCAGCACTCGAATTGGTCGCCGAGCATCCAGATCGACTGGAACAATGGCTAAGGTAGATAATCGCTTCATGCGCGATGATCCGCCCCCTCTACGTTTCGTCGGGCGAGTCCGTGGAAGAAGAAGCCCTATGCCATCGGGTGTTGATGCAGTCCCAGGAAACTGTTCTCCATGAATTCAGGGACCTGCTTAGCCAACCGCTCGCTGTTTTCGAACGCGGCGTTGTTTTGCGAAGGTTGGGTAAAGGCGCGTACAGACCCGCGCGACGCTTCCGCAACGAGGCCCCCCTCGAACACGAACGCTTGAGCACATTTTCCTTACGGCAGCCATACTGGTCACCGGCTAAAGCATTCGTCAAAGGGGAGACGGGCCGTCATCGCCCGGCGAAACATCAGAAAACGGTGGCAGCGCCTCGGCATCTGGAACCCGAAATGAGGGATACCCGACCGAGCCAACCCTCAGCTCGAGGACTACGTCGACCATTGGAAATGGAAATGGGAGTCTGCGACCGACCGGCCTCACAGTGATCTGCGACACCCCATCGGGCGGGCCATGCAACTCTGCGAAAACTTGGCGTACGGTGAGCACTTCGCCCACGCAAACAGCCCCAACGAGCACAAGTTGACGCGGCGGTCGGAACAGACGATCAACTCATGCAGAACGCAGAATTAGAACCGGTAAAACCCTTCACCTCGTCATCGGGGACGTCAACGCAAACAGGACCGGCCAGCACAAACTACCACACCGGCGCAGCGCGAGGATAGTTGCGATGAGCGCCAACCCGCCAGCTCCACACGCGCCCACGGCGGCCCGGAATGCGAGCACACGTTCCGCGAGGGCCGTACTCGCTGCACCACCGCCACCGATTCGCACTCGGCCGCAAAGCCACCGAGGAAGAGGGGTCGACCACGAAAGACACAAGATGACGGTATCAGAAAACCGGCTGCTCCCCAAAACAAGCGAGGAAGGAAACCTAAGAACAAGACGGCTGCAGTAGCAAAAGGAGGCGGCGACTGCTGCTTTGGACGGGCAAGCAACGAAGGACGCTCCCGTGGCCGGGAACCGGGGACGAGGCCGTCCCAGGCGGACTTAGGCATCTTTAGGAGTGAGCCGGGCGCTGATTATAAGCGTGAGATGTATAGAGCGGATGGCACAATGGTGAACCGAAAACCATTCATGGGCCTATCCTAGTCCTGCTGCTCTTTCTGTGTGTCTTCACGCTCGCTGCCCGTTTCTTGCTTCTGGCATTCCGTCACCTGGCAGCACTGTCTAGCCCGCTCACCATTGCGGGTCACTCGCTCTACATGTCGAACGAGAGCTGATTACATAGTATCCTGCTCTAGGGAATAGCGGCTACTTGCTGACTCGGCTTCTTCATCAAATTATCTTCCTAACCGAGAAAACATGCGCAGGTCGACAGCCCGGCTCGAGGCGCACATAATTGGCCCTGCCCCATTCCCAGTTCTCACCGGTGAGCTCATCGCACACCAACACAACATCGTGCCACGCCAGGCCGAGTTGCGGCATGTCTAAGTAGACGGTGGCCTCCTGGGTGTGGTGCGGGTCAAGGTTGGCGACGACCAGGACCGTGTTATCTCCCTTCCTCTTCGAATACACGATGATCGAATCATTGCCAGCGTGGTGGAGGAAGCAGAGGTTGCGCAGCTGCTGTAGCGCCGGGTTCTGCCGCCGGATCGTGTTGAGCCGCGTCAGCAAGGGGCTAATGGTGCGGCCCTCGCGCTCCGCCGCGTCCCAGTCTCGCGGCCGGAGCTGGTATTTCTCCGAGTCGAGGTACTCTTCGCTGCCCTCGCGCAGCGGCGTGTTCTCGCAGAGCTCGTAGCCCGAGTAGATGCCCCAGGTCGGGGACAGCGTGGCGGCGAGGACGGCGCGGACTTCGAACGCGGGCCGGCCGCCGTGCTGGAGGTAGGCCGCCAGGATGTCCGGGGTGTTGGCGAAGAGGTTGGGTCGCATGTAAATTGCGGCGTCGCCCGAGAGCTCCGTCAGGTGCTCGATGAGTTCTGACTTGGTGTTGCGCCAGGTGAAGTAGGTGTAGGACTGCTGGAAGCCGAGCTGGGCTAGAGTGTGCATGATCGCGGGGCGGGTGAACGCCTCGGCGAGGAAGATCACGTCCGGGTCGGAGCGGTTGATGTCCGAGATGACCTGCTCCCAGAAGACGGCAGGCTTGGCGTGCGCGTTGTCCACCCGGAAGATGCGCACCCCATAGCTCATCCAATGCCGCAGCACTCGACAGGCTTCCGCGACAAGACCGTCCATGTCCGCGTCCAAGGCGATGGGGTAGATGTCCTGGTACTTCTTAGGCGGGTTCTCCGCGTGGGCGATGGTGCCGTCGGGCCGGCGGTGGAACCACCCGGGGTGTCTCTTCACCCAGGGATGGTCCGGGGAGCACTGGAGGGCAAAGTCCAGGGCTATTTCTATGCACAGCTCCCGGGCCTGGTCGACGAACCAACTGAAGTCCTCTAGGCTGCCCAGGGCGGGGTGAACGGCGTCGTGACCGCCCTCGGGCGAGCCGATGGCCCACGGCACACCAACATCATCGGGTCCGGCGGAGAGGGTGTCGTTCTTCCCCTTGCGGGAGGTCGTGCCGATTGGGTGGATCGGCGGCAGGTACACCACGTCGAAACCCATGGCCGCAATCGCCGGCAGCCGGCGGGCTGCAGTCCGGAACGTGCCATGCAGCTGCTCCGGCGTGCTTTCGGACCGGGGAAAGAACTCGTACCAGGAACCGTACAGCGCCCGTTCCCGCTCTACCAGCAGTGGCAACGCCTCGCTGCTCGTGACGAATTCTTTCAGCGGGTACCGGAACAAAACCGCGTCTACCTCGGGCGTTTGAGCCGCTTGAAACCGTGTCGCCGCCGAGAGTGTCTCATCCCGCATGGCATCAGCGGCGGCCAGGATCAGACCCCGCAAGCCCTCTTCTTCTGGCACGCCGCCAGCGACCCGCTCGTATAGGCACGCACCTTCCTCAAGGACGATCTCAGTGTCCGTGCCTGTGACCTGGCCCTGCGCATGGCGTCGCCAGGTGCCGACCGGGTCGGCCCAGGCCTCGACGGTGAACACCCACAGTCCCGGCTCACCTCCCGTGACTGTTGCACCCCACCGGTCCGTGCCAGGCGCCAACTCCCGCATCGGTGTCCATGGGCCGGGATAGCCCTTGGAATCCCTCAGAACGACATTGGCGGCGACTGCGCCGTGCCCTTCCCGGAATACAGTGGCTGAGATCTCGAAGGTCTCTCCGGTGACGGCCTTGGCGGGCCGGCGCCCGTGCTGGATGGCCGGGCGGACATCGAGGATTGGTATGCGCCCCACGGCGGTCGTCCGGTCATTGCGGGATAAGTACGGGAGACACGGACCGGTGTCAGCTGGGCACTCGGGGTGCTTCATCGCCAGGTACGCGGGCCCCGGTGCTGTGGTGGTTGGAGAGTACTTGTCAATGAATGGCTGGTTGATTGGCCTGCATAACGCCAGTGGCCCCTCCTATCCGGACTCGGAACATGACAGGCGTGGGGACGTACCCTGCATGTGCTACTGGAAGTCAAGTTCGTAAGTGAATCACCAAGCAAGAGGCTTAGACTGCATGGTGTGTTCCTTAGAATTGTGCTAAAATCCAGTCTAGGTCTTGAAGAGGCATGTCTCTGTATCAAATGACGACGAGGTGGTATCCCTATCCTTCCATTTCTGTGCTACACAAGAGGGAGTTAGGGGCTTGATCCTTAGTGGTAGGGCTGAGCCTCCATGAGGTAGCAAGGCATCGACACTTTGCTGTCTGCCCAGACCCAGTCAGCCACTCGTTACCCCTGGACATTCCGAATCTGAGAAAGCATGGCCCAGCTCTCAATCACAATAAACATACCAGAACGTTCCAAATAACGTTCAGTGACACATACTCAAGAATGCGAAGCAGGCAGCAGACACGGCGCCAGTGATTGGCTCTGATCTCAAAATAATAAGAGCCTTCTCCTGCTCTCCTGTCGTGGGCCTCAACGCAGATACCAGACAACAGCATAGGGAACCGCTGTATGTGAAGGTCCTAATCATCCGTATGCCTTCGAGCTTTAAGGGCTATGGTGGGCTTGGGGTTGCACACCAGGGTCGTGAGAATGCCTTCCATCAACCTGACCTGTGGCTCGCGGCCTACCGGGTTTATGGTAGGAGATTCTATGTTTGAGTCATTATATCTTCAGTCAAATGCCTGTTTTGTACTTAAAGAGCTTCAGAGCCGTGAGAGAGAGATTCGGCGCTTTCCAAAGTCCTTTGAGTCTGCATTCTGGAAGAGAAGTAAAGGGAAAAAGTAAGTACGGCTGATGTGTTAAAAAATTGGATAACTGACAAATCACAGGGTGTCAAGTCACAACATTAGCACTCACCGGCCTTCCCATAAATGAAGATGTCGTCGCATGCACCATCCAAGGGGAGGCCCAGACATGGGTCTCGTGCTTCCACAGCATCCAACCCTGCCCACCCAGGCTGGGACCCAGAGGTGGAGACCATCGACCCACGGCTCTTAACCGGGCACTACCCTCCCCACGAGTTCCCTTCGCAGAATCCTTGGGCCGGATATTCTGCAACTGTTGGTTCGCCCTTCTCAGTAGGTTACGACAACCCGTGCTACACAGCTTGGGGCTACCCCAGCAACGAGCACTTCCAGGCATCGGATCGACATGTCCCCTACTCGTCAGCCTCAGTGGTCACAAGTCTCGCCGCAGGTGTATAGATACCTCACCAAAGAGACATGACGAGCCCTGATGTCAACGACACGGTCGTCGACCCCGGTCTCGATACTGAATTTTTCCCACTTCACCTTGCCCCCTGCTCCAGTGGACCGAACTACTGCTCATGACACCAACACACTTTCATCCTGGCCTACCCAGGATTCATCGTTCCTTTCCCAACCTGTCGCTGACCCCATCTTCGCTGCCCAGACCAATGAGCAACCCAACGGCTTCGACTATGGACAGTACTCGCAAGACGCAACAAACCAGCCGGACTGGTCACAAGATGACGGTGTTGCTCAAGCAGACCCATCTCCCGCACCCGCCGATTCGAACAAGCCATTTGTGTGCCCATATTCCGGCTGCACCAACCCATATCATCCTCGACAATGTGACCTCGCGTGCGTCGCGTATCCCCTTCTACCCAACGCCGTCCTTACCAATGTCATCGTGATTCCCTAAGTACTGTGGCTAACACGGAATTCTCTACCAGCAAGCACATCAACAATCACACCAAGCCCCGCAAGTGTGACATCTGCGGCGCCGGCGGCGCCGTGGCCAAGGACCTCAACCGCCACATGTGGACGCACCACCCGGATGAAGCGAGGAGGCGTGGCGTGCCGAAGGAGGAGGACCGCTGCTTGGTCTGCGGGTACACGGGACGTAAGGACAATGTCAAGAGGCATAGGGATACGAAGAATCACTGGGTCAGTGGGTGACTGTCGCGATCTGTGTTCTTTTTCCCGTGAGCGAAGGCCCGGTATTTATTAGGAGCTAAAGCATGAGATGTTGGCATTAGACTTTTGAGACGAACAGTCTGGGACCCAGCTCGGCAACGAGCTACCAGCGGGTCTTTCGCCAAACTCCAAGTGGCTGAGAATGTCGAGTCGTTGTTCATGCGTGATGATCTTCGTGGCGGTATGACGAACAACCGTTCGGGGGTATTCAGCGGCGTCTAATCGACCTCGATGCCGTACTTCGGATCAGCAAGGGGGAGGAAAGCGTATATCCTCTCTCTTCATGTCGGGCCCGAGGGCTCACAATCCGGGAATCTTTAAGTGAAGCCAAGAGGCTCCACCGTTGGAGATGTTTCAAGCAACCTCTTTGCCTTCTCCAAGAAGGCAAGGACTGGCATAGCATCGATGGTGTTGAAAAACGAGTGAAAAATGGCAGCCTCGTTGTTGGTGTAACCGCCCGTGTCTGATTTATCGATCGCGAGCCGACACAGCCTTCCTAGGCCGATCTGATAGCTCCAGCTTCTCCCGAGGGTGTAAAGATGAACTATTCAAGAGTATCTTTAATTGTACGGGGTCACCAACCTAATTGTACGGGGTCCGCACAGATCCCCTGAAATCCGCCACACCTGTTTCGGGATGAGCCTCTGCAACCCTCGTCCAACCCTAATCCTCGTCGAAAAAACTTCTTCATGGGAGCCTCCCTGAGTGTGTGTGTGTGTGTGTGTGTGAGCAACGGCCCCATCACAGTTGCCCCTTTTACCTATCGCTCCTACCTAGACAGTGAGAATCCATTACTGCTTGTCGGCTACTTCTCTGCAATAGCAGGTACAAAGGTTCACCCCTCTCCACCACCACTACCTGACGTGGACGGGGGTCGCGGGTCCAGGGGACTATAGGAAGACGGGGAAGAGGTCACGACAGGGAAGAGGTCGTGGACAGGGACGAGGTCGTGGACAGGGACGAGGTCGTGGACAGGAACGAGGCCATCAAAATAGAGTAGAGGAGACCCAAGGAGGTACAGGTCCTGCGTCCAGCGCAGCCATACAGCTCGGGACGCCAGCGCCGGACACCCCCTAGGCTAGTTGACAGATAGGAGTGAATGCTTGATTTTCCCTGCGATAGATCCCCAAGGCCACAATCCCCATTATCACCAAATCGCTCAAACCGATCTTTTTGCTCTGGAGTTTGTCCTTTTTCTTTTTCTCTTTTTTTTTTTTTGCCGAGGCTCAGCCCGGCACAGGTGTGGCGGAATTCAGGGGTTCTGTGCAGACCCCGTACAATTAGGTTGATGACCCCGTACAATTAAAGATAACGTTACTACTATTCAACTGCTCCGCTGCTATAGAATATCATTGCCTCCCTTGCCACGACCAATTCCTGAGCAACCCAATATTTCAAACTTTGAAAATCAGGTGCTCAACATGCACCTAGAGCTCAACGCTTTACCTTGACGGTTACTACAATCCCCCACCCGGTCCTGCTTTCCCACAAGCCAAACTCATTCTCCTTCCTGAACGTAACCTCCTCCGCCGTAACAGTCATCTTAACCGAGTCATTTTCCGCGCCAGACCCGAAGCTCGACAAACCCGGCGACACAGGAGGCGCCACCACAGGCGAACTCTGCTCTGCAGCCTTCTTTCTGCCCCCACCCAGGCCCCAACGTCCCCATCCCGACTTCTCTTTCCCCACAGCCTTCTTCTCCACCACCACAGGCTGGATGTGTTTCCTGTCAGAGGTCGGCTCGGGCCTCAGATACGCCGCCAGCCGGCTGGCCATGTCCTCATCTGTAAACCACCACCCACCCTGCCGCCCGGCAGCATTACCTCCGGAGCCACCATCAGTGTCAAACCGCCCCCACTCATCAAACCCAGCCTCCCTAGCCCCAAGCGAGCCACCGACCTCATCCCCCTCCGCATCTCCCACGGTATCAAAACCATCACCATCACCAGAACCCACCTTCCCCATATCAACCCTCACAACCCTCACCAACTCCCCCTCCCTCCTCCTCTCCACCGCACCACTCATCCCCCACTCGGCCGGCACAGCCGAGGCCGGAACAAGCGTCAGCTCGGCGACAGGCGGGATCATCCCTCCTCCCCGTTCAGCCGACATCGACGAGGCGGAGGCACAAGAAGAAGTGAGGTCGGCGGCGAGAAAGGCCTCGATGTGCCTCACGAGCAGGTCGGTCAGGGCCAGGTCGTGCGAGGCCTGCGCGCTCTGGCGGGCCAGTTGAGTCGCACGCAGGCGGGAGGGGAGGGTGCGGAGGTGGGTTGTTAGTGGGGAGGAGGAGGTTGTAGTTGTGGTAGTAGGGAGTTGGGGGAAGAGGGGCGAGGGGGTGATGATGGATTCGGTGTAGGAGGGGGGGAGGTCGTCTCCTGCTGAGAGGCCCATTGTGATGAGAGCGAGTTTTCTTTTTCTATCCTTCTCCTTCCTTGTCCTTGTTCCTTGGGAGGTTGAGAGGCAGTGGAGGGCGGAGCGTGTCGAGGTTAACGGTGAGGCTGAGCCTGAGGGTTCGCTGGGGCTCAGAGGCCGCAGGATGGTTTGAGTTATTGGTGATGATGGCGTCTTCAATGGCTCGGTGATGCCGACGGATATCGATGACGGAACTGCGGTCCTCTCGCGGGTGATATTTGGGCAGTGACTGATACTGTGAACGGGAGGCCTGAAAGACGACGGATGTAGTAGCGAGGAAAACCCTCTCACTGGAATTAGAGAAAATGAGGGTAAGGGTGAAGTCGGGCGAGATGGAGACAGTTGCGCGGAATGATGAGATGTCGTTGTTCTCAGCTTGTTCGAGCAAGCTGTGTGAGTTTCGGAATTTGATAGTTGCGAAGTTGAGAATCAACCAAATTCCCAAAGGCACAAAAGGTGATATGCCTTGCAGGCAGTGAAAGGCCTCGAGAGTGGCTATGTGAACCTTAGTGGCGCAAGTGGGGCCTGAGCGTCGCTTGTCCGCGCCGGATCTGGCGACCGATGCGGGGGAATCAGAGCCCGAGATCCGATCTTGCAGCGGGTCTCCTCAGGCTTTCAGCGTCGGGCGAGACAACCTGGAATGGAACCGAACACTTCCATCCAAACCCGGCATGCACTGGAACAACCCCAGCATTGCACGAACTACGTGACACCAGGAACAGTTTTGACTCCCTGCTGTGGCAGGCGACCTGGAAGCTAAACCTTTTGCGGTCCTCTCGTTCCGTTTCAGGTGACGTGGACTTCGGCGCGGGGATCCTGGCAACGAGGCGTTCTTCACGCCGCCAGCTGTCGACATTTCGGCCACCCGTGGGTTTCGATGGCGCTCCATTACACCACTTCACAAATCCCCCCCGGCCGTCTTCCTGCGGTATGTTTGAGCTCAGAGCCTTGTAAACTTAAGGTTCCAGATGACATCCGCGTTTCGCAGACACAGCACTTTTATGAGCAAAATCTCTGACATACAGCATCACAGAGGATTTGCTCCGTGGCTTCGAATCCTAACCCACTGTTCGAAGCTCGGCCGGCAAGACACTCCTTCCCATCGACTGATACCTAGGAAGACGTCTTGTTGATAGCATCATCGAGAACCTTCCAGGTGTGTTCCTCGACCTTCTTGATCTGCTCTTCGCTCCAAAGGGGCTTTCTGGCGACCAAGCGCCCTTTGTCGTCAATACAGCTCCAGAACCTGCCCTCCTTCTCCACTGCTGCCGCGCACTCGTACGTCCCTCTGATCATATGCGCAGCGCACGTCTCGGGGGATACGGCAAACAAATGGCCCACACCCCGCGCCACAGGCCGTAGATACCATGGGAGTGAGTTGCTGATATTGGTCTGGACAAAGCCGGGGTAGGCATGCACGAAATGCCGTCTGCCGGCGCTCCGTCTCTTTTGCTGCGCCGCCGCATAGGCCTGGACCATGGCATCCGTCATGGAGATACAGTGGTTGGCCGCGTTGCCGAGACTGTAGTGAGTCTTGAGATCCAGGTCGTCCCAGTTGAGCTTGGTCGGCGGGCCGCCACGCACACCGTCGAGCACGATGACAACCTTGGCGTCGTCCTTCATGACCGGGAGAAGTTCGCGAATAAGCAGTTGCCTCCCATAATAGTGAAGCGCCATCTTGCGGTCAATTCCCTCGGGTGTCTCGGTCCTCCCTGCCATCGAAAAAATGCCCTGGGTGAGGACCAGGAGATTTAGGTCCTTCTCTGGTGCCGACTTGTACGCGTCCGTGTATTGCTTGATAGAGCGCATGGATGACGCATCCAACGGGCGGAATTCGATGTTGGCATGCGGGATATCCTGTGGTTTGTTGCGGCCGCTGATGATGACGGTCGACAACTTGGACTCGGCCGCGATGCGGCAGGCGATGGCATAGCCGATGCCGCCCGTTCCCCCAACAACCAGAGCTCTGGTGGCCATGGACGTCTTGTTTGAACGCGATGAATATGGGTGAATGCAACTGAAGCAATCGCTAGTCAGAGACTCAGAGCGGCCCTTCAGTTCTTGTTCACTTCGAGTTTCCAGCACTTCCAGCAGTGTAGAGAGGACCCAGAGAGTCAGGTAGGGTCGGTCGGTGGAGGGTTTGCCCGGTTCATCGTAAGTGTCCGATTGGCCCACCACGTCAGGAATGCTCCGGATGATAAATGGCAGAGCTCGATTGGCTGCTGTGCCACAGGGGCCGCAGACGCTGGAGAATTGTCCGCTAGTTTCATCTCTGATTTCTCTCCTCCTCTCCCTCATTACTCAGAAACATTGGACGAAGAACCTACCTACTTCCTCTGGCTTTCAACGACCCTTAGTATCCTCCACAAGTCGCCCTCGTCCTCTTACCAGGCCTATTCATGTTTTCTCATGGGAGCCGCATCGGGAGGAAACGCCAGGATGGCTGGCAGCCCTCATTCACCAAGATCCATAATCCGGCAGGCGTCGAATTTACGCCCCCCCACGCCAGCGGCGAGCGCAGAGGTTAAGGTTTGATCAGCGGTTAACCGCCGACGCCGTGCGGAGTAGATCGGCCCGTTGGCAATCACACCCGCTGCCCGGCGGTGGCGCACCGGTAGCGGTACAGGTGAACTGGTTGAGGCTGGTACGGGTCAAGTCATCGCTGGTAGTCCGCAGGGTGGCGACGCCGAGAAAGCAGGCAGCCGGCGCAGCTCGGATCGCGAAGACCAAATCGACGTGCTGAAGCGCCGACTACGTCCGGCCTTCCGCCTGCGTCCAACGGTTCGGCGATTACGATCGCGTCCAGGAAGGACTCGCCTTCTGGGCCGCGAAAGCCGGCAGGTCGCCCGTCGTTGCGGCCGTCGAGTTGCGCTGGCGAAGGCGGTCAGCACTTCCGCCGTCACGGGGCCGATCAGGTCTATAGGATCGGCATCCGTCTCCGGGTTTACGCACTCGATCACAGCGTAATCCTCCACGGCAGCTAGCGCGGTTCGGCACCCGCGCGTGCGTCGCCGTCAATTTCTGGCGTGTATTCCGCGCTTCATGGAGATAAAGTCGGCTTACGGTTTGGCGTCCTCGTCCCCCCATGGACTGTCGGCCGTATAGCTGATGCCGCCGGTTGCACCGTGGAAAAAGTGGGGGTTGTCATATTGGACTTTACCCCACATGCCTACACAGTAGTTGGGAACTCAGCTACTTCCCCCTTGCAATTTGCCAAGCTGTTTAGAGCAGGCGGCAAACGCGTTTGGTTGGCTAGGAATGAGATTTGTAAACGCGTTTATGGACGAATTGATGGACATGTGGTCACAAGACGATGTTAGGATACACCGTGGGAAAGATGGAAAACGGAGTTGGGAAACGGTATAGTAAGAAACTGAGCGGATACGAGGTCTACCGTTTTAATCCAAGAAAGCGTTTCAGCACGTGACCTAAACTTTGCTGAGTCAGCAATTTGGACCCTAACCAGGTCCGCATTCACGTTTCGCCCTCCCGGCAAGAGCAACAGCTTTTGGCCTTCGTTTTTGTTCAAAGTGGGCGGTTTCTTGTCGTCGAAGTTACCAGTTCTGGACCTTTCTAAGCAGACACAGAAACTTTTTTGGGCAAAATGAGGGGAAACTGTGCTCAACATGAACCGGCCGCATGTCGACTTACACGGCAGTCGCCCATTGGCTCCACCACAGCTGCGCAGCCACACACCATCATCTGCATCTGCTTCCCCGGTCAACGAGGCAGAACGATTCGATGACCACATTCCGCACAGCCGTCGCCCGGTGAGGCTATGGGTAAAATGCGGCTCAAAATTATTTCCCCCCTGCAGTGAAGTCATACCTAGCAAACCAACCATGTCGACTGGGCTGTGCTGCGAGGCTCGGTCGTCCTCGCTTCTGACCCCTACTTATGGGGCGATCATGCATGGAGAAATGTCCTACCTCGAAGGTACTGTACTTATACCGACATCTTCATCCAGGCTGGGGCTTTACATATCGTTTCAACGTGACTGTTGCCCATCATCTTTATTTGGGTTTCACGTCGGCAGATCTCAACTCCTCCAGCAACATCATCGCTTCTCCAGTTCTCACACCTGAGTAGTCACTGTCGCTTTTCAGGAGAGCACACACACAACACCAGATTCGATTGTTACCCAACCATCTTTCCTGAAGTTGCTATACAAGATATCAAAATGGCCACCTATAAGATTGCCGCCCCCGATGAATACCTTGCCATCACTGGCATGAACATCAAGAATGGTGAGTTGCCTTCCTTACACTTTGCTTCTTCGAAAGGACACTGACCTGCCTGCAGTCAAAATCACAAAGGCAGCATGGGTGTGGCCCTTTCAGCGCTGCATGCGCTTCAGCGTGCAGCCGCACGACTACGCCATGAACCTGCAGGCCATGACCAAGGAGAAGCTCCAGTTCCTTTTGCCCGTCGTCTTCACCGTTGGCCCAGATGTCAACCAGCGGGGTGCCAACACCAAGGGTGGAAACCATGACCATGAGGGCCACGTCACAGGAGCCGGCAGCGACGGGACGCCCGCGACGGTAGACGACCATGTGCATGACGACCGCCGCGAGGATCAGGGGGACTCCCTCATGAAGTACGCCATGCTGCTGGCCGATTCCGGTACCAACAAGGGCGACAACAACCGCCAGTTTCTCGAGAATATTGTCAAGGGCATCATCGAAGGCGAGACGCGTGTCCTTGTGTCGAGCATGACCATGGAGGAGATCTTCACAGAGCGTGAGGTTTTCAAGCGTCGCATTTTCCGCAATATCCAGAGTGAATTGGACCAGTTTGGTCTCAAAATCTACAATGCCAACGTAAGTAAACATACCTTACCTTTCTAGCTTGAGCATCACAGAATAAGGCTTGGTGTCTTGGTGTTTGGAAGCCTGGCACCAGCCCCTGAGCCCCTGACATGACACCGGACATTGACCTACCGCCATGGCCTCCATTCTGACCATAAGACGCTCAACTGACCCGTGGACAGGTCAAAGAACTCAAAGATGCGCCCAACTCGATCTATTTCGAGTCCCTCAGCCGCAAGGCGCACGAAGGCGCGACGAACCAGGCGCGCATCGACGTCGCCGAGGCACAGCTCCGCGGAAACGTGGGCGAGGCCAAGCGCAAGGGCGAGCAGGAGCGCGAAATCGCAAAGATCCACGCCGAGACGGCCGTCCAGAAGACGGAGCGCGACATTGAACGCGCCTCGGCCGAAGCCGTGCTCGCCACGCGCAAGACCGAGCTCAACCGCGACGTCGACATCGCCCGCATCGCCGCCACCCGCAGGACAGAGGCCCAGGACGAGGAGCTCAAGAAGGAGGTCCAGATCAAGCGCGCCGCCGCCGAGATGGAGCGCCTGCGCGCCAGCGACGTCGTCAAGGCCACCATTGCCCGCGAGGCCAAGCAGCAGGCGGCCGACGCCAAGGCCTACGAGATTGAGGCCGAGGCCAAGGCCAACTACGAGAAGCAGAGGCAGGCGGCCGAGGCGGGCGTGTACAAGATGAAGGTCGACACGGACGCGGCCGTGTACAAGACCAAGGCGGACGCCGAGGCCCGCGCATTCGAGGTCGAGGTCGAGGCGAAAGCCAACTTCGAGAAGCAGAAGCAGAACACCGAAGCGGGCGTGTACAAGATCAAGGTGGACACGGAGGCGCTCGCGTACAAGACCAGGCAGGACGCCGAGGCGTGGAGCCACGCGACCGTCAAGAACGCCGAGGCAAGCCTGCAGAAGAAGCTCCGGGAGGCCGAGGGCATGATGGCCATGGCTGAGGCCTACGCCAAAATGAGCCAGGCCTTTGGCGGGCCCGCGGGCCTGCTGCAGTACATGATGATCGAGAAGGGCACGTACGTCGAGCTGGCCAAGGCCAACGCCGAGGCCATCCGCGGCCTGCAGCCCAAGATCAGCGTGTGGAACACGGGCGCCGAGGCCGGCGTCGAAGGGGCGCAGGGCATGGGCAACCAGAGCAGCGTCGCCACCATGCGTAACATCTACCAGATGCTGCCGCCGCTCATGACTACCATCAACGAGCAGACGGGCATCACTCTGCCCGAGTGGCAGTTTGGCCATCTGGCTGGGCAGATGTCGCAGCTGGAGCGGGGCGAGGCCAAGCCGAATGGAAAGCCGTAAACAGTGAGGCAAGGCCTTGGTGGATGGTGAAGGCCTAGGACGGTGGAGATGAAAGCATACCGCCTGGACGCTCCTGGCAGCAAGTCATTTGTCGTGGGACTTTTGGTATGGAAGGGCTTGCTATGTAGACTGCGAAGAGGGTGGCGTTTAGGGTGGACTTCCCAGCAATACCCAGTGACTGATGTTTTCATTCGTTGTTGTACACTATATTCAGGTACACTGCTTGCTTGGACTGGCATCCTTGTTCTTGATAGTCGTTTCTTTTGTCTTACCGCGCAAATATCCGCTATATTTATCGTAATCATGATCCTTACCTTACCTTATTCAACATGAAGTTGACGAGTGCAATTGAAGCTGAGGGTTGCAATGAGCGATGCCACCGCAGCCGAGGTGGTCACCGTGACGCTTGTGCGGGAGGACAGATCTGGTGATCCGCTTGTCTGGTGTGGAATTGTTCAAGTTGGAGGCTCGAATTCGGCACCCTTTTCACCTTTCACAACCCAATCCAAGGCTGGATTTTCCTCCTCCAGCACACGATCTTACACATGCTGATGAACCTCGTTGACAAAGTAATGAATGTCCAATCCAACCTTGCACACCAACCACCCCCCTTGAGCTCATAGCAAAGCCACCCAGCTTCACCCCGCGCATGCCCATGACTCTCATCATCATGTTCATCCGGGCCAGAGCACGTTACCTTTACCACCCACCCTTTCCTCTCGCGATTCTCCTCGTCTCAATCCGCCGCAATACTCGGGCCCCTCCTCAAGCAGCAGCGTCCTTGTCCTCCCGCACTAGACGCACAGGCATGCAGGCTGATCGTACCTTGGTCGCAGCATTGCCGCTCACGGCTCGCCGGGAGCCCGTTGGGCGTACTCGAGCAGCATCCCGCGACAATACGGAGGAAACGATAATAATAGTGCTCCCGCAGTCCTGCCAAAAGGAGGGTGTATCCGATGACATTTGATCCTCCCCAGCGTTCGCGTCCGGCATCGTCTCCGAAATTCTCAGTTCAAGAGGATCGAGTGCCGGACCACTTCAAGTTGAGAACCTGGTTTGTTGTATTGGGCCGGGGAACTTGGGATCCCAAATCCATTTTTTTCTCCCTTCCCTTGTGGCAGGTTGGCAATGATCATGATTCGGGTAGCTTGATACCCAAACCGCGGAGCTGTCACAATTCCTTTGACGCCATCATCACTCGCTTACCCCCGGTTGGTATACTATGACAAGGTAGCTGGCAGGTAACTTGTAAGAAAACCAATGATTCGGCAGAACAAAGTCCTGTCCTGTTCTTTGCCATGAGCCATCCTTTCTACTGCTTATCACTCAGTACAGCAATAACCGAGGAACAAAAATACACTGACTCCGTCCTTTCAACCCTTTCTAACCCATACTCGAGACTAAGACTTGTTGGAGGGAGACGAGTTTCAGCAAACTTTCCCATCCAAAAGGAACTAAAATCCATCACCTACCATCGGCAATTTCCTCAGCGCCGAGGCAAGAAGAGGGAAATTTTGGCCTCAATAGACGACAAATCCGTTGGTATCGGCAGTCGCAATGAACACGGGACCCAAGTCCGCCTCCCAGTGTCTGACATAGTCATCTTGGGGCTGTTGTTTGTGTTGAGATGGTGATGAGAGCTGGAATGCTGAGGACAAGTGTAGTGGTCTTCTGGGCTCGCATTTATACCTCTTCAGAGATGTTGAGCCGCCGGGCCCGCCAGAATAGCACGACCAATATCGACTGCTTAGATGGACATCATGAACACGGACACACGTAGGTGGCATTGAGACGCTACAAGCGACAGCCGTTTTCCATGTTTGTTCCCTCAAGCTATCTCCATTGTGTACCTTATGTGTGCCCTGGTCAGCTGGCGTTCTGTGGATGACAAACACATCCGTAGAAGAAGCTTTCCAAGGCGCAAGGTTGAGTGGCTGAGCATCGGTGTAGAACTCACAACCCAGCTCTAGGGATAGTTTGTTTGTTACATGTACATAGCGTGTGTGTCAAGGTATGCATCAAATCATGTTACCATACGCTAGATCGTGAGGTCGTATCTACCAAATCAGTCGTTTGAGCTTCAATCTCCATTCTTATTCCTTATCTTCTTTCTTCTTCTATCAATGCTCTCTACCTTACCTTTCTATCTTCCTCTGCCTCCTTTTCTTGATCTTTCCCTTGAAATCGCTTCTCGTATGCCCAACATCATTACTACCTGACCACCCAAGGTCCTGCCATGTGCTACGCAAACAAACAAACCATGACTAGATAGTACACGATGACTGAAGAGAGTTTCAACAGTCAGTTTGCATCTCTAGATGGTGGAGTGTTGGTTGTCACCATTGTCCTCCCCTACCCACGTGTAATAATGTCCCAGCTGATGGGCACACAAGCGCTCAACTCTTAGCTAGACAGTGACACACTTTCGGCCTCGATATCAATGATATCAGATCGTGATTCAGATCCAGGAATGTACCATCCCTGGAAAGATGCCATGTTATTCCAGTGTGGCTGTTGACGTCCCCTAAGGCCTGTGAATCCGCAAAGGAGCCTCAACCCTTTCCGCTGACATGAATGAGATATCAAGCCCCATCAATCAGGTAAGCACTCAAAACGGACACAGCGACAAACCCGGCACTTTCCAAGGCTGGGTCAGCGGTGAAGTTTCAGAGCGGAGAACATGAACACACAGGGGGTGTAAAGGGGTGTGATATTGCCCAGTCATCTTGGCCGAGACTCTGTTCCTTTATTCTTATTTCCCCCTTCACAAACACCCTTCATACATCCAACTTTGGCATGGAGGACACATAATCTAAGCTTCGTGGACCGCGAAACACCTTGGGTGATCCGCTTGTCTGGGGTGGAATTGTTCAAGTTGGAGACTCGAATCATCCGATTCGTTTTCTATGAATATAGGTCTGGCTGATGGCGGAACAGTTAGACAGCCTGTGTCTGCTATATGAAGTACAGGCTCGGGCTAGCGAACAAGGGGACATCATGGAATAACTAAATAAACAAGTTAAGTTTGACCTTCGATTTTGACTTGATTTGAAGTGAGCTAGTAGTATTTGACTTAGTATTTGATTGAATCAAATGCTTAATATACAGTTTAAGTCACTATATATCTCTCTAACTAACCCTAACTAACGTTACCTTATAACTAAGGAAAGTTACATAACGTTACGTGGCTGTGGCGGTGTGGTTGTAGTGGTATTGCAAATCGACTGGCAAGTAATCAAGTCAAATTTGATGATATATTTGACTTGAAGGGAGGGCAACTTAGTTTAACTTGGGAGGTCGGTGACTCATTTGATTAGAGTTGAGTTGATCTCAGTTAGTTATTCCTTGAGGGACATACCCCCCGTCTTCGACCTTCCTGCTCTCCATGCCATAGCAATCTCCCCCCCACAGACCACCAACAAGACGCCCAGAATTGAAGCGATCGAACGCTATATACAAGTTATACCTTGCCAGTTGCGGCGCCGCATTCGCGTATAACGCAGCCGGCAGCATCGCCCCGAACACGGTTGAAGCTTTTGGGACGCAGACGCAATGGAGGCCCGTGGCCGGACAAGGGGTCGTGTTCTTGATGCTGGCTTCGAGACATGGAATTGCGCGCGGGAAGATATCATGTATGCTCTGGGCCAAGACAATGGCCACGATGGCGAAGAGGACAGCGACGTATTTCATTGTGTAAGCTGTGTAAAGTCTGTTCGAGAAGCGAGGTAGACGAAGTGTGACGAGTCGCGAGCGTCTAATAACTACTGTTTGTCCACTAAGCAACGGGGTTCTGTTTATACACTCAGTCGCTGCAGACAAAGCCGCAGCATCCAATTCTCCCATCCTGTCACACGCTCCAGCTCTGAGATGGAGCGATCATCCTGCTCCTCCAACCTCTTCAACGTGTGCCGGGTGTACTCGACGCTCCTCGAGTCTTTGAGGTGCTGGAGTACCAGCCTTTTGTGTGAGTCGCTCAGGCCACCCGTACCAGACTCTCGCCTCTGTTCCGATATTTCGCGAACTTGTAAAACAACATGGCGTGGGGCTCTGTTAAGATGATGCACAAGCGGAAATGAGAGCTTCCCTTCGTCCAGGTCTTCACAGAATCCCTTTTGTTTCGTGTACTACATCAAATTAGTAGGTCACACAAAAGCACCTGGGCCCGGAATGAGGTACCTCATCAGAGTTGAGATTCTCGTAGTCGTCTCTGATCTGAAAATAGATACCGATCTGATCCACCAAGTCGTCAATGGCCAAGGCGACCCTGATCATAACCGTGTTAGCGGACCCCTTCTCCGTAGTTTGCCCTAGCGTGGGAAAGCTGCAACCAGTACTTACTCTTTGCATAGTTGGCTGCACATCAGCCGTGAGAGTAACCGGAACAATCCTCCGGTCTCTGCAAGTCACCAATCTTTAACATAACAGTTTCTTCCGCAATAGCGCGCATATGACGTACTCTTTGATACCATCTCGAGATACTCCTCCTCAGTGGGACACGATGCATGCCTGGTCCAGTGGAGGTCGTAGCTCTGCCCGACATGCAAATCACGCAGTTGGGCTAATAGGAGAGCAGTCCAGTCAGCAGCCATGGAATGTCAGACCAAGGCAAGAGGATATAGACGAACCGAAAGCGATTGTCAGCAGCGCCAGGAATACGTGGCGACAACTCATGTATTTTCCTGATAGCTTCAACGATTGCAAAGCTGGCCGAGTTGATGGTCTGTGGCACACCAAACACACCGTGAGCGGCCGGATGGCCCCGCCTGAGGTTCGAACCATCTTCGATGTTATCCAGCCTGCACAGAAATTGGTCAGCTCTCATAAGTTTGGTTACTTGGTTACGTGGTGAGTATTGAAAGGTTTACATCAGTGAAGCGGTGTGTAAATCGCCAACCACCTCCTTAATCTGCGTCAGAGTTCTCTCGGGCAGACGCACCCAGAGGTTCAAGGCATCGGCAAGCGTGTCCCGCACCCCCTTCGAAGGCAAAGACCGAACGTAATTGAATGGTGCCTCGAGATGCTAGGAATCAGGTTGTTAACCCATTGTTACGCTGCACAGACCCTCTGGCCCAACGACCAGACGCTTACCTCGAGCCCCAGACATTCCCCGGCCGGTAGTGAAAGGCATTGTTTTGAGTTGTCCCCGGCACTGTCGCCCGTCTCTGACATGCTTGAAACGGACGATGACCGCGAGGTGTGATTGCGGTGCCATGAACTGGTCGAGTGCATATCCGAGTCGCTTGACTGGCGAGACGCCCCGCAGAGGATACCGACAAAGTTCGCTGCCCATGTTGGTCTCCGTACGGCATTGCGTCGGCATCTTGGTCACCATCCGTGTCCGTATCCGCGTTTTTCTCCCTCTTCTCAGCGGTAATGGAATTCTCGAGTCCCACGTTCGGATCATACCTGAACTCGGAATGATACCGCGGACAGCGCAGGCTCCATACCACATTCCCGCTAACCTGGTACGACAGCGCGCGCAGATACCGGTCCAGCTTTTCCGACACGGGCGCGTGATCCCGTCTGAACTGGTCGCACAGCTCGAGAAATTGCGCCTCGTACCGGTTTGTAGCTTCTCTCACGAGCCGCTTGGCGACGGCCGGGCTGACGCCGCGCCAGCGCATATACAACCACACGGCGTTGATAGGCTTAGCCGCGCCGGGCTTGCGCTGCGCCTCGGCCCACTCGCGGTCAAAGGAGAAATAATCGTTGGCCAGCGCCAGGGAGGCGTAGCAGGGGCGGATGATGTCGGCTAGGAGGGCATCTTCTTCTAAGGTGAGGGTCATGCCCATGCCGAAGAGCATGGTGGATTCAACGAAGCTGTCCCGAATTCTTGTCAGTAACGGTGACTAGGGCCTTCATAATGGTATGCGAAGATACCTGGGATGAACTCACGGCGCCCCTGTGTCAATGATGCGGAAGTCGAGATATTCTTCAAGATTGGAAAAGCCTTTGTCCTTGCCTCGGAGTGTGGTTGACAGCATTGTCTTCCAGGCGTCCATGACTCTCGCCGCGCAGACCTTGTCGGTAGCGTTCAGCTGATACATCATCTTGGCTTGGATCTGCTTCCTTCTATTCTTGACCTTTGCTATCACGGATTCTCCCTTGCCAAGTGTGAAATCATCGTCTCCTGTTGACTGGGTAACTGTTAGGGTTTGACGCGTTGCTAGGATACGAATAGGGGCGCCTCTACTCACACTCTCCGAGTATTGGTCTTCAATGACACTGTCGTGGAGAAAAGCATCTGATGATTTCAGCTTCGCTACACACACAAGGACAGTTTTTTAAGATGTGGAAGGGCCATACACTCCAAAATGTAGGCAACCAACCTCAGGCGCTCCGGCCGACACAGTGGCAGCACCACAGCAGTGAAATTGCCGTCAAGAGGGTTGCACCCGCCAAACTCGCAAGCAGGTCCGATATACTTAGCCCAGTCTTCTCGGGCCTCGTGGTAGCCGGCGTTGGCCAGGGTTTCATGACGGTGCCGCTTAAGGGGGTACGCCGGGCAAAAGCCATGAGCGGCATACTGCGCGATGTCCAGGGTCTCGGCCGTCGGTTCATCGTGGTCCATGTCGGGACACTAGGGTCGTTGGGATAAAAATGTAAAAGATTCTTGAGCTGGGAAGGTCCAGTTGGTTCTAGAGTGCTGAAGTGAAGGTTCGCTGTCATTTGGTTCATCTGATTGCATGTGGTTCACTCCGTCGAGACGTCTTTATACAACGGAACCACGCCGAAGACTACACCAAATCGCTCAATTTCACATGATACGTCATGACGAATAGCTATCGTCATCCTTTGACGTGCCGAAAAACGTATCCCAAGAAAATTTTCACCGGTATATAGGAGCGGAGGATGGGACGATGCATACAAGACTACAATGAGCAGCCCAAGACCCAACATCATCCACCCAGGCGGGATTTTTCTTTTCAGGTCTCGATGACGACAAGACTGTCGTGGGGCGGTTCAGCTCCTTGACTCAGCAGCGTTGACAGGCTGTCCATCGGCGGGGTCACCTAAGACAGGATCGTCGCCGGGTTCCAATCGCGCGGTTTGATCGCCGAACTGGGCGTGATCGGCTATCCCCACTGCTCCATTCCGCACAATGGGGTTCGTCACTGGGCCCCAGAGTGGCCCCTTTCCGGCGCTACGGGACGTACCTCTAGCCCAGTCTGTAGGATTTGTCCTGACGTAATGCAAGGGGAGATTCTCTCGTTGATTAAACCTTCTTGACCCCATTTTCTCATAAGGGCCGATGACCCAACACTGACGGTGGTTGGTGAGTCTTGAACGCATGCGGGACTAAGTTGTAGGGAGCTATGTCTGCTCTATGGCATTGCAGTCCGCACCGAGACCAGGCTCCATTTGAGATCTGGTATCTAGTCAAGTCCACGTCCCGGCTTTCATGCACCTTGCGTGAAGCTTTCTGGACTTGTGGAGACAACCCAAATGAGATATATACTGGCTAGAGGACGCACTGCCAGTACAAGAGGCGGCGCCGGTCCCTCTGAGCGATCTGGCCAACATCATGGTGGACGGATCGCGGCCGGTCACGACCGGTCACGACAACAACAGCAATTGTTCCCCTATCCGGCATTGGTGCCCCCTATGTGCAGTCGACGTTCGTCCATGAGCCAGGGGACACAAGCACCTTGCCTTGAACTTGGCAATTATAGAATCTGTCTTCCCCCCTTTCTTCTGGTGTTCTAGCTTCTTCTTCTACCGTTCCAGTCCGACTACCCTCAGCTTCAAAGCAGCCTCCCCAAGCCGCCACCACTCCTGCCGACGTCCGTCCTTGAGCCAGGGTACATGAGAACGTGTGATCTGTCCTGCGCTTGCGACTTTAAAGTATGTCTTAAACCCGCTTCGTCTGGTCTCCCGGCTTCTCCTTCTATTTTCCTAGGCCGACAACCTCCCAGCTTCTCTTCCTAAGAGAGCGCGACCTGGCATTCTTCCACATATTCCTGCACATCTCGGGACTGGCCTCTTCGGTCTCTTATTCATCCTGTTCGCGACTCCAAAGAAGCAGGCGCCTCGGCACAGGTGTCGAGGGGAGGAACATATCAAACACACGAGGGCCTAAGACGTTCCAGGCAGAACGCGCGAAGAGACACTCTATCGCCGCCGTCGCGGGAATGGGGTGAGCGTCGCGGTTGCGCCAGAGGTCTGGGAACCGTCCGCTAGGTGTCGAGTTGAGACGTGCAGAACGAGCTGCGGCGGCTTCCGCTCTGCCGTGGCACCTTCACGACCTATATCTGCTCCCCTGACCCACAAAATGGAGGGCGGACCGCATCCTTCAAACACGCCCTTCCACAACGCCGGCCGCGACCAAGTCAACGCGCCTGGCGGTATCGCGAACAAGACTGACGGCTCCGGCAACCATCCTTCCCGGGGCTACGTTCAATGGGCCTGTATCCTGAGCGCTCCTGTCGGGAGCCATTCCTCTGTAACTAATGAGTCTCAGGAATTCCCCATAAGGCCCCCGAGACCGACGAGGGTACTAGGCGTTATTCGGAAAAAGCAGGTTCGTACTGCCATTCTCCGACTTCTATTGCACACTTCCGTCATATATGGACCGCTTTTATCCGACAAAGCTGCCGCAAGATAGACCACTGACGGGAACAGCCTGCCTCCGTTCTCTCGGCTCCCGCATCATCGACGCCCGGCTTCAGACATAGCCGCTGCCTATTGAGGTACATGCGACTGGCTGTTCAGCACCACCCAGTTCCACAAGTGGCGCGACCGCGCCGACCTACCAGCCTACAATGGCGTGCTTTGGATCAAGGGCAAGCCGGGTGCAGGCAAGTCGACCCTGATGAAGCATGCTCTGCTACATTGCGAGAAGGTCTTCGACGACCAACTGATCGTGACGTTTTTCTTCAACGCTTGAGGCAAGATTCTCGAGAAGACACCTCTAGGCGTGCTGCGGTCAATCATATACCAGCTGCTCGACAATGACTACACGTTGTACGAACGATTCCGCCCTATCTACAAGAAGCAGAGGATGCATGATAAGGAAGGGGAGTACGTGTGGCCACGGGCACAACTGGAGGACTACATACGTTCGATAACCAGCAAGCAGCAGTCGAAGCCCCTCCTCCTCCTCGTCGATACGCTCGACTAGTGCGACGACCGAGACGTTTGAGATGTTGTCGGCTTTCTTGAATCTTTAAGCATTGATGCCGTTCAAGCGGGTATCACCCTAAGGATCTGCCTGTCGAGCCGCCATTATCCCAACGTCAGCATGAGGAAGACTTTGGAGTTGGCGGTAGAGGGGAGCGAAGATCATAGAAGAGACATTGCTACATATATCACACACAAACTGGAGAGGCACGATGACAATATCAAGGACAAGATCCGGAAGAAAGCAGGCGGCATTGCCATATACGTCGTCAATATAGTGTCTCTGCTCAAAAAGCCTATGACGACGGCCGGTTGGAAGCCATGTGTAGAGTACTTTGGAGGAGGTGCCGGCCGATCTCGAGGAGGTGTTCAACAGGTTCTTGAGCGAAGACGATCGGAATAAGACCGAGACGATACGCATGCTCCAGTGGGTACTGCTCAGTCGGCGGCCGCTAAAGCCTGAAGAGCTCTTTTTCGCCGTGCTGACGGGAACGGCTTCGGAGTACACTAGGCCGTGGAACCGATCGAAGATCACGGGTCACGGACCGCATCATCCAACGGCGCATTACCGCATCGTCCAAGGGCCTTAACGAGGCGCGGACAGGGGATGCGGCGTCGGTGCAGTTCATTCATCTATCGGTCAATGACTTCTTGTTCCGAAACCAGAGGTTGCAGACACTGAATCAGGCGCTCCTGTCACGACCCGATCAGTGCCAGCTACAGACAGTTGTGGGATCGCTGCTGGTCCGACATCAAAAGACTAAACACGACGTTAACTCGCGAGCAACATATGAGAAAATTGAGCGGCAACTATCCGTTTTTGCTGTATGCAGCGAGTTACGTATTCGGTCACGCAGAGAGGCACTGTTCGGAGGGGCAATGTGAAAAGAGATCGTACAATGGCTGCAAACACGACGTGTGGTTTGGATGGTGGAAGACATTTCTCTTGACTGTAGACCGTTACGGCGTGCATTCGTACTTGAAGAATAAATGGATGTAAGTCTCCTCTATGTGTCATCGCTTCATGGTTACCGAAAACTGATCACCGTTCTTCTAGCAGAAGGGGGGCGCCGACGTCAACGTGCTGCAGAGATCCTGCGGCAGCTCCTCGAGCACGGCGCCGAGTGCAGCATCGACGTCCACGGACCCGACAGACAAAAAGAGGTCTTCGTGGAGCACGGTCGTCAAAGACGGGGCGAGATGTCTGGCCTTGAGGACATACATCTCCCTGTATATGACACGGCTTTGATTGGAGCGATCGTGACGCTCACGGGTTGGTTCATAGTGCGGTTCTCTCCGAAGCCGACACCCGGAACCGCGGCCGCTTGGTATTGCGGCACTGGGAGTCACCGCTTGACGGGCATTTGGCGCGTGGCTAGGTTTTCGCAAGCCGTTTGATTCTTGATATCTATGGCTGGAGGCGCGGCTCGGCTTTATGCCCTAGCCGCGAACTAGCAACGAGCTGGACACGCTCCACTCGCCCATGGGATCTTGTTTGTCTTTCATCGCTCAGAAGATAACCCAGCCATAGCCTTGCATCAACTCGGCCACTTCGGGGACTGGGCTTCTGCATTGGAGCACAGCGAAGGGATGGCCTTGAACTAGACATGAATCCGCGCTAATACCTACCGAATGAACTGTGAAATGCGCTACTACTCGTTTCACGGAGCACTGACAGTTCGCGCTTCGTAGAGGCTTGTGCGGGGGCCGGATGTCAAGGCTCAGGACAATTCTGGATCGACGGCACCGATCAAGTACCGTTCTTTCGGTTTATTCAGCGATTTATGGAAGCTTAATACTTCCAACACCTCTTCTTAAATGAAGGACCTAGGAGACACGGATGCTTATAGTTGAAATTCCCCACTGATGTAATGCCATTAGTACCACTTTGCCACTTTTCCAAACCCACAGCCGGTCGAGGGGGCGGCAGCCCGGACGGCTAGGCGAGCCACGCCTCCCGTGCCGGGTCGTCCACTGAGTTCAAGTTACAATACAATACAATACAATTTATTGACGCCCGGCGGGTAACCCGAAAGGGCAGTTATTACAATCTGACTATACATTTCCCAAGATATGTCCTGATCTCGTCGAAGCCCATGCAAAGCTCATTCTAGTTCATGTCCTCTCTTTTACGATTCCTCTGCGGATTCTCGTGGGTTAGTAGGGTTGTAGTAGGCTGGCTTGAAGGCGATTCTCCAAGTGTTCAACGTCCTATCTTCGGCGGCTGAAGCGGTGCCTGCTGTCCGTGGCACGAGGTGAGGGGTGTGGGTTGGGTGTGTTGTGGTGGGTTGGGTGCTTTAGTCGGCCTGCGGTTGGTTCGTGTCAAGGCGCTCTGTGGCCATTGCGAACCGTATGGTTGCCCGAACGGCTGCCATATTGGGAGTCCAAGGATGCTGGACATTTCGGGGTTGTTAGCAGGGTCACGTGAAATCAAACCTCCATCCTGCCGACCACCGACGGCACCCCGCACGTATCCACGATCTGACGCAATTCCCGAAGCATCCCGAGTCCTGTCCCCGGGCTTAAAGACCGTCACGGAGGGCATCGACCCTTTTGAGACATTGTAGATGTTGTGACGGATTGTACGGTCAGTGATGGTGATCGTCCCGGAAAAGATTAGATGTGGTCGTTCTCGATTATGTCAGCGGGTCGTTCCGAGTAAGACTTCGGATCGGATCGATACACGGTGCCCCATAGTGGGGCTCCGGCGCCGCTGGGCCGCTGCAAGGGCCGGGAATCCCGCTAAGCACTCGGAACGCCAAAAAAAGTCGGAATAAGAGACTTGTAGTCTCAAAAAAGAACAGACAACACCACAATTCGCTGGCCACCGACCCAGCTACTAATCTGATGACTACCAGTTTATCTATTGTGGTCGCGTGCATAAAGAAAACCTCCCTAGTCAACTACCGGTGGGGCACAACACTTGACGCGTTTTGATCAACCAGGTGAAAATCATTGCCTTGACACTTTTCGACAGCCATTCTCCCAAGATCCTAGCAACACAGTCAACGCAGTCAACGCAGTACGCAATCCAGCTATATACTGGCACGGTCACAAGGATCAAGTGGTACGAAACAGTTGACTACCGAACAACGCCAACGCGTTCGAGTCCTATACTTCGATACGGCCAAAAGCCAAGCCGAGATCAGTCGTATCACTGGCTACACTAAAGCCCACATCCGGACCGCAATATGCGCTCGCGATGCAGGTGCCCACAGGGGCACTAGCCGGCCTCGGACATTGACGCCAGAGTAAGAAGAAGAGCTTGTTTAGTACATTACTTCCAGCAAAAAAGCTCGCCGAATGGGCTTCCTCGAGCTCTCAAAAATCATCGTCGCTAGAGTCTCTGGCATATAGGTGATCAAGCACGCCCCTTATCGACTGGGCTTCCGCCGACGAGTTGCCCGCAAGAAGCCACCGATTACCGAACGTACCTGGAAGCTCCGAGAGACGTAGGCAAAGTGCATAAACACTGGACCCCTGAGCAGTAGCCAAAGATCCTTTGGACTGATGAGACTTGGGTTACTGGTAGCCCGCATAGGGAGCAGTATATAACCCGGCGTCCAGGCGAGGAGTCGGATCCTACTTGTATTGTGGAAAAGCATCAACGTAAAGGTGGCTAGATGTGTTGGGGCTACTTCTTAGCTTAGTTGACGATACGTGTACAACTAACCAACTCAGCTATGTCGCATCTCCCTGAAAACGGGTGTCGAATCGCAAGTCGCTTCAACCTTGCGATCCTGTGGGTTATAGTCATGACACAGCACTGTGCCCCGCAACACAGTTGTCCTGTTGCTTGTCCTGACATTTTGGCCTTCGAAGGAAAGGGTTTCAGACTGCGAGCTCCAGCTCCAGCCTCCTGGCCAGACCGTACATCGGCAGTTTCCCCGAGTCCATCAGCCAGTCCAGGATCCTCCC